TAAACATACAAGAAATAATTATGTCATTGTTATGCAAGCTATGCTAACATTCTATATGATTTTGTATGGAAAACTAAGATCTAACATATACAAGTTAACAAGTTTTACTTCGGCCGAGTATCTTTTTTTTTAATTATCCTTAAAGGAGATAATCAGTTTCAATGGATTAATCCGGAAGTTGCAGATTCGATTCCCTGTTCCTCAACTGGTTCCACAACTAAAAAATAACTAATTGGAGAGGACACTCATATGCCTTTATAGCTTTCTGTCCAGTTCCAATATTTATTGGGCAAATATTGTTCCACATGCAAGATATAAATATATCGAATATGTTTAAACCAAATAACTAATTGTCTTTCTGACTTTAGACTAAGATTTACAAAACGAACGTCCAATGTATCGGTGCTCTATACCAGAAAAGTCAATTAATCAGGCCGCCTCTGGAAAAGAGGGACTGCTGTATTCATACACGGCATTTTCAGGGGCATCCCAGACAAAGACAACCGAAAAGCGACAATAAATAAACCGAAAGAAAAGAAGAAAAAGGTTCAAATAACGACGAGTAATGATAATTGATTGACGAAATAAACCAAGTTATAACAACCACATGATGGTGTTTTTACCTTAATAATATAATGTAGTCATATTTAAATCTTTCAAATTACCAATCTTTGTTTTAAACTGATTTCTTTTATTATTTCATACTTGTAAAGAATCTTTTTTTTTGTGAAATGAGGATGTAACATATTTTATGGCTGGAGCTACTTGTACACTATATACATATGTATCAAAATTACACTTTTCTGATAGAAATTCTTCAGAACAAATTAAAATTAAAACGAATAAATATAACAAAGTGAAAAATTATAATCTAAAAAATCAAAATTATCATTTTACAAGCTGTTTTTTTACTGTTTTTTTTATATCTCAAACATAACCATATTTTTAAATTAAAGGTAAGGACAAGTAGTTCGGACGGCCGTTAAATCATCGGTTTTGTAATGGTGTAAAAAAAATCAAGAAAAGTACTTTATATAGTACACAAAATTTCAAATGATAGCTCCCCCACATGATTTGAATTATTTTAATAGTCCATTTAATAGTTATCGCTTATTTACAATGGCGCAATTCATTGACTACAAAAATGCAAACATATCCTGGGAACATTTGAAATTTAATCTTACAAATGTAAAGAAATGCCATATCTTCAACGGTCTCATTTTAAAGTTGCTTTACCCATTTAGACATGAAAAAAATGTCAGGGAAACGCCTACACAGTAAAAAATGATAAAAGTTACAACGTCATCGATGACCTTAAAAAATAAAAAGTCCTTACAAAAAAATATTAAGGAGTGCAATTATTTCATCTGAAATCGTATAAGGCGATCATATTACCGTGCAATGCACTGCGAAAGGCTATTTATTTAGTTTACAGATACAGTAGGTCAGACATTGTGGTGGAAGTACTTGTCAATGGTTTCTAAAGGCTTTGAAATCGGGGTAGTGGTAAAGTAGAACGCAAATTACATGAAAAAATAAACTACTTTTAACATTATACAAGTGCAATTGTAGTTTATTTGAGAAACGCCTTAGCAATGACACCCCGATGAACTGATAACTTCTGTTTTTATTTACCTTGATTCCCAAGGGCGAACCATCAAGTTGTTTAGAATAACGGATTTACATGAACTTAACTTTTACAAAAGTCGCAATTTTATTACAATACAGTAATTCTTTTTTTTTTCTTGTCATATTGGGATCATTGAATTCATTAAAGTAATTTAAAAAGATGGAATACTGTTCAAGCTAGAGTTAGCGGGCAAGGTGTCCATGCCCGGATCCCGAATGTGTAGTCTGGGGTGCTTTGTTTGAAACATTAAAGTAGCCCTTTACTGCTGGGAATCTGGGTGTTCCCCAACCCAAAATATAATCTTAAGCTCATGGCTGCATATTTCAAAGTACACGTGTCATTACAAATTTGCGGACCTACACTGTGCTGCATTCTGTATACGGCCCAACAACCCATTAGCTGTGCAATTTACGCTCATCGCAATGTGTTCATTAAAGGGACCCCACTGAGGTTATTTAACATGCTGGGACTCCCCCGAGAATTATGTACCATTTAGTATAGATCCGGACCAATAACTTGTGTGCGAATTTTCAGATCATTCCCTTACCTTGTTTGCAATTTTTTCATTTTAAGTGCTTCACATTTTCTAGTACCGGTATTGGTATTATATAAGGAATAAACCACATTAGGTTAAAGAAAATCCACTGGGGGTTAAAAAGCCTAAAAACATAAAATGTTCTTTAAGTTAATGTGGTATATTCCTTATATAATACAAATACCGGTACTCTTGTCTAGCACATGTATTATGATAATAATAGTAATAAAACATAAGCATGTATAAAATGGATATTAATATTGATAATAAACAAACTTCAATTTAACTTAACAACGGAAATTGCTATATAATACGTACATATATGCTGCAATGCAACCATTTAATATCAAATAAGCTGGGTGGGGATGTGAGTGGATAATTGTATTTTATTTGTATAGAGATTCAATGTTTTTTTGTTTTGTTTTTTTTACATTATAATTATGTTATAATTTAACATATACTGTTTATCTTTATGCACGATTACGACAACCGGTGTTTATTGCGAATGCACCATTGGATAAGAGAGTAGAGACGTGTTTGTCCTCTAGTTAGTTTGAAAAGAATATTTGTAAATAATAGACACGCACTTGAAAGATGGCGTAGAAATAATGATGATGACTAGGCGCGCACAATTTACACTGAACATATCTAAAGGCTGAGAATGCATGTCATATCTGTTTAAATGCATACAAAATATTTTCAGAAAAAATATAATTGATGTACTGTATAGCGGTATGACTTAATAAAAAATCTTTTTATTGCACAATGTATATTTTGATATAAAAAGATGAATGCTAGTTCCTTAGCAACGGAATATAAGCATGGTAATTACGTAAATATTGCGTGATTTATTTCAAATTATTTGTAATGAAATTTAAATATGAAAGACGTTTTTTTTGCATGAAACTTGACAATGATAGCAGACATTATGGCAGTGCAGATATACAAATATGCGGTACTAGATATCAAGTGTCTTTTTATATGACACCAACTGCATTACAATGAAGACTTCTTAAAAAAATAAATGCACTATAATCCAGCCTTTATAAAACAGACATTAACATATGTCTCTCAGAGTGATTAAAGGCCCATTATGCCTTAGAAATCTTTTTGCTTTTTTGTTTCTCAAAAGCCTATTATATTGTTTAATTTTGTTGACCTGCTATACGATGTATATGTTCCAAAACGTTACTTATTTCGCAATTATGAGAACCATCTTTCGCTTCTATTGCCTTTTGGCAATTTGTGCACTTAATTGAGTATTTTGTATGGTAGGCCTACTACTTTTTTTACATTTTGCTACTTTTATAACAAATGATATCAAATTACACGCTTCTTTTTTCAGGTGATAAGCATCTAGAATGCTTAAAAATCATTATTCTATCACTGTAAAACATATGTTAGCCCTTTCTAAGGAAGGGAAAAAATGTTGGTTACTGAGGCATAATGTGCCTTTAAATAATTATATGTTTAGTTATAACCATTACCCCGATGTCACAAAAGGTTTATATAAAAAGTTCTGATTCAAAAAGTTCAAAGTTTCAAACTAAAGAATAACAGATAAAAGAATGTGGGCGTGGTTTCCATGGCAACAAAATAGTTCTCAAAAGTTTGACGCAAATGTTTATGTTTACAGTAATTAAAGCATTCCATTTTTAAAATACAATTTTCACTTTTGAATTTATTAAATGATAACGTATCGGGTTTCCGCCGGTGTACTGAATACAACTAACCTAATTATGATAAAATCACAGCGTCCTTTTACGTTAAAGGGACTCCACTGAGGTTTTTTGACATGATTGGACCGAAAATTTTTTTTCAGATAAATGTACCATTTGATGAAGGTTTAGACCACTAATCTTTGTGCAGAATTTCAGATCATTCGCGCATTTCGTTTTATTCAGATTGTAAAAAATGACCCAAAATGTAAAGCGTTTAAACGCTTTTCATTCAAATCGGGCTAAGAAAAGCATAAAAATACGATTTTCAATTTATTTCAAAGTATATTTCTTAACTGTCTTTGCATATATTTCTGTTTAAAGTGTCCCAGCTCATTTATGTAATAAATTCAAATGTTATGTTTTTAGGTTTTAAAACCTCGGTGGAGTCCCTTTAAATAAATTTGTAACTACTTGATGAAAAATATACTCGGATCAAATATCCTGACGAAATAAATGAAAAATAAGAAAAAAAAAATAGACGAAAAGAAAAATTAAACATTTAAGCATACATCTACAGAACTTAAAAGATGCGTGTATTATGACTGGCAGTTTCGTCTAAATATATGTATAATAAGGTGTTTGAGAAAATGGTTGAGTATGTTTTATATTTAATATGAATAAACAATTGGCACAATTTTGTTTTGTTTGTCACATTATGGTTATTTTGGATGTGAACAATTTCATACACTGGATTAAATACCCCCTCCACCCCCCCCCCCCTCCCCCAAAAAAAACCAAAAAAAAAAAACAACAAAAGTGTAATTCAAATATATTTCATTCATATATGAAAAAATGCACATGATTAAATGTATGAATTCATATACAGTACATCTGTCAGGTCTGTATTATTTTATCTCCTGGAAAACAGCAACAACAACCCCCCCCCCAAAAAAAAAAAAAAAAAAAAAAAAAAACAAACAAAAAAAAACAACAAACAACAACTTGGTTTGCATTAACTTTTCATTTTCAACTTTAACAACACAAAACTATACGTCGTTGCTTACTAGTCATTTAGTCACTAAAATTGCCCAATTGAAGCTGTTTTCTTGTTGTTGTTTTCCAAAAGGGAATAATGTTATATATTTATTCATGTGTATGTTTCTGTTTTATTCAGATCCCTGCAACATGGACGAGTTTCGTAAATGTTTTGTCCGTATGACAGAGATAACTGTATTTGAAAGACTGGCTGATGACAAACACTGGGTTTGTAGGTAAGTAGAAAGCTTTTGTCTTTTCTACAGAAGGTAAATTTATTGAATTCTGAGGCGTGTGCCTTTAAGGACAAAACAAAATCTACAACTTTTTCTCTGTAGGTAGGCCTACTTATGTGTAGATGGTGTGATTCTTTTTTTGACGTTTTAAACATTAATAGTTTTCTGAGGTTGGTGGAAGATTGAACACTTTTGGTAATTTCTGAATATGAGTGCAACCACGGCTTTTAATTAAAGTCGTGGTCAAGTTCGTATTGTAGCTATACCGTTTTGAGTCATAGTAATAGTATGGTGTATGGTAATTTAATATTATTTTTTAAATTACTTGCGTTTAAAGTAAAGGGCAATTATAATATATAATAGCTGTGCTGATTGCTATGCTCGACTTATAAACTACACGTAGTTGCTTCCCTTAAATCTTGGAGCGCCATTTGTAAAACAGAATGACGTGGGAGAAAGATGTATGTATTTTTTGTTCAATTGTCACTAAAAACACTGATTAATTTGCTCCAAATTGTTGTCTCCACGGCTTTAATGCAGAATATTCATTATATTGATGAAAGCAATCATCATCATTATTTTCGTAGGTATATAATAATAATAAGCGATAACTGAATGAAAGGGAGGTAATTGCGTATTGTTTTTACACTTATCCAGCTCCATGGTTTACTTGAAATTTTTTTTATGTGCAACACCATGCAAAAGTCTTCAAAATTACTAAAGGCATTCAGTTAAAACGTAATACAACATCTACATCTACATCGTACGTCGGTACACTTGATTATAACGCGACGGGTGGTGCTAGGTCAAGATAAAGAAATATACAAGAAATGATAGAAAGTTAGAAGAGGTTGGATAGGTCAAAAGAAAGAGATATAGACAAAAAAGTCTGGCCAGCTACATTTCGCCTCTTCAACCCAAACCTCTCCATTTACGGTGGCTGCGGCCGGCACAGCCTTTGATATCACTAGTGGGTACTTGTAGCTGGGCCCCTAATGGCGGATTAGAATGTGAGGGATGATAATCCCTGCTTGAAGGATACCAAGTCAGGGGCCTCTGCAACGGGGGCAGGTAGGCTGTTCCAGGTTGTGGCTGTGCGAGGGAAGGAGTTCTTGTAGTCAGATGTAGATGTGGATGGTAGATGGAACTTCTTGGAGTGGTCACTTCTAGTTCGGCTCGGGGCAGGGGTGAATGATTATAATTGGTGATCACTGGGCAAGACTCATAACTCTAGATAGATTTTAACAGAAATATGGCCCATTTTAAAGAAAATTCTTAGTTAAGGTTTTGCATTAAAACTAAGGTATTCACTTGTTACTTAATACATCACCCTGGATAATAACCAGAGGTCTTTATCCAAGGACAATAATTTTGACAAAGATTTTGCCCAAATCATGATAGGGTATGATTTTGCCTTATTCATGGCCCTTTGTGAACTTTGAAAATTCTTGGGGTAAAGTATTGCGTGCAATATTATTCTTCTAAACAAAAAAAGGTATTCAATTAAACCTAAGATCATAATTTTTTTTGAAATTTACTATCCTGTCCAAGGCTCATAACACTCTGGATTTTAACAGAATTATGGCCTTTTTTAAACTTAGAAAATTCTTAGTTTAAACATAGAAAATTCTAAAAGATCAAGTTTAATTTTTTCGTGCAACAACAGACATCATAACTATAGTTTAAACATAGAAAATTCTAAAAGATCAAGTTTAATTTTTTCGTGCAACAACAGACATCATAACTATCGAAGGTATTCACATGAAACTTAAAAATATCTTTGGGATCATTATTGGAGGGCATCATCCAAGGCCCATAACTCTTACCTAGATTCTGACTGAAATATGGCCCTTTATGATTTTAGGAAGTTTTTGGTTTAAGTTTTGCTTATGTAACGTTAATCTTTTGTTAAACTACTGATTGTATTTATTTGATCAAGGCCGTCGTCGATGGTCCGGCCGGTCCGGCCTTGGCCGGACCAATATTTTGGCCAAAAATGAGTAAAAAAAAACAACACAAAAACAAAATAAACACGCATCGCTGATTAGCAATTTGACACTTAACTGGCCCCTTATGCAATGCGCGGTAATATACAAACATGACACGAAGAAACAACTGGACACAATTAATTGAACAGGTATATGTAGGGGTCCTAAGAAGTCAAGTTCGAGTACTTTTTCGGTGTAATGTTTGCACACGACATCCTAGCATTGACAGACAACCTCAGCAAATCTCCTCAACAAGTTTCATTGTCAGCATCCGAGGGCCAGCGGCCAGCAAAGCGGACTCTAGATAGTTTGATAGACATGAGATCAAACGACAGTTCTGATTCTTCATAGATTAAACTTCAAAGTCGGTGTTAACGATCTAAATGTTCCGCGGAAGAGAAAGGCGCCCACACGAATCGAGATAGGGCACGGTGTTGGCTACAACCCCGTTACAGTGCAGGACGTGTTCCGGCCTAAGTACTTTGAAGCAATCGATCTTGCCATCGCCAGTGTTAAAGAGAGATTTGACCAACCGGGATATCGCGTTCTTCAAAACGTGGAGAATTTACATAAAAAGGCCGCACAACCTTTGAAGACCGAGTCCACTAGAGAACTTGGTTTTGTTTGTGATTTCTGTGGTAACGATATTAACCGAGACTCTTAGAAGTGCAGCTTCACATTTTGACAAATCAGAAAATAGTACTGTTACTCTACCTGGGTTTTTGAAATTTGCGTCAGAACAGTCGGTGCTAGAACGAGCACTGTTCTCTGAGGTCGTTGTGTTGTTAAAGATTTTGTTAGTAATGCCTCCAGTGAAAGGACATTCTCGGCGTTCAGAAGAAGTAAGACATACCTGAGATCAACAATGTCTCAAGTACGTTTGAACAATCTAATGGTGTTAACTGGACAGATCCACTCAACTTACGTGTAATTGCCGATGAGTTCATCACTACCAGAGAACGACGGCGATGTGTTTTTGGAAAATTTACAAAAAAATGAGACTCTGTGTTGTGTAAGATTATTGTTAACAAAATACAAGTTACTGCTAAACAAAAAGTGGTTATTGTTGACTCGTAATGAACTATTCTTCCATCATGTCATCGATTGTTATTTAAGCTTATACCAATGTGTGATTTATGCTAAACAATAATCCACGTACTGTAATATTTCTTTTATTTGTTTAAGTATAATCATCAGATAAAAATGCATTTAAAGAATTATAATAACATCAGTTATTGTTTATTTTTCATTTGCCAAATATCAATTACATGTATTCATCTTTTATGTACACCTGTCCGTCCGTCATGCGAACCTTAAATTTCACCCTTAAAACTTACGACGTACTTAAATCTGTAAAAAATCGTTGACATATTACTATAACATGTACTAACGGCAGGCTGTAAACTGTGCCAAATATACGGGAAAACACCCCTGACAGCATCCTAGAATAAAAAAATTTCCGGGGGAGCATGCCCCCGTACCCCCCTAGATTCTACCTAAAACCAATCAAATTGGCCGCACCAATCACAGTTCTCCTAACTGGTGTACTATTTATATACCATGATTATGATAATAAGAATTATATGAAATATATTTATATTACAGTACCAGAGAAGCTGTACACACATGTGTAGAGAAAAATCTTCAACAATGCAAAAAAGAACTGGGACCTGTTATAGCAGCCGTCTTGAAACCATTTTCAACTTCATTCAGGATAGCTGGAGACCTGTTTTGTACAAGAGGTAAACTACAATATCTCTTATGAAAGATTTTTGTGGAAAAAAAAAATTGGGGGAAAAAAACAACCCTAAAACTTCCATTGCTTTTTCATGGCTAAACTTAAAATTATCACATATCAAAGGGAAAAAAATTGATGTGTACTTTACTGTCTATGATGTCAGAGCATGCATTCAAGCTTGTGTGGGTCCAATTTGGTATAATTATCTCAAATAGTAATATTACAAGGTAAAAAGACATCTTAATATTTGACTAAAATGCACTAAATAAATGAAATAGTAGAACTTTTGAGAAATGGGAGAGCAGCTTGAGGGTCATAACGTTATTACCTGATACGATTCGATATTTACCATTCTGGTTCATTGTCTGATAAAGTAAAGTCTTTCTAATTTTTGTACATATTTTTGAAAGGCAATTTCTGTGGATACTATATTGTCACAGATGTTTCCATGCAGTGCAGTGTTTCAAAAATGCGTACAAAAAGATAAATACTTTACTTTGTTGTAGAGGTTAAAGAAACTCCACTGAGGTCGAAAAGTCTAAAAAAATAAAGTTTGAATATCATGCTGCATGTTCAAAACATCATTGGAGTCAATTTATGAAGATTTTATTTATTTTTGTATACACCCTTTGTTTAAAGGTTAAAATATCAGGAGATTTTCATTCAGTTTTACTCTCTTTGAAATTATCAAATTCTCTTGTATGTAATGACTCAAAATGAAATTTTTTAAAAATGTATTAAAAAACTGTAAGGTTAAAATTTGACTTTTTAACAGCATTTCTGTTAAAGCAAGCAGAATAATTTCAATAATTCATTTTAATAATATGACATGAAAATTACTGTAATTATATACGGTATTTTGCACACTAATTTGTAATACCTGACATTAAATATTTTTAACTTTTTACGACTAAAATACTCTAAGCTTGGTGAAAAAAAAAGATCTGTTTTGGATCTTCCAGCAAGTCACTCATAACCTACCATCATTTTAATTCATAGACTTTTTATTTGCCTTCTAACCTTTTCAAAATCTTTTTTATTACAATAAATGTGTAAAAATCTTTTTTATTACAATAAATGTGTAAATTTATATATAAATATTTATATATTTAAAAGAAATTCTTACCTAACTACACTCTTTTTTCTTCTTTGTGGTATGTGGGGGCATCCGTGTCCTACGGACACATTTCTAATTTTACCTGGAGTTAATTACTGCCCAGTCTCGGTGCCCAGTCTCGGTGCAAATTGTCCAAACGTTTCCAAATTGGAAATAAAAAATACAAATTAAAAATTGAAATCAAGTCTTAATTTAGTTATTTATGTAAGTATATTATGTGACAAAAAAATAAATACCTTCTTAGACAACTTATTTTTGAATGCATTTCTTGTTTTATAATTGATAGTTATCACTGTACAATACAAGTAGAATAATTTGTTTCTATCTTTCTACTCCTCAGATATTATGATCAGTAAGTACAATATATTTTTATATTAAATCAGCCATTTCTTTTATGTAAGGCTTTGATCTCTTTTCCAAGCATAATTGCATGGTTTTCATTTATATATTTATAGATCATTCTTAAACATGAAATGTCATAACAGTAAAACTTTTGATCAGTAAATTTTGACAATAATATTAATATGTTAAGATAATTTAAATGCTTAAGAATGTAGTTAAAATGCTATAGATACCCAGCACATTGCAGAATATATAAAGGTATAATTTTAAAAAAAAAGTAAATTGTTTTTCTTTGAGCGCAGAATTGAATACGTATAAAAAAGATGCATATTGATTACTGTTTAATTAAGAAAGTCTTGTTGTAAGAAACCTTTATTTGTTTTTAGCTCACCTTGCACAAAGTGCAGGTGAGCTTTTAGGATGGCCAACCAAATGGCGTCCGTCGTCCGTCCACATTTTAAATATTCTAAGGACATCTTCTATGATACCGCAAGGCCAATGTTAATGAAACTTGGCAGGAATACTCTTTGTATGAAGCTCTATCAAGATTGTTCGAAGAATTCCATTTCATGCAGAACTCTGGTTGCCATGGCAACCGAAAGAAAAATCTTTAAATATCTTCTTTTAAAGAACCGTAAGAGCTAGAGCTTAGATATTTGGCATGAAACATCTTCTAATAAGTGTCTACCAAGTTTGTTCAAATAAAAGCCCTAGGGTCAAAATTGGCCGGGCCCCAGGGGGTCATTGATTTTCCCTATATGCATATAGTAAAAACTTAAAAAATCTTCTTTTAAAGAACCCAAAGAGCTAGAGCTAAGATATTTGGCATGAAACATCTTCTAGTGAGTGTCTACCAAGTTTTTTCAAATAAAAGCCCTGGGGTCAAAATTGGCCCCGGCCCGGGGGGTCATTGATTTTCCCTATATGCATATAGTAAAAACTTAAAAAATCTTCTTTTAAAGAACTGTAAAAGCTAGAGCTTAGATATTTGGCATGAAACATCTTCTAGTGAATGTCTACCAAGTTTGTTCAAATAAAAGCCCTGGGGTCAAAATTGGCCCCGCCCCAGGGGGTCATTGATTTTCCCTATATGCATATAGTAAAAACTTAAAAAAACTTCTTTTAAAGAACCCAAAGAGCTAGAGCTAAGATATTTGGCATGAAACATCTTCTAATGAGTGTCTACCAAGTTTGTTCAAATAAAAGCCCTGAGGTCAAAATTGGCCCTGCCCCAGGGGGTCATAGATTTTCCCTATATGCATATAAAAAATCTTTTTTGAAAAAACCCAAATAGCTTGAGTTTAGATATTATACATGAAACATTTTTAAGTAAATATCTACAAAGTTTGTTCAAATAAAAGCCCGGGGGTCAAAACTGGCCCTGCCCCAGGGGTGTCATTGTTTTTAACTATATGTGTATAGTAAAAACTTAAAAAATCTTCTTTTAAAAAACCCAATGAGCTAGAACTTAGATGTTTAGCATGAAACATCTTCTTATTATGGGTGTCTACCAAGTCTGTTCAAATAAACAAATAAAAGCCCTTGGGTAAAAATTGGCCGGGGGGGGGGGGGGGGGCTATAATACAGGTGAGCGACCTCAGGGCCATCATGGCCCTCTTGTATGAGAAAGTTTATCTAAAATGGAAACATTCTTACCAAGTTATGTAAGATAAGCTTGTTTTTATATAGGTAATAAAGACCGGGAAAATGTAAAGCGTGCAGGGCAATGTATCATTGACTTTGCTAAGATAGCGGTGCATGGGTCCCTTCTAGCCATATGCAGGTAGGTCTTGAACTTGTAAATCTTTTTTTTTCCCATAAACTCATTTAGATGCCAGATCGTCAATAATTTATCTGAGACAGTCAGTTTTGAGTTTGACAGTTTTTGTTTTTAAAGTAAATAGTGGTTTGTTAGTATTTAGGCGGCCCAAGATACACTTGAGACAGTTATTATGGCCTTAAGCTGTTTCCTAATAACAACCTGTGAATGCAATATTTTCAAAATTTTGTAAACTCTTGATTAAGTAAACTTCTCTTATAACGGTATCGTTTATAACGATGCTGTTGCAGTGAACCGACTCTTGATTTTTTAGATTGGTTGCCTCTTGGATATAACATTATAAATTTGGCGGTCCTCTAAGTATCATTGAATGCTGAATTTACTGTAATCTGTTTAACTGTAGATGCATACATATATACAGTACAACAATACAATATAATGCATGATTCTCCTTGAAAATCACTAACTCTTCATATTATTGTTAAAATAATGTATTTACCACTTTCAGCTTAGCTAGAAAAATAGTCCACATCACCTGGGTTGAGAGGCAAACAACTAAACCTCTTGTTCACCCCTATCTCATCTATATGATTTTCTATTTTTTCAGTCAAGCCCGTGTCTCTCTGCAGTGTGTAAGGGAGGCAACTCACAGTTGCAATGATCGCAGCAGGAACCTGTTCTCCCTGATAACCAATGTATTTGAGACGACCATCGCTACATCGTGTAAACCAGATACATGTAATCTTGGAATGGCTGAGCATTGTATAGATCAGGGGTTTACAGCCTTGGTCATGCCTCTTTACAGAGATCAGAGTTCAGTTTTATCATGCCAGTAAGTAAACGCTTCATTTAATTGAATTTTTTTTTATATTTAAAAAAGAATATTTTTGAAAAATTAAAATCTCCATTTAACATATGGGAAATTTTAGGTTTATATAATAATTTTTACACTTACCCTGTCTTTTCTTCTAATGGTAGTAGTAATGGTAAAGAGTCACAGTTTTAATATTACAAGTATTTGTTATATTTAAAAGTATTGCTTTTATGTTTCATGTAAATTTGGAATATGAATGGTATTATATAGGCCCCTACTATTATTGCCCAGAAATAATTCACAGTGGAGCATCTGGTACCTTCCTTCACCATTTAAAACTGGAATGATTTTAAACAGAGCCTATGTGAAATAAAACTAAAGATCATATTAAAGAATAACCTGATATACCAATAAAAAGCTTGTAAATTGTGTGATGACAGTCTTGAATAGGTTTTTTTGGTATTGCAATACCTCTGTAGACTACTAGATATACATTTATAACTTCTATAAATACAGAATTTATTTTCCTTTAGTGGTATGAAAATAAATATTTCATGAGTGGTGGTAGCCACGAGTAAATATAACAATTTTCATTCCACAATGTGAAAATGAATCCTGTATTTATAGAAAAAACTTGAATTTTCTGTTTATTATATACACTTTTCACTTTCTTGACATCACATTTTGAAAGTGTCAGCTTAAAGTTTGTGTATTGTCTGAATTTACAAGAAAGAAGTTGGGCAAGACACCATTGAAAATACAGAAAATATCTTTCACTGTAGTGAAAAATAAATTTTTACAGTGAAAATACAGACAATGAAACCAAGCATTTTATTTAATTAATATTTCTTTATATTTCATTTATATTTATATAATAAATCCCTTTCTTACCTTTGCCCATGAACAAGAAAAACCTTCAGCTAGAAATGAATGAATCCCTTTCATCCAGGCACATCTTTAAATCACTATTTACAGCTGGATACAATCTACCGTGGCCTGTGCCTTCCAACATACAGTAAGCTGTGAAGAACAATATAGGGAACATTGGCATGACAAAGAAGATAGGCCCGGCATGGAAGATAGGTCCGGCATGGAAGATAGGTCCGGCATGGAAGATAGGTCAAGTATGGAAGATAGGCCCGACATGAAAGATGGGTCCAGCATGGATTATGATAAAGGCAAGATGGGAGATTCAGATTCAAGCATGTCACTTGGGAGTTATATAGACTTAGGCTCTCCAAACAGAGAGTCTGATTCAAATAGCAGGGACTCTGGTGATTCTGCAGAAAGGGATATGTATGGTTCCCAGTCATCGTAAGTATTAGATACATTTTCATGAGTCTACCTCATTGTTGATTTTTGTTGTTTTCTGTTCGTATTGTAAAAGTTCCTTATTTGATATATATGATAGTTCATGTATAGAGCATTGATAATTGATAGATATACTTATGATAAACAAAATGAATCGTATACATGAAGAATATATGACTTCAGGAATAATGATTTTTTTTTCTTTTCTTGTATTCCTTTGAGTCCTTTCTAGAAATGTAGAGAGATTTCATTATTTTATCTTATCTAAATGTTTAAAAAGGAATTGTAATTTATGTTATTTTTAACACACAATTCTCCCCTTTTGGGCAGCTCTATACTGGTGAGATGCTAATTATTTACATTCCAGAAGGGTAAAAGTTAAACATACATACAAACGTATGGCAAACATTGTTTTACTTTTATATATTATACTAGGTCTGATGAGAAGGATAGTATGGGTAGTTTTGAAAGTACAGAAAGCAACAAAAGATTGAGGGAGTATTTGGAGTTTGTTAAAGATATGAGACAACAAGTAAACATGAAATATGATTATCAAGACAAAATGGAACAAGAAGATGATGAAAGCATTGAAAATGACGGTAGGTTTCCTCGTCAGATTAATGGACCATTCCATTTTTTAATGACTATGTATTATTCCAGTGTAGGAATTGGACAAACAGTCAGTCAATTTGAAGAGGAATGTATACACTGGAAAGGTCCATTGATTTGTACTGTTGGTTTTGTAATTGATTGATTGATTAATGAAGTTGAATGGAAATATAAAAAAAACTTACCTTGCTGAATATATGCAATGAATTTGCCATTCTTTGAATGCTGAACAGTCCATAGGTTAGTTTAAGCGATTTTAATATCAAAAATGATAATAATAGATGGTTAATGCACCATTGATTATTAACATCTGCAGGACACATTTAAAGCCCAAGCCTGCATGCAGGGCGAAGAATTTAATAAGTCTGAGGCCTTGTTAATCATTTATGTTTCTTATTGATATATTTATGAAGGGACCTGTGTGTATTGTATAACTTTGAAACTTTTCTCATGACCAGATTTGGAAACATGTGAGCAGGAGAAAGTAACAGGGCCATGCCGCGGAGCATTGCCTCGATGGTTTTTCAACTCTGAAACAGAGGACTGTGAGAGATTTATCTATGGTGGTTGCCAAGGTAACAAGAACAATTTCGATAGTAAGGAAGAATGTATGGCACGCTGTATAAAGATTCCCGTCTGTGAACAGCCAAAGGTTGTAGGACGTTGCAAAGCTGCGTTTAGACGTTTCTTCTATAACGGGACATCAATGGCTTGTGAAGAGTTTATCTACGGTGGTTGCGATGGTAATGGAAACAACTTTGAAACAGAAGAAGCTTGCCAGAAAGCATGTGAAATGAGGGAAGAACAAGGTTTGTTATTAATTGATTGAGAGACTGTTATAACATTTTACTGGTTAAAATTTAGAATACAGAATGTAAAAAATCCTTGCCACTTGCGATCTTCTGCAAAATAGATTATTTATTTTAAAAAAGTGGTAAAACCTGAATTTCTGCCATTAAATCAGTTTGTATTACATGTTTTTTAAGAATGATTTTTAAAAATATATGTCATTAAAATAAGAGTGTCAGCACAATAATTTGAAAGGATTGCTCTTGAACTGTCTTATATAATTTTGTTAGTTCTTATTTGGTACTTAATTTGGTTTTGAATTTAAAGGAGAGGATGACAATAAAATAATGGAGGACAAAGACAAGAAAGAAAGAAGTGGTAACAATCTTGCTTATATGCTAGAAACAATCAGAGGAAATGCACATGGTCTGGTTAAAATGTTAGAAGGTGAACCATCGAGGGATGAAGATAAGGACATGCCAACACAGATTTTTGATCAGCTGGAGACTGAAGTCATGAAACTGAAAGAGGAAATTAAAGAAGCAATGGGTGGGTCAGAAAAGCAGAGGATTATTAGGAGACTGCAGGTGACAGAAAAGAAATTTAAAGCTTTCATGGAAATGAATGGGATGTCAGTGGATATTGATGAAGACCATGATGAAATGAGAGAAAGAATTGATGAAGTAAAGATGTATCTAGATGAGAGATTAAAGGATCAGATGGAAGAGTTGAAAGGAAGATTTGAAAGTATCAAGTATTCTATAAATTTCTTGACTTCAAAACAGGACACCTTCTGTGATAAAGATGATGCAGAAAAGATGGACTATGAAGATGTCAAACCTGGTCTTGAAGTATTCTTTGCAATTAATGCGCTACTGGAAAGTCGTTATGTAAACAAGGAAAAGATTTGTAGGTAAGTGAGAAATCTTGTTTCCTTGATTATATCAGTTGTAGCTATAACTGTATAGATAGTATTTTGTGTTGGATGCAATCTTGAGTTCTATGTGTACCTATGAAAAGTCAGATGAGCAGCGTCATGACAAAACCAACATAATGGGTTTGCGACCAGCATGAATCCAGACCATTCTGCGCATCCGCGCAGTCTGATCAGGATCCATGCTGCTCGCTTACAAACCCTATTACAAGTAGAGAAACTGATAGCAAACAGCATGGATACTGTACTCTTGATTTTTATCACCTTTAACGCATGAAAAAAACTCATTTTTTTTCTAGAATATTTTATTTTGATATCAGATAATGATAATAAAAACGGTAAAAATATAAATAAGTTCTACTTTGTTTTAGGATATCTTACTAATAATTAGCTAATAATTAATAATAAAATGAGAAATAAATTTTACTTTTTGCAGGTTACATGAAAAGATTGAGATGTCCATCGAGGAGATGGATATGTCTAGAGACATCCCTGAAGAACTTAAAGAGAACATGGAAGCCTCGCTAGAGTACCTGAGTATAGTAGTAGGAAGAATATGCATGCCCGAGGATGGAGAAGAAGAAGAAGAATGTTTACCATATGAGGATCCAGATGGTACTTGTGATTCACTAGCCACTGCCTTATGTCTGAATACAAATGAATTTTCTGCTGCAGTTTTAGTAGCTCAAAGGGACAACATGTTTGATAAAGTTTGTCAGTAAGTGTGAACTTCTTGTAAATGTATATTTGATCTTTAGTTAAAATTCCAGAATTTTAGTGTTTGTCAGTCAGTGTGAACTTCATGTAAATATATATTTTGATCTTTATAGTTTAAATTCCAGTATTAGAGTTTGTCAGTTAATGGGAACTACAATGTACATGTTAATGTATATTTGATCTTTAGTGTCAAAGTTTCAAAAAGACAACAATGTACTGATTTTAACATTATTTAGTTTTTACAGAATTTATTTTAAGTTTGATTGTGTAGGAAGCTAAAAGCATATAGATACATTTTCAAATGCGTTCCTTGAACCAACCAGCACTGAGCAATGACTGTAAAGTTTCTTGCTCAAAGAAACAATAGCTTGTTCCTGACAGGGTTTGAACCCATATGGCAAGCAATTATGAGATTACTAGTCTGACATGTTAACCACTTGGCCATGCGGCCAAACTGTCACCTTAGGGCAGTAACATGTTAACTTCTTTTAAAATTAAATAGGAGTTAACCTGTTATTGTACTAAGGAGACAACATGTATTATTGTGATCTTTCTAGAATGGCTGAAGATGCTCTAAGATGTGTTAAGCGAACAACAGCAACATGTCCAGAAGATAACATTCCAAGAGATGCTACACGTGTTAAAATTATTATAGACCGACTGCTAGGTGATAAATGTATATTACGACATGAATGTAAGCCTACACCTGAGTGTGACCCTGATGGGGCCATCGAAGAATGTTTCACTCTTCCAGCAAGAGGCGCAGACTTCTGTCAAGAATTTGAAAGTTCAAATTTACCATGCATTAAGAAGAAACTTGAGGCATGCAAATATTCAGAGGACGTTACTCTTGTACAATATGAAATGGAATTGTTTATAAGAAGTTACGACCCTTCCAAAGAATGCGGTATAGATGTCAGCTTAATGTTGGAAGATGTTACAACATCTGTATCCGTGTGTTTTGTGAAGATGATCCATGGTCTGAGACATGGTTTGGAAACCATGGATACATTCAACAAGGCAATGTGCATGGCTCAATTATCTTATCACAAATGTATAGAAGACAAGGATGTCCCTTACCTTGTTGATCTAATTAATTCACAACATAAAGAATTTTTTGGGAACTTCTGGGAAAGAAATTGTGGGTGGATGGAAGACATGGACGAAGAAGATGATGACAAACTAGAGATTGTGCCTATAGGTATTTATAGATTTGATGTACTTAGGGCTTTAAGGCCCATTATGCCTCAGAAATGCTTTAATTTTTATTTCTTTATGAAAGCTTTTTATTTTCATTGTCCTATTATAGTTTATTACAAGTAACTTATTGGCTTATTGCCTGAACTATATTTTGTTCCTATTGCTTTTTGCAATTGGTACTGTTACAGTGATTTAGTATTTTGTATGGAAGTCACAATACTACTTTGTTTACATTTTGCTTCTTTTCTGTTGAATAATTCCACATTCAGTTCTACTTTCTTCAGTTTATAAGCCTTACATAAACATTGAGATACACCTGTTTTTCAAATATTTTTTGTAAACAAATAGATTACATACATACTTGAAATGCATACACAGAAATCATGATTACATTTTCAGATTTGACAGGTTGTAATGTAGATAAAGTTTTGCGTGTAACAGCATCATTCTGGTATCAGACGTCATCTGTTCTTGGAATACACTGGAGCACTGATTTGTATGCCAGTTACTGCAAGTAAGCAAACTTTGTATTCATTATAAAGTAGTGTTTAAACTACTACCCTGATGATGCATTTTGGAAGTATCCTGACACAAAATCTGTACAAAAGTGATAACAATTGTCTGTGTGTGTTTTGAGAATTTTTAGATTGACTATTCATAGAATAGGATGTCTGTTGTATTCACACCAGCATAAGCGTCTTTGTCAGTATTGCTGTCACCATCATACTTTGGATAAGTTTTTTCTTGCAAGTTTGTTTCTCCAAAACTAAAGAAGGGAATTGGTTGAAACGTCATACACTAATTTTAGAGCATTACAGGAGGTCACTGTACAAGGTCCATAAATCTAACATGAATTTTGACTGAATGATGGCCAATTTAAACTTAAGAAATTATACATTATCCAGGTTCTTGTTTTACTATCAAGTACTGTCAGAGAAAAGTAAAGTACACTGTCCTATCCACAGCTTTTGTTGAATTTTCTACATTTTCAATTCATATTACATTTTAATTTTGACCTATTTGTTAATCCATTACATCAATTTATTACCATAAATGAGCATTTGTGTAAAATGTTAATGGTTTAATTAACCCTACTGTCAAATTTTTGAAAATTTGTTTCATTGTAATGTTTCAATTATAACTTCAAATTGGCTCACATATTCAGCAACCTCGCACAATTACACGTTTAACGATCGTTACAAAACGTTACGAATGTTTCTATCGAATGCCATATTCTTGAATTCTTCATGTTAATGATTATATCTATGTTCAAGAAACAAATAGGTCACCCACACAATACGTGCAGTCCGAACAAACATTTGTAAAAGGTTACTGCTGCTATCTGACCTGCATCTTTTTATGTAAATAAGAACTGACATCAGCTTTGGTACATATCTCAATCTATATTGCATAGTACATGAGGTACACTGACGGTTAACGGTATTGTTGTTTTCATCGTTAACTTTTCAAAATTGTAAACGTGAGCCTACTTGACAATGTTACTGACCATAGCTTTTGTAACAGTATGCTCAATCTTAAATTTCTTGTTACCATGGCAATGAGGGGACATATCAAAATTGCCAAAAATCACTATTTCGCATTGATTTTTCCATTTCAAAGTGCTGCAACTTCTCAATGGATTGAGATAGAGTCAAAGGCTTTTCAGCGTTGGTTACACATTACCTTTAAATATGATCGACCTGGAGTCATTTTTAGCTTCTCACAAGTTCAAAATCTTCTTGGCAAAGAGGGGGGCAGCTGCCCCCTTCAAACCCCTAAGCCGTTTTTTCACTATTTGAGGCCTCAAAGGGGGTAGGGGGTCAAAAGTGCATTGTTTTAGTGTATATATGAGGTAAAGGGTTAACACTAGTAATTTTTATGAATTTGAAATTAATGATAATGATAAGTTTGCAACAGTCAAATCAGTTTGTCTTATATAAAACATAGTTATAAACAACTTTGTTAATCATGGTTATAAATATGAAAACTAGAGTCTTCACAAAATTTAAACATGCCATCAATAAATTCATTACAATTCTGCAGGAGAAAGACATAAAAAACACTTTTCAAATTTTCATAAAAAAGATAATGAACCAAAAGGTTTGCTTGTTCTCAAAAAGTAAGTGACAGTCTTGAGAAGACAATGTGATTTACATTTACATTTTGAAAATTCTTGTTACAGCAGATAAGATTTTCATTCTTCTTGTTTTTAGTGATGAACACATTGAAGGCTTGAAAAATGTGTACACAGATGAACTTGGTGAAACCTGCCCACAACCAGCTAAAGATTTTCTGAATGGTGCTCTCCCTTACTTCTCTTCTTTGAAGGAAGAATACTGCCCCTTTGAACCTAAAAGTAAGTTAATTTGTTTTTAGAAAAAGTAAATTTCCATTTGGATATGCCATGAACTGTGGTTTTATAAAATTCAGACATGAAATACCACCTATATAATTATTTTTCTTTAAAGTTTCCTTTTTTAAAATGAGCCTTTCACCATTATAGATACGCATGTACATGTATCTTGGGATTAATTTGCATGGATTTATATTGAAGTGCAAAATTAAATACCAAACCTAACAGATATTTGTCATTAAATCACTTAATTTGTTGATATTTTCACAGTCCCTGAAGGAAGCTGCTCAGTGGAAGGTGCTCGGCAATGTGTTACTAAGTTTGGAGAGTTCATGGCCCAATATTCACCAAGGGGTGATGTTTGTCAGTAAGTTTATTGTGAATTTATTTCTACTTTTATATAGGCTTTGTATGTGTAGGGGATAGAGGCAGGGTTGGTGTGGAAGGTGAGAGGGCTTGCACTTTTGCTCGAATGACTGATTATTTGAAGGCCATTGACTTCAAATTATAGTTGTAGGTTGAAATCCCAGCAGGAACATTGTTTTCTTATATAAATGGAATGATCAAGCTTACTTAAGGTTCTACCCATCTTGAGTACTTCCTCTGCTAGTAAAAGGTGAAAAGTTGTAGTACATGTATCGCCTTTCTTTTTTACTTTACATAAGTTTTCTAAATGATGTCAAAGAGTAGCATTGAATTATTTACGAAGTTTTAACTAAGTTTTAATTTATGTGATTTATTGAGTGAAATCTAATATGACATTGTGTAATTTTTACGTTTTACAGAAAACGTCGTGAAAGTATGGAATGTGTGATAAAGTTTTCTATAGGCTGTGATGGAGATGATGAGGAAGCTATTCTTGATCAATTGACATACCTGAGGTTAACTGCTACTGAAGAATGTGAGCAGCCATCTTGGTGTAACCATGGGGACATGGGAGAAGGGGATGATGGGAATGATGATCAAAAAGATGATGACAAAGAACCAGAAGGAGATGATAGAACTAAGAGGGAGGTGGAAGTGAGAATGGAAGATATGAACATTCCTGAAGCAATAGGTATAAGGCATATTTAAATCTGCTTAAAGGAGCTCCACTAAGGTGAAAAAGCCTAAAACATGAAATGAGCCGTGTCATGACAAAACCAACATAGCAGGTTTACGACCAGCAATGGATCCAGACCAGCCTGCGCATCCGCGCAGTCTGATCAGGATCCATGCTGTTTGCTATCAGTTTATCTACTTGTAATAGAGTTGGTAAGCGAACAGCATGGATCCTGATCAGACTGCGCGGATGCGCAGGCTGGTCTGGATCCATGCTGGTCGCAAACCCACTATGTTGGTTTTGTAGTGTGTCGGCTCAAATTTAAAATTCTTACATACATCAAGTAAAGCACTTAAAATGAAGAAATCTGCAAAGGATGATAAAGAGATATACTTGGAATTAAATTAAATATCATTTTTTATGCAGTTCTTTGCCTGATTTGAGTGAAAAGTGTTACACCATAAAAATTATTATTCTAGAAACATATGATTAAGGAATGATAAAAAATTTGCTTACAAGTTATTGGTCAAGAGTATTATCAAATGGTACACAAATGTCATAAAAAATGTTTATGTCAAAACCCTCAGTGGAGTCCCTTTAAAATTATTTTGGTTTCCTCAAACAAATTTGCATTTGGCATATATCCCATTTGTATTGCTTTTGTTAGATATACAATGTGCAAGTGTATTGACTCCATGGTAATTTCTGTTACAGTGAACCTCACATGTAAAGCTCGTGGAGGCTGTGATGTCATGTTTGAAAGATGCTTGAAACAGACTCATGAGGAAACTTGCAGGTAAGCAAATACCGGGAAAATAGAGAATACATGGAGGAGCTTATATAGTTTTCATTATGACATTTTATGCTTGTGGAGACAGTCATGATGATTTATCAGACTTGTCATGTCATTACTTTTAAAAGCACAACTACAAAAAAATCTAATTTAGCAATTACAAACTTTTGTGGATTTTCTCTAATATTGACCTTCTTATGAGTGTGCATTCTTTTGAATTGGTAAATGCTTGAATACTGTAAACCAGAAGATATGTATAAATTGGTTTTATCTTTTCATAATTAATATGATGTTCATAACAGCATGTACCAAGTCATGAGCAGTTGTAAAAACTTGCCCCTTACTTCACTTCAGTGTTGTTATATTTTTCTGGTCCTTCGGGGTCATTGATTCAAGGACATAACAGTTGACAAATATCGCTTAAGCTAATACTAGGGGCCATGAAAGATGTTGCTTTTTCCATTATCTCTCATGAACAGACCAAATCAAACCAAGCCTGTTTTTTTTATATTACATTGTTGTTTTTATTGGATCTAAGGGATTACCCCTTGTCCAGATTTTATTTTTACCAATTTCTGTCAAACTATTACTTTGATTTTAGAATTTTACACGACATATGTGATTGACGTTGCATTTATTAGCTCATATTAAACCATGTTAATTAAAATCTGTTTTACAGCAATGCAAAGTGAATTACAATCAATATTTTATTAAAATTTACACAGATTATCATATTTATCTTGTTTGCTGCTGTCTATCTTAGTACAACTGTTATTATAATGTTTCACAGGAATGCCACGGAGGTAAAAGAATGTATCAGTGCTCAATTGTCATACTGTCCGATATCACTGAAGATCGTAGCTCGTAACCACATAATGACTTATCTACAGATGAACAATGCCAACAAGAATGAAGACGAAGAAAACACAAACACTGAGAACCCTGAGAATGTTGATAATGAAAGCTGCGATATTGTTCCTGAAGACATAATCGAGTTAGAAAACAAAGGATTAAACACCTGTATAGAGACGTTAGATGAAAAAATGAATGAAACATGGAGTGTATGTGATTCGTTACACAGTTTCACTCAATGCATGAGGTAATTTATCAAAGTCAACATTGTTTTGTATTTTTATTCAGTAAAACAAGTCGGCTTTTTTCATCGATCAGTTTTTGATTTTGTCATTAGCCTATCGTCCTCACTGTTGTGGTTTTGAATTCTGCCAGAAAATTTGAATTTATTTATTTGGGAAAGATATCCAGCTGACTTATGGAACAAGTCAGCGGTTCTACTTGGGTGCCTGCTAGAGCCTGAATTGATACAAAAAGGGGCTCCTGAGGTCTGCCTCAACCACTATAGCTGGAAAGTCATCTCATATCTTTATTTTTGGTTGGTTACATTACTTTAAACTCAACCAAATAAAAAGAAATGCAAATTAAATGGAAAAATAATACAAGCTAATAATAACAAAAAGATCAAAATCACAGCCACCAAGATGAAAAATATTAGTACAAAAGCAAACAAGAAATTCTGCCAGTTTGTCGAAATTTGGAAAGCACAGGATTAGTTATCCAAGGGTGGTTTGTTCAATCGAAGTGCAAGACAAATTTTGTGTGACAGTTGATCTCATACATTGAGTCTAACATTGGTCCTTTAACCTCTGTTAGCTCTGATTCAGAAATCATGTGAGATTAATATCTGGTCACTTGTGGAGAAATTGATAGTTACTGGTTAGTTATCCAGGAAAGCTGATAAGGTGGATAGACTGTGGAAATGTTAAGAAAAAATGAGTTAATTTCGGCATAAAAAACATTAAAAGTAAGCAATAACAATGTTCCTGTAATTTGCACTCACTTGTAACTGTTATGTTAAGAAAATACTTCTTTTAATATAAAATAATATAAATGTATAATGTAACTGTTGTAGGAGTGATTTATCTAGCGAGGACATACCTGCCTGGTACCAAGGGGTCCTGAATGTACAGTACCATATCTTTGATAACTTCTACAATGACTTTTGTCCAAAGGAGGATGATGATGATGGTATGCTTTTTTGAATTTCCTTTAAACATGCTTGAAATTAACATTATATTACAAAGTAACCTCCAAATAAAACCCCACTTCTATAAAGGCCATGTGTGGTATTTCCCTTGGGTTGCCTTTGTTTACTTGTATCACTGTAGTTATTTACTCTGTTGCTTTTGGAATTGCTAAAATTTACAAAACATAGTTCATTCCAAGTTATTACATGTATTATTTGAATTGGTAATATTTAATTTATAAAGAAGTTTAAGAAAATATGGCATGATGGGTGATAAGAATTCTAAATTGAAGACAAAATAAGTACATATGTGCAGAAGTAGCATGTTTACACATCCACTTTAAGTAATTATCCCCCGCCGATGGAATCGGGAGGGGGATATAGTTTTGGCGTTGTCTGTCCGTCCGTCCGTCCATCCGTCCGTCCGAATTTCGTTTCCGGAGTAGTTCTCTGCAACTACTGGCTGGAATTCAACGAAACTTTATGGGAATCATCAATATCAAGAGGAGATGTGCATATCGTCGGCTTGTTCCGGTTTGACCCTTTAACTCAGAGTTATGGCCCTTGATTAGTTATGTAGTATGCATATAGAGTAAAAATCGTTTCCGGAGTAGTTCTCTGCAACTACTGGCTGGAATTCAACGAAACTTTATGGGAATCATCAATATCAAGAGGAGATGCGCATATCATCGGCTTGTTCCGGTCAGACACTTTAACTCAGAGAAATGGCCCTTGATTAGTTATGCAGTATACATATGGAGTAAAAATCGTTTCCGCGCTACTACTTTGCAACTACTGGCTGGAATTCAACGAAACTTTATAGGAACCTTCAATACCAAGAGGAGATGCGCATATCGTCGGCTTGTTTGGGTCAGACACTTTAACTCAGAGTTATGGCCCTTGATTAGTTATGCAATATGCATATGGAGTAAAAATCGTTTCCAGAGTAGTTCTCTGCAACTACTGGCTGTAATTCAACGAAACTTTATGAGAATCATCAATATCAAGAGGAGATGCGCATATCCTCGGCTTGTTCTGGTCAGACCCTTTAACTCAGAGTTATGGCCCTTGATTAGTTATGTAATATGCATATAGAGTAAAAATCGTTTCCGCACTACTTCTCTGCAACTACTGGCTGGAATTCAACGAAACTTTATGGGAACCTTCAATACCAAGAGGAGATGCGCATATCGTCGGCTTGTTCCGGTCAGACACTTTAACTTAGAGTTATGGCCCTTGATTAGTTATGCAGTATCCATATAGAAAATATTTGTTTCCTCGCTACTTCTCTGCTACTACTGGCTGGAATTCAATGAAACTTTATGGGATACTAAGAGGAGATATGCATATAGTCGCCTTGTTCCAGTCAGATACTTATAACTCAGATTTATGGCCTTTGATTAGTTATGTAGTATGCATACATCTCATTGGCATTTCCAGATTTTACTATTTAACACAAAGTTATGGCTCTGTTATTGCCCTGAATATTTATCAAGTTCAAAGAATATTACTGTTTATGCCATGATTAATATATAAATATAGCCTGATGTCTTCAGTTGTTGTGTTAATAATAACCAGTACTCGGCGGGGGATATAAATTCAACTAATTTGCTTGTTAGTTATGCATTATGCATATGGAGTAAAAATCGTTTCCGGAGTAGTTCTCTGCAACTTCTGGCTGGAATTCAACGAAACTTTATGGGAATCATCAATATCAAGAGGAGATGCGCATATCGTCGGCTTGTTCCTGTTTGACCCTTTAACTCAGAGTTATGGCCCTTGATTAGTTATGTAATATGCATATTGAGTAAAAATCCTTTCCGGAGTAGTTCTCTGCAACTACTGGCTGGAATTTAACGAAACTTTATGGGAACCTTCAATACCTAGAGGAGATGCGCATATCGTCGGCTTGTTCCGGTCAGACACTTTAACTCAGAGTTATGGCCCTTGATTAGTTATGCAGTATCCATATAGAAAAATATTTGTTTCCTCGCTACTTCTCTGCTACTACTGGCTGGAATTCAATGAAACTTTATGGGATACTAAGAGGAGATATGCATATAGTCACCTTGTTCCAGTCAGATACTTATAACTCAGATTTATGGCCCTTGATTAGTTATGTAGTATGCATACATCTCATTGGCATTTCCAGATTTTACTATTTAACACAAAGTTATGGCTCTGTTATTGCCCTGAATATTTATCAAGTTCAAAGATTATTACTGTTTATGCCATGATTAATATATAAATAAAGCCTTATGTCTTCAGTTGTTGTGTTAATAATAACCAGTACTCGGCGGGGATATAAATTCAACGAATTTGCTTGTTTTATTGCCAATCACCGTTAGTTTTACATGTTGTTACAGCAGTGGATTGTAGAGCAGTGAAGTGTGCCATGCCAAAAGGATGTAACAAAACGGAATGGTTTACGCCAAAAGGGAAATGTTGTCCACAATGTCCCCCAGGTAGTTAACATTTCTAACAAACTATTTGATCATTTGTATGCTCCTTGGATTTGTCACAACCTTTTTTTAACTGTTAGTTTCTCCCTGATATATTTTGACATGTAATTCAAGGACATTGAAAACTCCGAGAAGATAAAGATATTTTCACAAAGTGGTACAAATAATGTGTTGAATGTCACAAAGACATTTATTACACATTAAGGAGTTGGCATGACAAAACATATGTTTACATTGCTATTATTTTATGTAAATTTTAATCACATGATCTGCCATGTCTGATTTTAGATTGTTCGAGAGTTTCATGCTACCGACCACAATGTGATGATCCAATTATGGTAGAAGGTGAATGTTGCCCGCAGTGTCCTGAAGGTATATACATATACTCTGTATTTTATTATTTTAGCTTGTCTGTTTAGAAGAAAAAGGTCAAGCTCTTATGATTGGTGTGGCATCGCCATCATTGTGCAAAAACTTTAATGTAGCCCATTATTCAAACATTTTAAAAGTTATCAACAAGAGTCATTGTTTTAGTTTGGTTATTAGTTTATACTAATTTATTTTAGTTTGTGTTGAAAACTATAATACCATGTTTTTTTCTGCTTGTTTTTAAAACACAGAGAAATGCAGAGATCATGAGATGATTTGGATGAATATACATTCCTTGCTGAAGAAAGTTGCCCTCATATCTTTCTTCCCTATCTCTAATAGAGAAAGCATGTGCCAAAAGTAAGTTCACTTAATTATAATGTTTTAAGTTTTATTTTTACTAAATAATGCTTGATTTGTAAATTGGACATGCCTTGCTTTGAATGAGACATTGTAGATCATGTAAGTGTTTTTTTTTTTTATCTGGGTGCTAAAAATTAAGTAGCCAACAGTGTAGCCTTTAATTTGACTGCACACAAGTGTATGTCAGCCTGTCTTTTTACTAGTAGGATAGGAAATTCACTATCTATATTTAATCCAAATTTCATAGCTGATAACTAGTGTTAAAAGAACTTCAGCACAACCAGTTTGTGATTTGTTTTTTCAAAAACCAGTTGTTTCTGAGTATATAAACAGTCATGTATATAAAGGCAATTTAACATGATTAAACATAAATCATAGCTTTTAATGGTTTTTCATACCTGTATTTTTAGCTCACCTGAGCATATGCTCAGGGTGAGCTATTAGGATCACTCTTCCTCCGTCGTCTGTCTTCCGTCGTCTGTCGTCCGTTGTCCGTTCACACTTTTCAAACGACATCTCCTCTGAAACCATAAGGCAGATCATAATGAAACTTCACAGGGATGTTCCTTGTGTGAAGCCTTAACAAAGTTGTTCAAAGAATTCCATTCCATGCTAAATTCTGGTGAACCAAAAGGAAAAACTTAAAGAATCTTCTCGTAAAAAAACCAAAAAAGCTAAAGCTTAGATATTTGGCATGAAACATCTTTCTAGTGGATGTCTACCAAGTTTGTTCAACTTAAAGTCCTAGGCTCAAAATTGGACCAGCCCAGGGGGTCATTGATTTTCCCTATATGCATATAGTAAAAACTTAAAAAAATCTTCTTTTAAAGAACCCAAATAGCTAGACCTAAGATATTAAGCATGAAACATCTTCTAATGAGTGTCTACCAAGATTGTTCAAATCAAAGCCCTAGGGTCAAAATTGGCCCCGCCCCAGGGGGTCATTGATTTTCCCTATATGCATATAGTAAAAACTTAAAAAAAAATCTTCTTCTAAAAAACCCAAAGAGCTAGAGCTTAGATATTTGGCATGAAACATGTTCTAATGGATGTCTACCAAGTTTGTTCAAATAAAAGCCCTGGGGTCAAAATTGGCCCCGCCCCAGGGGGTCATTGATTTTCCCTATATGCATATAGTATAAACTTAAAAAAATTTCTTTTAAAGAACCCAAAGAGCTAGAGCTAAGATATTTAGCATGAAACATCTTCTAATGGTTGTCTACCAAGTTTGTTCAAATAAAAGCCCTGGGGTCAAAATTGGCCCCGCCCCAGGGGGTCTTTGATTTTCCCTATATGCATATAGTAAAAACTTAAAAAAATCTTCTTTTAAAGAACCCAAAGAGCTAGACCTAAGATATTTAGCATGAAACATCTTCTAATGAGTGTCTACCAAGATTGTTCAAATAAAAGCCCTGGGGTCAAAATTGGCCCCGCCCCAGGGGGTCATTGATTTTCCCTATATGCATATAGTAAAAACTTAAAAAAATCTTCTTCTAAAAAACCCAAAGAGCTAGAGCTTAGATATTTGGCATGAAACATGTTCTAATGGATGTCTACCAAGTTTGTTCAAATAAAAGCCCTGGGGTCAAAATTGGCCCCGCCCCAGGGGTCATTGATTTTCCCTATATAAATAGAGTAAAAACTTAAAAATCTTCTATTAAAGAACCCAAAGAGCTAGAGCTAAGATATTTAGCATGAAACATGTTCTAATGGATGTTTACCAAGTTTGTTCAAATAAAAGCCCTTGGGTCAAAATTGGCCCCGCCCTAGGGGGTCATTGATTTTCCCTATATTGCATATAGTAATTAAAAACTTAAAAATCTTCTTTTAAAGAACATAAAGAGCTAGAGCTAAGATATTTAGCATGAAACATGTTCTAATGGGTGTCTACCAAGTTTGTTCAAATAAAAGCCCTTGGGTTAAAATTGGCCCTGCCAGGGGGAGGGGGGGCAAAAGTCATTGTTTTTCATTATTTGTGTATAGTAAAAACTTAACATCATGAAACATCTTCTAATGGGTGTCTTCCAAGTTTGTTCAAATAAAAGCCCTTTGGTTTAAACTGGCCCACCCTGGGGGCCTATGTACAGGTGAGCGACCCCAGGGCCATCATGGCCCTCTTGTTTATTTAAATCAGCCATTATCAAAAATATAGGTTTAGTGTCTTAAAATGATGACCAAAATTTAAAGGTAAAAAGTTTCTATATAAGTTCATGTCATTTAGTTTGACAGCTGGCTAAATTTACAATAGCTTTGAGGCTACCTGAAATTTAGAAAGTTTAAATGCTAAGTAAAACTTAGGTTGCCTTCAGTTCTTTTCATAGTATATATTTTATGAATGTAATGAACAGGGGAGAAGCAATGTTTGAGGAGATTACAGAACTGATTAAAGCCTGTCCAGACAAGCCCAAAAAGAAGCTTGGTGAGGTGATGGAAAGACTTGAAGGACTTATAAACACCATGGGCTTCTGTAGTAAGGATCCAATGCCGCAAGACTGTAACAAAGACCAGGCAATGATGTGTGTACTGGACATGGTACACTCTCTTCTTGAAGCTGAGAAAACTGGATTTATGTATTCCATGTGCTCGTAAGTATATTTAGGAAATAGATATCAATTCTGAGTGCATTGTTGTAGAATAATGCACGGTTTGAGTTCAAATGCGTAGTAATATAATCACGAAGGCCGATATGCCTGAGTGATTAATTACAAAGCATTTGAACGAAAAACGTGCATTATTATACAATAATGCACGAAGAATTGATATCTATTTCCATTCTAATACGTCAAGAAAAAATATAATTTTTATTATAACGTTGGACTTTATGTTTGGATGTTGAATTTGTTTTCGCCTCAGAGTTTCCAATAGAAACGTTCTTTAGAGGCCGTTCCAGTGGGTTGAAAAAAAACTGTTAAATCTACCGTTTGTAGAAACATTTTGAAAATAACGAATTTTGAAAACGTTGATACAATTTTGTTTGTTTATTTATTTCAGTTTATAATTTTCCAAGCGAAATACAAATTATTAAAAGTGAAATAAATGTAAAACTAAACTAGTTTGCGACATTAAATAGCGAACTTGATTTGATTGTTTTGCACGTGCTGTTTGGCGCTACATTGTGACGTCACGTAAACAACACTTTAAACGTCTGTACAGCGTTAACGACTGAATTAAAGATATTGGTGTTCGGATTAATTTTCTTAGTTAGACCATTTTCTTTCATTCTAGATAGTTTTCACAACAAAATTCGAAAAAAATTGTTTTAATTTATCAGATTTTTTAAACAAAATGGCGCCTTCAATGTGAAAATACACAGGGAGATAATAAGAACAGCGAGTGCATTGTTGTAGAATAATGCACGCTTCCGGCCTTCTTTGTCTATATAGAAAAAATTCCGATAGTGTTAGAATTTGATATTTTGTTTCTATAAAAGCTTTCTTAAAACTGTAATACAACAGAGTCAAACAATAAGCTTTAAGAGAAATACTATCCGATTTATATCATATTTCTCCCCCACCCCCTCTTATAAATCCCGCCCCCTCAAGGTTTGTTTTGTTTTTGAACAACAGCCCTTATTAGGACTACAAATGTACCTCACCCTATCATTATTGTCTCAGGTTACTGTATGTTTAATGCTTATTGAACATTCAACAGAGAGTCACCTTTAGCTCAAAGTTTATTTCTTTGGCTAATACTCTTTGGAAATTGCATGGAGGTAAATAATTACTATTTTTGTACTTCAAAATTAAACCTTTAAGGGGATGACTCAAGGGGTAAGAACCTTATTAGTCTACAGACAAATATACATGTTACTAAGAATAAAAAAATACCATTTCAGTTTCTCTTAAGATGGAAAAATAAGTCCATTGCAGTTTAAATTTATCAATATAAAGGAATAGAAATAAAGAACAACATACATGTAATTCATGTTGTACTAATCAGTGGTATGTCTTAAATTTTACATACAAGTTTTAAAGAAAATAAAGAGACCACATGAGAAGTGGAGAAATAAATTGTTTGAAATGCAATCCATACAAATGTTTAATACAATATGGTTTTACAATATGTGCTGTATTTTGTGATATTTTCAGACAATCACAGTTGCAAGCAGTATGTGTTGCAAGCAATACATTTGGCTGCAAGGCACCAGTTAAACATAGCATTGAAAGCACATTCATGAGTGTGAAAAATATAGTGCATAATAAATGTACCCCACCACCTGATCCTGAACCAAGCATGCAGTGTACTATTGAAGGAAAGGAGACCCGCAGGTGTAGTGTTAACCTGGCATCTCAATGCATGTACGAAGTCTACAATGACCTCACCTGTGATAATCCTGACTTCAAAAAAACTTGTCCGTAAGTAATTTAATTTCTAATGAATGATTAAAATACTAAATTGAGTATTTGACTTATCTCACCCTTAGAAAACAGGACAGGATATCTGGTCTGGAGTTCATAAAAAGTCCTAAGTGTATCCTACATTCTAGGACATAACACCAAATTTAGGACTAATTTAAGACCGTTTCCATAAACAGTTTTATCTTTTTGTCTTTGAATTTATTCACTTGATTGACAAAAGTTAAAGTATATGATGCCCCTAGCCAATTTGTCAATGTTCATCTGCAATTTGCTTCTCTGAAAGTAAAAAAAGAGTCAAAACATAGGAGTCAGAAGTTAGGACATTTTCTTTTTAGGTGGCCCAGATTTGGTCTCAAGAGTTATATCAGTCTTATGACTTTTTATAAAAGGCAGCTCTGGCTCACATATACAACTGATTTAATGTAGTATTCAATATTCACTAGTGAGGTATATAATATTCAGTATTCGCTCAAACATCACAGACAAGTATCTTGTATATATCAACTATTTCAATGGTTGAAGATGCTAGATTCTGTTATTTGTGAAGATAATTTGGAAGGCAGCAGTGTTCACCTCTTTGTCCTGATTCTTATTAAAACAATATCCAACTGAAGATTTAAGATTTATTATTCATTGATTAATTCTGTTTTCATATTTCAGGAAAATACCATTTATGTCAGCTTGTATAGAAAGACATAGTTACTATTGTGATCAGGCAGACAAAGATGTTGTCATGAAAATGAAGAACAGAATCATGTCAAGGGTCAAAGATAATTGTCCAGAGGTCAAATGTGATGTATGTGAAGCACAGAAATGTATGGACAGACTTCTGAAGGCATCAGATGATGATATGTTTTGCAGGTTTTTCTTTTCTTTATTTCATATTTTGATTATTCAGGTTTTTTTTAAGGTTTAAATGGTCATTGGTAAACATCTTCATACACACTTATCATTATTACCACATGATTTCCAGCGACTTCATAATAGGCTCATGATGTCGGGTGATTTATTTAGTTTAAGCTTTTCATCTAGTGTCCGGCCGGCGTCCGTCCATAAATTTTTACTTTAAACAACATCTCCTCTTAAACTGCTGAACCATTTTCATCCAAACTTTACAGGAATGTTTAAGGGTGGTCACCTTTGAAATTGTACAAAAAATTGAATTCCATACGGAAATCAGGTTGCCATGCCAACTAAAAGAAAAACCTTAAAATAACTTCTTTTTGAAAAACCCCAAAGTCCTAGAGCTTTGATATTTAGCATGAAACATCTTGTTTACCAAGTTTGTTTATAAAAAAGCCCGGAGGTGAAAATTCGCCCCACCCAGCGGGTCATTATTTTCCTTATATGTATATAGTAAAAACAAACAAAAAATCTTCTTTTAAAAAATCCAAAGAGCTAAAACTTAGATATTTAATATGAAACATCTACTAGTGGTTGTCTACCAAGTTTGATCAAATAAAAGCCCTGGGGTCAAAATTGTATCATTATTCTCTTTCACTCTGTACACAAATTAAATAACTATTGTAACTAATGAGATAGACAGACTTTGGGGGTCATAGGTCAATTAATAATTACTTACTCTTACACAGAGTTTGTTATTTTTTTGTTCCAGAGATGCACTTGAGGTAGAGAAATGTGTCAAACAAAGAACAGAGCACTGTAGTAAAGAACATGCTGGTGAAATTTGGAAAAAGATGAAATCACTGTCGCAGCGAGTAGAACGAGTCTGTATGGCTAAAATAAACAGTTGTCTTAATGACTTCACAGATACTGGTACAAACCTTTATACCTTAATTTTTTATAATAACTTTCAAAACTTTAACCAATTTAAGATCACTCTTAAATTAAGATGTTTAAATTATTAACCATCTTAATTAATAACTCTTAAAGCTTTAACCATCTAAACATAACTCTTAAAGCTTTAACAATTAAATGATGAATTTTAAAGCTTTAACCATTGTTAGATAACTTTTAGAACTTTTAACATCTAAACATAGCTCTTAAAGCTTAATCATTAAATGGTGAATTTTAAAGCTTTAACCATTTATGATAACTTATAAAGTTTAAACCATTGTAGGTTAACTTATAAAGCTTTAATCATTTAAACATACATGTAACACTTAAAGCTTTAACCATTAAATAATGAATTTTTAAGCTTTAACCATTGTAAGATAAATTTTAAAGCTTTAATTATTTAAACATAACTCTTAAAGCTTTAATCATTTTTTAATGAATTTTAAAGCTTTAACCATTGTAAAGTAACTCTGATAGCTTTAATTGTATTAACATAACTCTAAAAGCTTTTAACATTTTATAGTTAAATGTTAAAACTTTAAGCAATTTGAGATAACTTTAAACCTTTTACTATTGTAAGGGAACTCTTAAGCTTTAGCCATCTGAAGATAAATTTTAAAGATTTTGATACATTGTTATAAGTTTGAAAGGGTTATTCATTTTTAGATATTTTTTTACTATTAAAGTTAACCTTAATTATATAAGCTACCATAAAAGATAAGTCATTGAATAGTACAATATTATTTTGACTGTATAATTTTGATCAAGTTCAGTACAGTTTGAATGATGAGTTAATTTAGCTAAATATAATTGTATTCATAGAGATAATATACATTTCCTACAGCTTTGGCATTGATGGTGTATGATGGTCCAACGTTCATAATAATAGATGATGAAAGTGGTGATAAGGAGGAGGATAATAGCTCTGAGGAAGATGACATGGAAAGTTCTATCTCAGAAAGTGCCACTTCTCAAAAAAGTTCGAAAGCGAAATCCAAAAAATCTCAAAATAATTCCGAACAGAATTCCAAAAAATCTGAAAATAAATCCAAACAGAATTCCAAAAAATCTGAAAATAAATCCAAACAGAATTCCAAAAAATCTGAAAATAAATCAAAACAGAATTCCAAACAGAATTCTAAAGTGAGCTCCAAGGACAAATCAGCTAAATCAAGTGCGGGCTCTCAGGAGAAATCCATTTGTAATGGCCAAGAAAATAACTGTGAGAATATTGCATACTTGGATGAACCATGGTGGGATAATAAATATTTCAAATTCTTGTTCAGCCCGGTTGGTGAGGTAAGTGATATGGAAGGTGAAGATGAGGATTACAGTGAAAGTTCTGATGAAACTTCAGATATGTCTTCTGACACTGAAGGAACATCAAAATCGGCATCAAGGTCAGCTGGTAGTAAAAAAGCATCAAAGTCGGCATCAGGGTCAGCTGGTAGTAAAAAAGCATCAAAGTCGGCATCAGGGTCAGCTGGTAGTAAAAAAGCATCAAAGTCGGCATCAGGGTCAGCTGGTAGTAAAAAAGCATCAAAGTCGGCATCAGGATCAGCTGGTAGTAAAAAAGCATCAAAGTCGGCATCAGGGTCAGCTGGTAGTAAAAAAGCATCAAAGTCGGCATCAGGGTCAGCTAGTAGTAAAAAAGCATCAAAGTCGGCATCAGAATCTTCCAGCTCAGGTAAATAGGAAAATGTTGATTTTAATCTAAACAAACAACTGTAAAAGAATAAGTTATTCAGCTGAAGGTACAAAAATCAGCTAACTTTGCTGCTTAGTCATTGATCAAAGTCTTTTGAATCAGGGTCTTTCAAATATTTCTATTTGAAAGACCCTGTTTGAATTTACAAAGTCATTAAAGAGGTCCAGAATAAGTTCACAGTTAACAGGTAATTATGAAAGTGCTGTTTTTAATCATTTGATCTTTTGATAACAGTCTGTAGAAAAAGCAAGAAATTATTTACAGTAGATCTATACTCATGTTTTTAACATTTCTCCAATCATTTTCTTCAAAGTGTGAGTAAAGGATATAGACATTCGATTTTTAATACCTCCTTTTAAAAAATAGGAGCATGCTGATATCAAGTCAATATGTATGTATGTCACCTCTTCCTTTGCCAATCTCTAACTTATGAAAGGAATGAGCCATGGTTTATGGACATTGTAACTTGATAGGTACATTTCTCATGGCCAGTAGATGACCCCTATTAATTTGAAAGTCATTAGGTCAAAGGTAAAGGTCATCATGTCCTAAAGCTTGTCTGACCAGTAATTAGGGAATGCTCCTATGATCTAGTCATGGAAAATAAATGAGCCCAATTGATTTTAAGATCAGTAAGTCAAAGGTCAAGGTCACCATGGTCTTTAATTGTAAGCTTTCATGCACAGCCTTACTAAAATTTGGTGTGCTGGTTGGACTACATGATGATCCCAATTAATTTTGAGGTCAGTATGTCAAAGGTCACAGTGGCATGAACCACTAAAAGCTGAGAATTGTGTAGATCTGAGACAGCTATATTTCACTTTTATATCCCATCAACAGCCTATATAACAAACGGTAAATATTGCACATTCTTTTAATTTACTGTTTAAAAGCATTGAAGAAAGAAAATGCACCAAAGGGCTCCTGAGGTCTTCCTCCACCAGTAAAGCTACAAAGTGGCCAAATGACATATGCTATGTTAGTGCAACTTTAAACCCAACCAAAAAAGATAACAAAGATATGTGTGTTTAGTTCTGTAGATTTTGCTGAGGTCAATGGTGCCAGATTGAAAAAAACTTTTATTACTAAAGCTAGACACATTTTACCATAAATTATTTAGATTGTGTTAGTGCCTAAAATTCTTGGTTTACTTTTTGAGAACAGAATAGCACTTGTACAGGATGCATGGTGGCCTGATAATATACTGGATATACTAAACCCAAAGCAAATGTCTCCATAGCATTGGGCCTATTGTAATAGAGAGCTAATGCACCTTTTTCGTGTATTCACATAAGCATAAGGTTGCATTTAAAGTGGTATTTAATAAGTCCAAGGGCTTCTGTAGATTTTGATGCACAAAAAAGGCACATTAGCGCTATTCATGCATATAAATATATGACTAAATCAGTAATTCTTTGTTTCATTATCTGTATTTTGTTTTAAGAAACCATTGAATCTATCCATTAATGCATGATTGTTTTCTTTTCCATTTAATGTATATCTGCGTTGGCAGTTTTTATTCAAGAGTATGTTTTTTAGGAACAAAGAGTACCCCAAAGAAAGAATGCATGCACAAGCGTCCAGTACCTTTACATCCACATTTGAACAAACTCTGTCTTAGTTTGTATCAGTCATTTAGCTGTGTTGAAAGTCATCTAATCTTGCTGGACGATGGTATCAAAGAATCTATAAAAATCACCATATATGGCGTCCTTGAATTAGCTAGCCACAAATGTAGAGGTAACAAATTTCTTATTCTTTGTTTTGTGTTGTTTGGATTTTCTGTCATCACTTTGGTTGACATGAAGTGTAAATACTAAATCAGTCTTTTCAATGTAATATAACATAATATTTGTATGAATTTCAAATGATGCATTGGCTAAAGTAACATGTATATGCCTATGAAAACTTTAATTGTGACTCTAATTTAATGATGGAAAAAGATACACTGAATGTAGTATGATTTTAAAATGTTTCAAGCAGATTGACCAAACTTAATTTATTGTAAACTTCTTGGTCTGCCAGCTACACTCAATAAGGGGAGCATGGTATTAATAATCCAGGGATCCTCAGCTGAGGCATTATTTCTCCATGGCAACTGATCTCAGACATTGAGTCTTATAGTCATTTGTCTCTCACCACTGTTTCTGAAACCTTGTCAAATAAGTGTTTGGCTGCTTGTGAAAAAATTGGTAATAACTGGTTAGTTATCAAGGAAAGCCGATTTAATTGATTGACCTCCAACATTTGACAAAATATTTATTAAAATAGTGTAATAGCTAGAAAAACAAACAGTAAAATTCTCAAAACTTATAAAAGAACAAGTCTGTTTCACAGATACAAAATGGAAGGAGTTGACAGAATGACAAATGATAATGTTTTTCCATTTTCCAGCCTTGCCCCTGCAGTGCCATACCTGTAGTAATACAGATAGTTATGAAGAATGTGATGCTCAAGGAATCATGACATGTCCAAATTCACACAATGTATGTATTCTTTTTTACCATCTACCCACTGAAACTGAAAGTAATTAGTTAGCTTTTGCTACAAGTGTAGACAAGGGCCAGCCTGCATTTCTGTGCAGTCTGACCAGGCTCTATACTGTAGCTCAGTTTTTGAATTTTGATATTGAACTTCCTGTTTTGACTGGTTTGTTCCAAATTCAAAAGCAAGGCATTTCCATTACAGAAATTCAGCATCTGAAAGGTTAATCTTTTAAATGCTAGTGACAATAATATTGCAGATAATAAAGAGTTAGAACAGCAAGACATTGGTGCAGTCTGACCAGACTCTGTACTGTTGGTTTCTTAATTTCAGAAGCCCTCCTTTTAACTTTTAGCAATGAACATTTTCAGACAGTTCCATTATATAAATTAAGCATGATGTAATATAGTCAAAATTTGCTTATCTGCTAATACATAATCCATAAAATGGCTGTAAACATTTCCAGCGATATAGAAAATATGTGACTTTTTCACAGATTGAAAACTAACATTTTTAATTGACAATGGAATTTATAACAGAAAGATAGCCTAATGAAGATATATACATTCTTTTATGTATCAGATTCATCTTTATTTCAGCAATGTATAACATCGGAGAAGTTGAAGGAAAATGGTGAAATTGCTACCATATTTAAGGGTTGTGTTAAAAAGGAGGAAGATTGTGGAATGGAAGATGGCAGGAAGAAAACATGTTGCTCCACGCCACTTTGTAACAGAGGGCCACTAACTAATGAAACAGATGATAGTCCAGGTATGTAATTACATATCAGGTGGTCAGTGGATACTTCTTTATTCATCCAGCTTCTTCTTTTATAAATTGTTCACAGAGTTTCATGCTAGGACCTTTTATAGTTTGGTAACTTTGATCAATCAATGAATTATAGGTTATAAAGTACTACTTGTCAATGTAGACCAGATAACCAGGAAAAAATCAAATAAATCTTTGCAAGTTAGACAAAGTAAAAAGAGATATGTAATGTTATGTGTTATGAATTATAGAAACTATCTATTTATGTCTACCAAATAAACACATTTAATGTACCTTTTCATTTTTATGAAATTTCATATATTTATTTATACTTGCAGAACAACCGAAATGTAATGTTTTTTCCAACGCTTACTGTGCATTATCGCTGTCCTCTGGTCTTGTAAAAGCTGGCCACATGGATTGCAGGTATAGTTTTCAGTTTAACTTCCACTTGAAATGCCATTGCAACTTTTCCCCATCTTTGGTTTTCTTGTATTTATAAGTCACATAGGGACAACCTTATAAACTTGTTTACTACACAATTAATAATAGACTTACTCCGAAAATAAGTATATTTTGGATTTTCCCAGCTAATCCGGGGGTACACTGAAATATTAAAGAAAGATGCTCAGAACTGAATTGAAAGTTAATTTTAAGTGTTAATTCTCAGCCTTATTTAAATATAAAGCATTAATTTAAAAACTCTCTTTCACTCTCCCTTGTGCAACATCATTATTTACTAGTATTATACTTTTGTACAGATCAATAATAAATATGATGAAATACTATTCACATTTTCTTTTATTTTGTAACAGATTACTGTCACAATCCTTGGACTGTATCAGCACAATAGATAAGAATTGTTTGAGTAAAGAAGAATCACAAATGTTCATAATGCTCAACCGCCGTCTCAGACAGTCTCGCGCTTGGACCCACTGCCTAGCTAGGGAACGCTCGTGCCATTGTGGTGGAAACACAGTCTTGTCGCTACAGTCTATCATGAATCCCTATATTGATGTAGATCAAGTTTGCAAGTAAGAGTTACAAATGTTGTTTGTGTCCCGTACCATGAATATTTTTAGTTATTTTGCTTATTGATTTTTGCATAATTTTCCAATAACTTTTTTCTTATTGTTGCTATCAAATTCACTATTAAGCTATTGTGTAAATTCATTATTATCTTATTAATTTATAGTTAGAAAATAAGAATATTTATGACTTTAATTTTCATTTGCTCTCACATCATTTTGCTTTGAAACGACTTTTAGTGTGTTAATTTTTCTGCCTGCATTTTTAGAGATTTAAAATATTATATATGAGAACTGCTTTCAGGCAAGTTAAATCTGCATATGATATATCAATGAGCATAGACTGGGACAAATGTTCAGCCGAGGAACATGCATATGTAAAATTAAATATGGCCGTAGCTCACTCCAGAATCAGCGGTACCTGTAAAGGTAAGACAAATTTTACATTTCATTGCTTTAAAGTGGTTTATTTTATGATAACCAGCGACATTTCTTGTATATGCATACAGTACAGATATTGTAATTGTTAACTCACTAACTATAATGTATGGAATCATATACATGTACTGCTTTTCACAAAATGTTGAAAAACTGTCACATGTCACATTGAAGAATCTATGATTACCACTATACAATTGCACACATGTGGATCGGATGTTAAATTCTTATATGTTTGATATTATGTTTTCTACATGATATTCTGATAAAATGTTTTCATTTCAATGTGATATTTTTTTTTTAACCAAACATTGTCCGATTAATTAAGGCTGCTTCCTTAACTGGACAATCATTGTTATCTATTTCCTCAATCAAATTTGGATTTGAGACTATATTGCTTTATTATTGTGGTGCTTTTGTTTTGTATATGAACAATTACATCAACCTATGTTTTTTAGCTCATCTGTTTCAAAGAAAAGTCATGCTACTATGATTGCTGTGTCATCTTTATCTTTGCTGTTGTTGTTGTCATTGTGCAAAAACTTTAATGTAGCCCATTATTCTCATGTTAAAAGATATCAACACCAAACTTGGAATTTTTACTTATCATAACAAGGTGCATTTGTTAAACAAGGGGCATTATTGTGAAAACTATATTCTTAAGAGTTATCCCCCTTTTTAACTTAAAATTTTTGTCAAAATTTGTTATTGATATTCATTTCTCTTACCAGACCAGCATTAACAGGGCATGTGGTGCTCTTGTTTTTTTTCAGAGGCTGGTTGTCCAAAATATGAGTCGTTGTCCGACAAAATCCTGGACACCTGTACAGAGGGAACCTGTGCTGATAATGAGGGATTATGTAAGGAAGGATTTTCTTGCTGCGACTACGACTGTGGGGCATTATGTTTTGAACTGGAAAACAAACCAGATAATGATGATGATACTGTACCTGCTAAAGGTGAGGTTTTAATTGCTAGTGCGTTAGCATTTGTGGTTAGAGAAACATTTATGTTTTTGAATTTGGGTAGGGCAAGGGAAAAGTTGTACTTGGAGAAATGGAATGATAGAAAGATGTCTGTGTGCATAGCACTATAGTTACTATACATTAATGCAAGTCATGTCTTTATGAAAGGGCTTTCTTTACACTTGAATAAGCTCTTTGATTTATTTCTTCTTTGAGTACGTAAGTATATTTCACAATATTTAAGGTCAGCTCAGCTTAAAACCATTTTATATTTATTTGATAGAAATGTTTTAAGGTTGCTGAATCATTAACTTACCAGTCACCACTTTTGGTTTGAATAATTTCAGCCATATTGAATTCTTTCAAGATAGAAAACTATCCTGACAATTTACGAGATATGTTTGATTCTACTAAGATATGAAACATTGCTATTCATAGAGGAATTAAGTTTATCCATCTTCTTGTTAAGCTTGAAAGTTTCTGCATGATCTTAACATTGTTCATTTGACTGGAAGCCTAATATTGGAAGAAATTATTACAATATTTTTTATGATATTTACAGACAAGGATGGTTTTTGTCCTCTCCCTGACAAGGTGCTGGAATTTGGTGTTTGTATGACTGAATGTGATGCCGATTCTGACTGTGAAGGTGTGAAGAAATGTTGTAAAAATTCATGTGGTGGTGGCATATGTGTTGATCCTGTATCAGAAGATCCTAAGAAAAGTAAGTTGTTTATGCTATACATGTATTAAAAAAAAGGAAAAAAAAATTTTGTTTAGTAATCTCCACCCTACCCCAAGTTGTTTATGCTATACATGTAGTAAACAAAAGAAGAAAATAGTTTTGTTTAGGACTCTTCACCTTACCCAACCCCATCAAAAAAAGAAGAAAAAAAGGAGCTGTTCAGGTCTTTAGAAATACAAGTAAAGTCTTTTTGAAGAAGTCAGGCTTTCAAAGCAATAGCCATTTTAGTTTTATTTACATGTATATATTATAGCTATTTAAAAGTTATATATCAATGAAAAATTATTGGAAGAAAACAAAACATCTTAAAAAATTTGAAAATTACACTGCCTTATACAGAATTATCAACTTTTTAAGTATTTCATCATAGATTAAAGTACATATAAATAAGTCTATCTTACTCAAAGGCAATTTCAGATTTTTTATTATGAAAATTTTTCTGAGACTTCTGAAAATTACTGTAAAACTTGCTCTAAATTAGTTATATGTTGAATGAACTTTCAGAGAAGGATGGTTTCTGTCCACCTAAAGTAGAGGGAGAAATAGGGATATGTCAGTTTGAGTGTGACTATGATAGTGAATGTTCTGGTACCAAGAAATGTTGTGAGGCAGGATGTGGCCCAGGCCGGTGCCTGGAACCAGTAGACTTTGAACCAGGTAATTAGCCCCCAAATGAATAAGCACATAGAAATAAAATACTATGAAAATATATTAATAGTTCAAGAATTTCAAATGTTTTGAAAGTTTGACAAATCTATTCAAGAAATTCAGCAAGCAAATGGTTGAATTTGATATCTTTTCATAAGTACTCTGTTGTCAAGAAGGTAAATATATTTTTATATATTTTTTTTATAAATTTAACTGTTTAGCGATATCCAATTTCATCTCTATTTTTAGCACTGTGTAAAGATGGTTCAGAACCTGTTAAGTGTTTTGCAAGTCCATGCAGCGTGACGAAATGTTCAAACATACCAGATGTTGAATGTGTGTAAGTATATTTATGAGATATGGGGTCTGAATGAGTCTTTCCGTTAGCTGTTCAATAATGTCAGTTTCTCTATATCTGTAATAATGTCAGTTTCTCTATATCTGTAATAATGTCAGTTTCTCTATATCTGTAATAATGTCAGTTTCTCTATATCTGTAATAATGTCAGTTTCTCTATATCTGTAATAATGTCAGTTTCTCTATATCTGTAATAATGTCAGTTTTTCTATATAAATGAAAAAATAATCTGTTAAGGGAACAAAAGCAAGCAATCAGTTCCTTGTCAGTCAGTGTGTCTGAGTCGGAGTTCTATCCCTATCTATATCTAAACACTAATACGCAACACAAAACTTTGTCTTCCATTAACAAACCAATAAATGTAGACAGCTGAGTTTTGTTTGTTTTTTTACCTGTGATAAAAAATACTTACAATACAATTAATTTACTCGAAAGAGTAAGTCATGGGTATGGGGATAGTTTGATATTTATTGAACAATGTGTAAATCATTTTAAAATACTGTTTCATTTCTTGTAATTCAGAGATAACTACTGTAATGGATGCCATGCTCAGTTTATATTGGATGGTAAAGATGTTACCTCCATGTGTGAAGATGATGGTAAGTAACCAAGTTTATTTGTATTCCCACAAACAAAATAAACTGACAAGATGTTATTTAGGAAAAATACTTTGCTTGTTATTTGTTGGTAACATAATTATAAAACCTTTCTTTATTTATTATATAATCACCTTCGTGCAGTAATGTATTAACTCCTATTATAATTTAATAGGAGTTAAACTGCTACTGCACTAAGGTGACAATGTAATGGCTTGTTAATCTTCTTAATTTTATGTGGATACATGTACATATATGCTATTCAATTGCTGCACAGTTGCAGCCCTTTAATCGGAGATGTACACAGTTACTTCCCTTGAAGTTTTACAGCTTAGCAATAGTTACCCTTAGCTTTGTGAAATAATGTGAAATGACTGTGTTCGTGAGGTTAACTTATGAAAATGACTGTGTATTTAGGAAAACGCTGTGAAATGACAATACTATTTAGATTAACCAGTGAAATGACTATGTATCTCTTGATAAACCATGTGACTAGATAAACCATGTGAAATGATAGTACTATTTAGATTAACCATGTCAAATGACACTACTATTTAGATTTAACCATGTGAAATGACAGCACTAATTTAGATAAACCAAGTGAAGTGACTGTACTATTAGATTAACCATATGAAATGACTATTTATCTTTAGAAAAACCATGTGAAATGGAGGTTGATGTTGGTACTGAAGAGAATTGTGATAAGGAGAAAATGGTGGGACGTTATTTCTTCAACAAAGATACATCCAAATGTGAGAAATTCAACTACACAGGTTGTGGTGGAAACAAGAATAACTTTATGGAATTACAAGAATGTAGAATAAGCTGTAAGTTTTTTGTTGAGTAAAACTTTTATATCATATTGGAATTATTAGCACATATATTTACATGTATGTTTATGCCTTTTGTAATATGTTTTTATCTTTTACTATGATTTAATACTGTATGGTAGAACAAAACTAAACCAATTTGAGCACTCACTGTCACACATTTTCATTTCTAAATGCATTCTCATAAATCATCTATTCTGATGGTTTATTTCCTTCTACATGTAAGACATAGGTTGTTTTTTTGTTTTTTTTGATGGAGTGATGAAGGTATCTGAATTCAAATCACTTCCTTCTTACAGCTGTAATCTAGATTCTATTAGGAACTTTGAATTTGGGCAAGCAAGTTTCTTTCTTTTGATAAAATTAAACGTTTTCACTAAAGTTAATGACAGTATTATTTCTACTTAGAATAAAAGAGAGAAAAAAGGCATTTAATTTTTTCTTTGATGGGCATTTGTAAAACCATCATATTATTTTTGAAGGTTTTAAAATCTTAAATTCTTATTGAATAAAGAACAGATAATCATTACTTCATAACCTCAAGGGATCTTTATAAAAACGTTTTCATTTTGACAATTGTAGATTTGAGCATTTTATCATTTGACAATTCTGTAATTTGTCCCTTAACCCATTACGCGATATACACGCTGAAAAAATGCCTAATTTAGGCCCCCAACACCTGTTTTTGTTTGAGAAATGTTGTTAAAAAAAGTGGCAACTTTTCTGTTTGGGGGTTTGAAGGGGGGCGGAGTCCCCCTCATCGCCAAGAAAATTTTGGACTTGTGAGAGGCTATGAATGACCCCAGATTGATCATAAGGTAACGTGTAACCAACATTGAAAAGTGTCTGACTCTAATTCAATCCATTGAGAAGTTGCAGCTTTTTGAAATCAATTTTGATGGAAAAAATCAACGCAAAATAGTGATTTTTGGCAATTTTGAGATGTCCCCTCGTTGCCATGGTAAAAGAAAATTTAAGCCTGAGCATGTTGTTGAAAGGGCAATGGTCCAGTCAACATTTGTGCCAAGTTTGATTAGTGTTGAAGCAGTTTTTATAGTATTATAGTAATTTGAACTTGTAATGGGAGACTTTTCAATGAAAACAGCCATTTTTCACAAAATGCTCACAAAGTAATGGGTTAAAATACAAGAAACATACTGTTAAAAAATATGTTTAAAATCAATATGTTCTTTTATGTTCTTTGTTTTATCTTTAGGTATGCCGGTTTGTGAACAGGTTGGGAAACAAGAAGGGTTCTGTAATTTAGAAATTCCATCATGGAGCTTCGATGCTGAATCTGAAATGTGTGAGGAGTTCCATTTTAGTGGTTGTGGTGGAAACAAAAACAGATTTAATTCACAAATGGACTGTCTAGATAAATGTGTCGGAGGTAAAATAATTTATTTTCTATGGCAACATATTTCCTCGGTTATTCCCCTTCAGCCCTGCCCCACAAACTTGAAAACAGGATGAATGTTCACTTTTGTGAAGCTAATGAATGATAATGTGAAGATTATTACATTTAACTGTGATGTATGTATTTTAAGACTTAAATTAAGTGCTAATGTTTACCGGTAACTAAAAAGCTTAAATTAACTATTATGCACATAAACTTTAAAATGATTATACAATTTTCCTACTTTTTCGCTTCCATAACAGTGTTTCTCTTAAAAATGATGCACAATGATATTTCTGAATTAAAAAAACATAGATTTATCTGGAAGACTATGGGTTAGAAATTTTGTTGTTCATAAGCCATGTTTTGTGATTGTTTTAGTAGTTAAAAATGTTTTGATAAAATTTCAGAAGAAAAAATGCTTGAAGTTTGTTCAAAGGTGAATGAAACGCTAGTAATGAAGACAGGTGTCTGGAAACATCAACTATCAGGTCTAGTAGGATCGCTAGTGGATCATCAGTGCAGGTAAAACATTCTTTTTTATTCTTGTAATTTTCAAATGATAGTAATTGCAATGTTAAGTTGGTTACCCATTGAGACAAATACTACTATATGGGGCGTCTGTGGCCGAGTGGTTAAGGTATTTGACTTCAAACCACTTGCCTATGACCACTGTAGGTTCCAGCCATGCAAGCGTCTTTGGATTCTTTCATGTGAGAAAGCTATCGAGCTAGCTACATGTAATATGGAACGTCTGTGGTTCTACTTAGGTGCCCATTTGTGCCTTCCTCCACCTTTAAAGCTTGGAAGTCACAATATGACCTACACTGTGTTGTTGAACATAAAACATAATGAAGAAAGTACTACTATGTATCCTCATATGACATCAGTACGGGTTAGTTCCAGAAAAATGACCTGACAGTGATATCAACATTATTTGCAAAAAAAGTTCTTTTACTATCAAGGAACTCCACTTAGGTCCAAAAGCTTAGAAACTTTGAAAAGTAAACACAAACACTTAAACTTGCATTCATAAATTTATTATAATTTTACTTTACTATTTCTTGTGTTCTCATTGTATTCAGATTTTTCAAAACTGTAAAAGAACAGCTACAAATGACCTTGAAATGGTGCTACCTTGAAGGTAAGAGGGAGGAGCTGATGAATGATACCATGAAAATGCTTGGATTTGATTGGACAGTGTGTATTGAAGAGGAGGAGCAAGAAGAAAATGGGGAGGTGACTGAGATGGAAATGTGCTACTCTTTTAAGGACATTAAACAGGAATGTTTTATGGAAATAGATCCTGAAAATGCTGAACAACAGCATTGTGTGTAAGTTGACTGAAATATCTTTTGTTCATTGTTTTATGTAAACATTTGTAATGCTTTTGTATAGTAAAAATAAGTTTTAAAAAGTTAAACACCAATGAAGAACTTTGATCATGTTTATCATTTTCGCCAAATTTGAAAGTAAGTCTAAAATAAATGTACAACTTAGAATCTTACTGAGTATTTTGTAAGATGTTTATCAATCAAGGATGTCACTTTAATTGTACAATTTGTTTTAATGTATTTCAGAGACCTGGAATCTGTGCGAGACTGTATTGTGGAGAAAACCAAAAGTTGTAATCTGTTCCAAATGTCGCAGATCAAGTCTCATTTTGAAATGATAGTTCAATACTTGGAGGATGCTGATATAAAGTGTGATATTACACTCCCAGAACAACAAGATAACCAGTTAAAACCAGTTCAAGAGTGCGTCGAGGCATACTTGCAAACTTTCATCACTGGTCTGGCGGCAGAATTTATTCCACTGGGGAAGAACGAAGAGATGTGTACAGCAGCCGGAACTTTCCGGAAATGTATTTACCTCATTAAGAATCTTCCTGTTAGAGGTATTGCAGACAAAATGGTTCACATTGCTAGCAAGTTACATCAAGATTTGTGCAAGGATGTGAAAGAAAATGGTGAGTTATTAGATATTTAATGAGATTTTTTTTTCTAGATAAAACTCCAGCTGGCTTGTGTGGGAGATTTGTGAGTAAGGTCAAATGTTTTTGTTGAAGGTCTGTGGTTGATGTTTAAACACTGCAAACTGTTAAAAAAATCTATATATAATGTAAGTTAAATACTCAAAAATGCACTATTTGCTGTTTTAAGTACATCTTATATACCTGTTGAGGACCTTGTATGGTGGAGAATAGTAGAATAGTATATAAGAAATACATTACACCAACTTAATGTTGGTTTTGTGTTTCACCTTACCCTCATTTCTTGTGGAAAAAAAACAACCTGAAATGAAAATTTGTATTTTACTTTTAGATATTTATTGTGAGTTAATTAACCCCTTCCTTGATGATGGCTACAGATTCTATCCATGTGACCAATGCAGACAAAAATCTACGAACACATTGGTGCCGTCTGATCACTGTCTGAACTGTTCCCAATTTAGTTGATACTTGTTTTGAATTTTTATTGCTAAAAACAATGAATGGTTTTGTCCAGATTGAAATCAGTTTATGATATTTAGCGTGATAAGTTAAAAAGGTTTTTAATATGAAGCAAATTATTATGTACATATAAGTGTTATGCTTGTTTTCCGATCCATATCCATATAATAAATTATTATATTGTGATGTAAAATAATACATGCTTGTAAATTTGTAAAATGAAATATGTTTAAACTAAATGCATGTAAAGTTTTGTTTTTATTATTTCATATTATATGATCAGTGCATGTTTTACATTTCAATACTGATCCAAATTATTAACAACTTTTTTTATAATATTATTTTGACTTTTGATTCATTATGCTTGATTATGTATTTGACAGAGGTACCAGAGAAGGTCACTGCTATAAGCTGTTACACCTGTCACAAAGCAGACAACAATGATGCATGTAATGAAAACACTGAAACTTGTCCATTCAATAAACAGGTAAATATTCACTGCTGATCATAACTGTACAAAAATTTAAAATTGCTGTTCATAGGTAGGTTGAAAGGTATACAAGATTTTAAGTAAAAGTCTTACATTTTGCCTCTAACATATAGTATGCTCATGTCCTCCTTAAATTTTTAAGAATATAACAAAAAGATTTAGTCAAGTAATATTTTTCTGGACAACAGTTTATCCATTAAAAAAATTAAAAAGTAATTGTAAAATGACATGATTAATGACATTTTTAACATTAATTAATTAAATAATGATTAAGGTAATCACAGAAACATTGATTTATGATTTATGAATGATCAATAAAAGAAAAATTAATCATTTAATAATCATGACGAAAATGAATATCTTTACCCCCAAGTCCGGTTTACCAGCATTGCTTTTTGGCACCAGGCTCAAACAAGTTTGTGAAAAGTTGTTTTTTTTATCAAAATAAAAACTGTTGAACTATGGACAGTTCCATATTCAAAACAATGTAAATCCATTACTTAAATTCACCAGGCTAAGGCCTATATGATAATGAAATAAGTAAATATTCAAAATATTCTTTCAAACTGGCTAATTGCTGATAATAACGAAAACCTACTCCCTATTTTGTTCTTACAGGCTTGCCTTACGGACATTATGAGAAAAGGTAATGAGACATCAATAACAAAGAAATGCATCACCCCAACATCAGCAGACGCAAGGATGAAAGAATGTAAAGGTTCTGGAAACACATTGAAATGCGTTTACTCATGCACGAGTGATCTCTGTAATAAAGAAGAAGAATACACTGAAGATGATACCCAGCTTCCATTGAGAAAGAAACGTGACATTGTTATTCCTGATGGTAATGTTTTATCGTTGTTGAAGATTAATTTGTTTAAGAAGTAAACAGTTGAAGGTGCATTGTAGTTTAAACATTATTGATTGCACTTCCTTGTGATGAAAGTTTCAACCTTTTTTAAGAACCTTTTTCTCAAGTCTTCTTCCTGAAATTAATCTGTAAAGTAGTGTTGTCATATAAATAAACTTGGCTGTGAACCCAAAGTAGGACTTAAACCCATGATCCCAATGATGAGTGGCAGTAATTTTTACAACTAAACCATAGCTATCCTAAAAATATATTTTTGATTGAATATATCCATGTCATTAACAGGTTTTTAAACTGTGGTGTATATACAGCTGTCTTCTGGGATATATTTAGATCTTGTATTGTATGACATTGCCAAACAATAAAGAAATATTTATTTGAACAAGTAAACATGTGACAGTTGCTTTATTGGATGCACAGGCTGGCTTTGCTTTATTGAACAACCAAACAGGCAACAGCTGAAATTTCCATGCTGGCTTGGCTTTATACTGGTATCAAGGGCTAATCACTTTCTGTTTCAGCAGTGTGCGGATTATAATTATATTCATTGAATGAGTGTTACATAATTGTCTTTTCACAGCTTCAACACAGTGACAGTTTAGCAATATTCTTCTTTCTTTTACAGTAAATGAGGTCGATAGCTGCATGTATAAGGATGTAGGAATGCTCGCCAAAACTATTGTTACGGAGATATTTTTCATGCCTTTTAGTCATGTGAATGATTACATGGAATTCTGCGAGTAAATATTATAATTTCTTATTTACTTTAAAAACATTATTATTTGTGGGACACTATTTTTTGTGGTTTTCATGGGTATCTCAATCCATGAATTTCAAATCCAACAAATTTAATTTCATCAGCTGTAGAATCATTACATTGTTTGTAGTCTTTTTTTGAAAAAATTTAAGAAACCACCAAAATGTCTTTTGTGACAAAACAACAAAACTTCATGCCCACGCAATAAAATGAATTTACAGTATTTGACAAAACTTTCCCTGAAATGGGAGTTTCTCTAGTTGTCTTATGATATCTGTGATGAACAACAACAAGCAACACAAAAACAATAAAGATTTTATGTTGCACACGGAGACATGCGTACAGAGATGCGTACAGAGAGGCCTTCTATAGAGCAAAAGACATGATAATTACTTCAGAAAAATATTTAACATGTGAAGAGCAGGACAGAGTTTTTGTTTTTCTTAAATAGTTTTCTTCTGACTGCATTTATAAATCTAAACACGGCATTTGGTATTTACCCTGTCTGTTTGCCTGAACTTATCTTATATGTCTATTTAATGAACTGCAGCTAGTTTATACTACTAATTTATGAAGTTCTTTATGTTTGTTAACATGATAATCAACTCTAATATATGAAATGATTTCAGTATGAAGGAGTCAAAGGGGTCGTAAAGTAATGGAATACAAAGCAAATTGCTCCATTGAGATGACAGAAAGAATCGACACAGTTTCTAAAAGCTTTGCAGACATTTCATATATGTCTTGTCCTCAGCCAATCGTAGACATGGAGGAGGAGCAAGATGATGAGGAGGAGCAAAAGAAAGGAGAAAAGGAGGAGTTAGATGAAAAAGAGGAGGAGACTGTTTGTTATTGGGAGAAATGTTTTAAGCCAATTGTACCTGTCTTAAAATCTTCGCAGCCGAAATGCATGTGAGTTCATGCTTTAATGCAGTGACTATTCATAACATAGAAAATATTAATTAAAGTAATGCAAAAGTGTAAATAATGATTTGAAAACAAAATGTTTTATTCAAATGTTTCAGCATAATGCATTTCATACCTATAAATAAGAATATTGAAATCATTTGCAATGTTTTAAGGCCTTGAAATTGTATTCTTTTGACCCATATTGTAGAAAAATTAAATTTGTTCTATAATTTTGTTAAGTTTCATATTACGTCTGGCTTTAAAAATATCATATCTTTTGATTGTGTTTTGCAACATGATATTCATTAGGTTGTTTAGTACCCTATGACAAATTACAAAATAAATTTTTCTTATTTCTCTAAGTTTACTAAATTAACTTTCGAGATTTCTAATTTTCTTTGCTTGTCAAAAATGTCATTTTTATCTAGGTTAAAAAAATTCTTTTTTTGTTGAGCTCCCAAATTTTAACCACATTTGCACAGTACTGTGGTCAAATGAACGTTGCACCAAGTGCCACGGGTCATATTTTCAGGATTTTGCGATGTAATCATTTTTTGACAGAATTATGGTCTTTCATTAATTTTACATATGTAATCTGATCAGAAAAAGGTGATTGTGCTTTCACATGTTATATATTTAAAATATTTGTTATTTTCAGTCATGTCATGAAGTCACTGGAGTGCGTTAGTAAAAAATTAGCGGAATGTGACAATGATAAAATTTTAGCCCTGAGAAGTTTTTTGAAGAGTGTCCGAGTGATTGTTTCAAATGAATCTTGCGTTGATGACATTACAAACGTGATAAATAAAGCCCGTGTTGAACCTGAGTGTGACTTAGAGGCAGCTCAACAATGTGCTGCTACTTTTGCTAACCTACCGACAGATGATGCTGATACAAGATGCTTGTAAGTAGGACTGGTCTTTTATTTTGTTTAGTTCTGCTTTGTTTTGTCTTGTTATGTCACATAAATTGCTAATTGATAACTAAAATCATGTTACTGACTATTCTACTGGTATAGAGCCAATTATTGCCAACATGTGAGCCTGTATATTCATTTCTTTGTTTTGTCTTTGCTGTGTCATACAAAGAATATACCAGTACAGAGATATGGGTTAACTATCTAGAGGCTGTATAGTTATGTGACTGTGTGATATATAGAGGATATTGGATGAGTGTAGGTTCCATACTAAATTTAACAGTGCATAAAGCAAATGATGTCATGTTAAAATATATGCCCATACAATCAATAGCATTTTTATGGAGTCCCAAAATCACACGGGTATGCGATAATATGTGATAATTATTCTACTGGTAAAGCACATTGCAACCATGTGCGCTTGCACATCAGTGCAGTCAGAACAAGTTTTTGGTGCTTGCTGCATAGTTTATTATTTCAAAATTGAAACCAAGACTAATAATATCTGTCATATGTTGCGGTCCGGACCGGAATATCCGTCCCGAGGGGACCCGCCCATTGGGCGGTAACGAGGCTTGCCGAGTTACCGCCCATGGGCGGGTTCCCGAGGGACGGATATTCCGATCCGAACCGCAAACATATGAAAGATATTTTTTCTTGCATATTCTGCCATATTATTTCATATTTAAAATGGTTTACCTCAATATGATATATGTTCATGGAAATTAAAGTCATTTCATCCATAACCATTTTCTTACATTAGCGTATGAACTTACAATTTAAATAACAACGGCGAAATGACGTCATCCTAAGACATATTTCCCTTCTAAAACGACGTCATTTTAACGCAGTTCATTCATAAATGGCGCTAAAATGACGTTGTTGTTTGGCACGCGACTCATCTGGCACCCCCCATGCCAGATGAAATTTCCTGCATGGGTAAAACTCACGGAAACGCCAGTCTGCTATGCAAGAATAGTCCATTCCACAAGTAGGATAAGTGTCAGATAAGAAAAAGGTAAACCTCAGATGTTGAAAAAACTGGCCTGGAGATTATAAACTCACTATCAATTCTCTAGAATTTCATTGGTCAATATAAATTCTATGCTGGTTTCTGACCAAGCAAATGCCTGGCCTTAGATGTGTGTATGAGCATAGGAAAATTAAAAGATCAGGACACTATACTGCAATATATTTAATGTTATATTTTATCTGTTTGTACTGTACTTGTACAACATTGTTTGTAGCATCTTAACTTATAGATTTGACTGACAGTGAATTCAGTCTGACAGTTTCATCCCGACTCTAATTTCTCTTACTCTATATTTTGATAATACATGTAGTAAATGATAATGTTTCCTATAATGAATATCTACCATTTCTACAACTTATATCTCTTAATTTTGTTTTATTGTCATTTAACAGATGGAGTAGGTATCTGACAATATTTTGCCAGGTTTAAATCTCACTGAAAAAAATTGTTTCATATTTTTTACAGGAGGAACAGAAATCAAGAGGCCTGTGTGAATTACCATGTAAAGAATTGTAATGACTCAGCAGAAAAGACTGCAGTGTTATTGGAAGTAGAGGCACTTAATGATTGTGATAATGATTCAACTATTGAAGCTGATATTGATATGTATGCTAGTGAATATGAGTGGTCGGAATGTAAACTTAGTGAAGCTGCTATGAAGAGTCAAACATCTCTCCTGGATGGTTTTGACCCAGCTAGTAAATGCGCGTAAGTGTAGAATGCTTTATTATTACAAAAATATATTTTTTTACTGTTAATGATGAATTATAGATGATAATAGCAATAGTTTATTAAGAATTTAAAGATGGTGCTTCAAATATTTTTGACCGATCTTTCAGAATGTTATTGGTTCTCCTTGAATAATATAAATGAATATTTTTATTAATGTGACTTAAAAGGTAAAAAGATATACTGCTGTACATTTTATCCAAAATGTATTTAGATATATTAAATGTTACTTTGATGTTTGAACATATTTTGTAAGTTTTCCAATTATAAAATCTTGTGTTTTCTTGAATCACAACTGTGCTCACGGATATACATTAATGGAGGAGAAAACAAGCATTAAACCACACAAGTGTGCATCATAGTAGCAGGGTTTTTTAAAATACATGGCTCGGGTGCCGTGTAAATTTAGCTGACTGCATTGACGGCCCATTTTCATTATTAAAACATTACTCTCAAAAGTGATAAATCTCACCTAAACCACTCATATGAAAACTTAGGTAATTGAACTGCAAATCCATATTTTTGTTTCAAGCAAGGCTAAATCTGTTCAAGAAGTATTACTGAGAGATTTTCATTTGCAGTGATGTTCCTGATGTATGGGATCCAATATTGGCAGATAACAATGGTTGCTTGGCATTACCATTCACAGTTGTGAAGGCTAGCTTTAAGAGGGGTACAGGCTGTGACTTAGCTGATGCAGATGTACAGTATCAACCCTGGCAGGATTGTATTGAATCATTCTTTACCGATGTAAGTACTGTCAAAATTGAATTGCTGAAGTATCTTCATTTGTGTATCAAAAATGCACCAGTAAATTGTAACCACAGCCCTCCCATCCCTGGGGAAGGGCTTGGGATAGTGGGGGGATTAAGCCTATCTTTTTATATTTTTTTCTGTCCCCTCACATTCAAGGGGCAATGCTATGGGTTTTTTTTTTGAAAATCTGAATATTTCCAAATCACAGTGCTAGGAATATTTGCTGGGATTTTAATTTTAATGGGACAAGGCCCTTATCTAAGTCTGGAAAGTCAAAGTTCCTGCTACTTTTGGAGCAAAGGAGCCATGTTTAGATGATTATGAAAGTAAAATATAAACCCCCCCCCCCCCCCCAAAGAAAAAAGGAAAAAAAAAGATTTTGATTCATTTTGCATTTTTTTTGTTGTAAAATAAAATGTTTGTAAGAACATTATTTAATGTTTGAGAGGTTAATTTGAAAGCAATTGATTATCTTATTATTCAGTTAGAAAAATGTCACTAAATTGGTTAATCAGTGTAACTTTTCTGCAATAGTCTTCTTGTTTTTAGCATTTTAGTTAGCTCTTTGTGTCTGAAAAATTCTTGCTGTTTCAAAATCTCAAATTTTGGTCAACAGTTCACACTGACAGATTACTGTACAAGTATGGAGAAGTTACTACAATGTGTGATGGATACTGAGCCTGAATCTTCCCTTGATAGCTACATGATGGGAGCACATATAAAACAACTGAAACATATCAATGAAACATGCCGGGAACCAGGTGTGTAACCTTTTAAGCATTATTAACCCTTAACTTAGCTTTCTGGAAACAATAAACCTTTGCCACCTCTATAGAACTATAGAACAAGCCAGTGTGCAGTCTGACAAGGCTCTATACTGTTGGCATCTCATTTTTTGTAATTTTATATTGAAATCCCTTAGACATTAAATGCACTATTTTATAATCAAAGCTGAGCAAATTTATTACAAATATTCAGCAGTTTAAGGATTTAACAAACCAAATGATCTAAGCTCATTAATAAGTAAACACATTTCAAAATTATATAGAAATTAATGTAATAAGCTAAAGTTTATCACTAAAACTTTCTTCAGGAGCAAGCAGTTACCAGACTTTTGACATACTTCATTGATACTCTCCATTTTAGAGATTTCTATTTAAATAAACAGCTTCATCCCTCAAATTTTTTTAGCCTTAAAACAGATTTTTTATGTTAAATGTCTCCCTTACAGAGATTTGTATCAAAATAATAATTCTCTTTTCTTTTTATTTTTTTGCAGAGGAGACAATTCCAGCTGGTAAGATTTTTTCATTTTCCCTGTTTGTAAAAATTGTGTGCAAATTGTACATTTGCAATTATGACTTTTTCAGCAAATATGCTTCCTGAAGTACATGCTTCAGATACAACCTGTGGGTAGCCAAAATTATTTGTTCTGACAAAATTAAATACAAAATGAGCTATTGCCTAACTTTTTTATGTCAAGTTTTCTTTATTGGTTGTTTCATGCTGAACGATATGAATGTGATTTGCTGAACTTCTAATGCCAAATAGAGTTACATCTGGTGATTAATTTAATTTAAAGTGCAAGGCATAATTTTAGGTATTTTGATGACCTTTTCAAGTCTCGTGTTTTTTAATATGAAGAAAATATTCATTTAAATATTAACTTTTATATTCCAACATTTTACATGAAGTTATAATGATATTTCATTGTTGTTATAAATTTTGTTTTGTGATTAGATGAAGGCTGTAAACCAACTGAACAAGCTGTGTGTGTGATGACATATGGAATGTTATTCTTCACGGCACCTTATTTACGAAACACTGAGAAAGAGAATGTTTGTAACAGGTATGACTACAATGCTGTATAAATACAAAACAGAAAATAATTTCAGCTTATAATGTTTTTTGTTGGCATGGCTAAATAAACAAAAAAACACACACTCTTCAATACACACACCCTGAGGTCTTTCTCCACCAGTTAAACTGAAAAGTCGCAAAATATAACCTTTACAGTGTTGGTGCAATAAAAAAGCTACACCTCCCCCCCCAAAAAAAAATTCCAAAAAAAAAAATCAAACAAAACAAAAACATGCACACACATACACGCAAACACTCACCCACACATGCACACACTGTTTCAGTTTAATAGCACACACATTGTTTTACTTTGATAGGTTTGACCTACAGATACAAATATATCTAGAGACGGAAAGAGCATTTTGCCATTTATCTAGGTACATAAGTTTGTGGATCAGATTTGATGTTCATTTTGGCATATAAGGAGAGCCTGCACTACTACTACTACTTCTTTGTTGAAGTAGTAAAACTTAAAGCTGTTTAAAGACCTGAATAGAGTTTTATGTTAAGAGAATAAGGCCTAGTTCTACTCAATATGACAATATAAGGGTACAAGTGCTGATTTCACCTGCATTGCACTATATTCCCCTGCATAATTTCATTAGTTTCATATTTATTTTCTGTCTTTAACATGTAGCCCCCTATTTGGGACCAAGAGATAGTACTATAAGTTTCCAGATTACTTTCTTGTATTAATTTATATTTGTTATCACATCAGTGTGAATTAAGAACGCTGGAAGACAATCTCACCTCTGATGGGGTATGAACCCAAAACCTCCTAATTGAAAGTACTGTGTTCTGTACTTAAACCACTATGGTTGAGCAAATGTTGTAAAATTCTCGGGCATCTTCAGACTAGACTAGCTGAATTTGTCTAATAGATATTCATAGCCTTCGATATTGGATCAGTTCCTTTAAAGTTTAAAGGGTTTCAGTATCAAATACAAATCAAAGCACAGAAAGTGCTGAATTTGTTTGGGTCTCAGAATGTCAGAAAGGTGAAGGTTGCGAGATTATAAACCAATTTGTTTTTGTATAGTGCCACCAATGCTTTCCAGCCTTTTAATTGTAGTAAATTGGCTATAAGGCTAATTGCAACACTGATATTCAATTCAATGTTTGTTTGACTTAAACAATTTGAAAAAAAAATGAGTTGCCTTAACTTGGATTTTAACTCCAGACCTCTCACTTCCTAAGCATGCGCAAACCTCTCGGCCACGGTGAAGTTATATATTAACGTCCTGAAGAAAACCATATTATTCTAAATTAGGGTTTGTAACGATGCTAACTGTTGTTTAACACAGATGTAAATAATCATGGAGCTTACTTTAAGCATGTATATCTATAAAGAATAAAACAATATTAGAAATCTTCGAACATTCGTGATCTATTTTGCTTGAAAATTAATGCGCCTGTCATTTTACGCAGTCATCTTTACGCAGTGATCTCCCCTGAATTTTTCGGCGTTAGTGTACATATAAAAAGTGGACTACTTTCGGCATTTGCAATTAACAGCATCAGAGTCTGAAATTTCGCTACCATTATTTGTTTGGTCTGACGACCCAAACAAATAAAAATGAGCTAGCAACAGTATAGAACCTGGTGTGTCACTTTTTTCTTGGGTTGGGGGTAGGGAGAATGAGTGCAGTGTGGGTGAACGCTTAAAACTATCAAATTATCAATTGACAAAATTGTATACAAGAAGTGTAAAACTGAAAACCCTTTTTTTGAATATATTTTTGTTCTAAATGTTTTCAAGGTATGGAGAAATGATGGAGAGTTGCTCAGAGTGGAATAGTTGCCCATCTAAACATGTAGATGGTGTAAGGGCATTGTTTGACAGCATAAAGGAAAAGTATGAAATTTTTGTTTTTTCTTAATTTCTAAAAAATAAATATTATTTTCCTCCTCTAGTTATTGCCTTATGATTATGTTATCCATTGTTGGATAAGTAGCAGTTGTTTTTCTTACTTAATGCTTTTTTTGTACATATTTTCTGTTGATTTCTTACTTGAGATCATAATTTCTGTTGTTTTCTTACTTGAGGGTATTTTTGTACATATTTCTTTTGTTTTCTTACTTGAGTTTTTTTTAATATACTTCTGTAGTTTTTTACTTGTGTTTCCTTTTTTCGTACATATATACTGTTGATTTTACTTGAGGGTTGGTTTTTCATGAAGACATACATATAAAGGACATGATGTTTTATATGATTTATTTTCAGTTCTGATGTGTGCATGAAGCCTGAGGAACCAGTCTGGCCATGTGAGTGGAAGAAGTGCTTTGAACCAGTCTATCCTTTCATGAATTCTCTTACACAGGATACAGAGTGCTGGTGAGAAAATTTGTAGATAAAACGGAGCACAAGACTTAGTCCAGCTGCTTTATTTTAATAAGCTGGTTGTCTTCCTTTTTAATTAGATTGGATAATGACTTTCTAACCAGAGTTGATTAGTTTGATATTTAAAAAAAATGACTACTTTGTTGTGTCTAATATTTGAATGTTGATGAAAACTTTACAGGAACATTAAACCAGACAATCTTTTTGCATTCTCTTGTCTGATTCAATAGTTTTTGAAATATTGAACCAATTTTATATTAAGGTCGATTGGAATGATACTCGAGCAAACATTTATTGTGGTAGATAACTAATATTTATTGTCACATTAAAAATACAGTTGAAAAATAGTAATTTTGTAGTCAAGCATGGCCTGTGGTTATGTTCACCTGTATCCATGAGATGCTTTAAAAGAAATGGGCTTAAAAAGTAACTAGGCTATACATTTGCACTTAGTAATTAACAGCTCGACAAGTGCTTTCAGTGCTTTGATTTTTTTTCTAGTCACATCAAACGTTCTATGAGTTGTATCAAGAAGATGTTTCCTGAATGTGACATCACTCAGAAAAGCGCCATTACAAGCTCACTTAAAACACTGCGAGGTACACTACCAAATACTGACTGTATTAAGGAAGTCTCAGAAGCAGTGTGTGAGGCCCAGAAGGTTGATCCAGAATGTAAACTAAAAGAAATCGATAATTGTGAATTTGACTATGACTCAGATGATTATGAAAATGATGATGATAAATGCTTGTAAGTTTTGTTTTATATAACCTATTCTAACAAATAGTTAAGAATAAAATACATGTGTATATTTGGTCTGTCATAGTCACTGTACATAATATACCCTGGCATGTTATCAATATACATATTATTTACAAATAAAAATTTTATATGGAGTCAAGGCCTATGAGCAATTGCTCATAAAATGAGGTAAGCATTATAATGGGGCACTGTATAAGGGGGTGGCAGTGTATTATGATATATTTAATGAGTGTAGGACAAAGTCGTCCTAGACAAAAACCCAAAAAATGACAGGGCGGACAAAAGCCCTCCTATGGAAATGAGAAGGCAGACTAGCACCCTCCCATGAAAATGACAGGGCAAACAAGAAAAATATGTATATATGTAAAAATTTAAATTTAAATAAATATAATAATTATAAAATATAATATATAAATATTTTACAGAGCATACAAAAATAGGATAGCCTGTGTGAAGTATCATACAAAAATGTGTGAAGATTATGAAGACAAGACGAACGAATATGTAGCACCAGATGGTTGTCTTGACAACGAAGATATTGTTGCTGATTTCAACCCCCACCCATGTGATTATAGCTGGCAAACATGTGACTTGACAACAGCTGCTATGTCTAGTTTAGACTTCATCAGTAGTGACAAGAAAGATGATTGCCTGTAGGTTTTATGTTCATTTTCCATCTATATTTTTATTCTTTTTAGAAAACCTCCCATTCTTTCTCTTTTTTTGTTCATTTTTTTGTTGTTATCATGCGTTTTCAACAGTATACCACAGATTACATATAGCTGGCACTTTGAATATTTTGGAACTCGTTTGTTGTAATCAGCATGTGACTCATATGACTGCTTTTCCGGCACTGTTGAAAATCCAGTCTGATAAACAAGGGAAAAACAATTGAAAATGCATGATCAAAAAAATGGTTTGAATTCATTGTCACTCAATCTTATTATTCTTCTTTAATGGTTCTTTTCTTGCATGTTATAATTATCATTTCAGTTGACCATTTCATTGTATGAATATTTAGAGGATATTCATGTTTTTTTCTATAAATACGGGATATATTTTCATTGAGTGGGATGAAAATAAATATTTCATGTGTGGAGGTAGCCATGAGTGAAATATGATAATTTTCAAACCACCAGATTTAAATAAATCCTGTGTTTATAAAAAAAAACTTGTATTTTCTGTTTATTATATACTTTTTAAAATACTTTTTTGACCTGATAATTCAAAAGACTTCCCCTTTATTTTTGTGTATTAGCTGAATTTAGAAGACAGCTACATGTAGTAGTCTTGAAAGACACCAGTGAAAATATGGAAAATAAATCTCACTGGCTTTGCAGTGAAAAATAAATTTGTACAGTGAAAATACAAAAAAATACAATATTAATTATCATCAACATTTCGTTGAAAAGTATATGATAAATATTCTTACTGGCATGATAACGTTCTGTATAAATCTTATATTTAATTATTCTATAGAGAGACCTTTCCTACACTTCATTAGAATTATATATAACTTTAATTTTTAGACTATATAGTTGAAGGTTAAATACTTTACATATCTTTTATAATATTCTGTAATATTGGGTAATATTATCTTTATATATTCATTTGTCTTTTAGTATTGGGTAATATTCTTGGAACATATTTCTTTTATGTAATTTGTATTTAGATATTGGGTAACATTCCCATATATCATAGTTTGGTATCCTTTCTGTTGAAAATGAGTTAAATTGTATACATATATGTATACTCTTTCTATTACTTAACACTTATTTGTATATTATTATTGGGTAATATTCTCTGTACATATTCATTTGTATTCATGTATTTGGTATCATTCTCTTCTCATACATGCATTTCTTTTAATTAGTATGTAGGTAAAATTATTGCAACATACAAGTTTGTATTTTAGTATGTAGGTAAATTCATTGCAGTACAGTAAACTCCGCTTATAACGAACTCATTGGGACATTCAAAATCTGTTCCTTATATCCGGAGTTCCTTGTAAGCATATAGCGAATGAGTTCCCTGTATCAGGAGTTTTTATAGCGAACAGATTTACATATAACGAACTGATTGTTTACCATTGTCCTCCATTTTGAAGAGCATTTGATTAAGAAATATTAGTCATATATTCAATAACCGAGAGTGTACTTTTTGGAATTTAAATAATTGCTATTCCAGTTTAATATTTACTCCCTATGTCAATTTCTCATAAAATATAATATTTTGTTTCTAAACTCTTTTCGTTTTCTTTCCATGATTGAGAATAAACAAGACTTTGAATATCTTCTTTTATAATTTAAGGGTGACTTTTACTTATGGAAGATAAAGATTTCTTTTCATTTAAATCAAGCGTACATTGCAGATTGCAAGCATGCGTGATTATGTTGAAAACCGATTATAAATTATTATAATTATGTTACTCAAGCACAACTGTTGACGAAAAGAAATAAATAACTGTTTTATCGTGGTGAAAAGAGCTCATGCTAAAAATATCCTAAATAGAAAACTATACAAATTCATTTTAATAGATGTATTAAAGTATATACAACGATAAACAGTACATTCGGCAGAGTTTTAATCCATGCCAATGAAAACGAAAGTCTATTTACGGATAGCCAATATTTTGGAGTTCGTTATAAAAGTGTAATTTTCTGTACTTTTAACTAGATTGTGACTAAGAAATGAGTTCCTTGTAAGCGATAATTCCTTATAACCGTGTTCGCTATAACCATATTTTTTTATATTAAATAAAGAAGGGCAAAATTCGGGCCAAAATAAATTGTTCCCTATAACCGGAAGTTCGCTATAACCGTGTTCGCTATAAGTGAAGTTTACTGTATACAAGTTTGTATTTTAGTATGTGGGTAAAAGCATTGCGACATACAAGTGTGTATTTTAGTATGTGGATAAAAGCACTGCAATATACAAGTTTGTATTTTAATATGTGGGTAAAAGCATTGCAATATACAAGTTTTTATGTATGTATGTTGATAAAAGCATTGCAATATACAAGTTTGTATTTTAGTATGTGGGTAAAAGCATTGCAATATACAAGTTTGTATTTAAGTATGTGGGTAAAAGCCCTGCAATATACAAGTTTGTATTTTAATATGTGGGTAAAAGCATTGCAACATACAAGTGTGTATTTTAGTATGTGGATAAAAGCACTGCAATATACAAGTTTGTATTTTAATATGTGGGTAAAAGCATTGCAATATACAAGTTTTTATGTATGTATGTTGATAAAAGCATTGCAATATACAAGTTTGTATTTTAGTATGTGGGTAAAAGCATTGCAACATACAAGTGTGTATTTATACCCCCAAAAACGAAGTTTGGGGGGGTATATAGGAGTCACCCGGTGGTCGGTTGGTTGGTCGGTCGGGCGGTCGGTCGGTCGTTCGGTCGGTCGGTCCAGACGTCCGTTGCAATTTTCTTGTCCGGACCATAACTTGAAGACTAATGGTTGGAATTCAATATAACTACATACAATGGTCAAGCACATTGAGAGGAAGTGCAGTGCACAAGAACCATAACTCTATCTTGACTAATTACAGAGTTATTGCCCTTTGTTACTTTTCCTTGTCCGGGGCATAACTTGAAAACTACTGGTTGGAATTCAAAACAACTTCATACAATTGTCAAACACAATAAGGGGAAGTGCAGTGCACAAGAACCATAACTCTATCTAAAGTAATTACAGAGTTATTGCCCTTTGTTACTTTTCAATTGCTTTCTTTTGTCCGGACCATAACTTGAAGACTAATGGTTGGAATTCAATATAACTACATACAATGGTCAAGCACATTGAGAGGAAGTGCAGTGCACAAGAACCATAACTCTATCTTGACTAATTACAGAGTTATTGCCCTTTGTTACTTTTCCTTGTCCGGGGCATAACTTGAAAACTACTGGTTGGAATTCAAAACAACTTCATACAATTGTCAAACACAATAAGGGGAAGTGCAGTGCACAAGAACCATAACTCTATCTAAAGTAATTACAGAGTTATTGCCCTTTGTTACTTTTCAATTGCTTTCTTTTGTCCGGACCATAACTTGAAGACTAATGGTTTGAATTCAATATAACTACATACGATGGTCAAGCACATTGAGAGGAAGTGCAGTGCACAAGAACCATAACTCTATCTTGACTAATTACAGAGTTACTGCCCTTTGTTACTTTTCCTTGTCTGGGGCATAACTTGAACACTACTGGTTGGAATTCAAAACAACTTCATACAATTGTCAAACACAATAAGGGGAAGTGCAGTGCACAAAAACCATAACTCTATCTAAAGTAATTACAGAGTTATTGCCCTTTGTTACTTTTCCATTGCTTTCTTTTGTCCGGACCATAACTTAAAGACTAGTGGTCGGAATTCAATATAACTACATACAATGGTCAAGCACATTGAGAGGAAGTGCAGTGCACAAGAACCATAACTCTATCTTGACTAATTACAGAGTTATTGCCCTTTGTTACTTTTCCTTGTCCAGGGCATAACTTGAAAATTACTGGTTGGAATTCAAAACAACTTCATACAATTGTCAAACACAGTAAGGGGAAGTGCAGTGCATAAGAACCATAACTCTATCTAAAGTAATAACAGAGTTATTGCCCTTTGTTACTTTTTCCCTTTTCTTTTTTTTTGTCCGGAGTTTTTAAATTTTAAAAAATTTGGTATGAATTCTTATAACTTTTAAAAAAAATGGGCGGGACAAAAGGAAGGAAGGCAGTGGCACAAGAACCTAAAATCCCTCTTGACTAAAAAACAGAGTTTTTTGCCCTTTTTTTAAATTTTTGCAGGTTTTTAGTCCGGAGCATAAAATTTGGGAAAAACTAATGGTTTTTGGGAAAAAATAAAAAATTCAAAACCAAAGGTCAAAACACATTGAGAGGGGAAAATTTCAGTGCAAAAAAGAACCCTAACTCCCCCTTTTTTACAAAAATAAAGAGGGTTCTGGCCCCCTTTTTTACTTTTTTGTCTGGGGTAACTTTAAAACGTACTGGTTGAAATTTTAAAAACAAACTTCCAAAACAATGGTCCCAAATACAAAAAAGGAAAGGAAACAAGTGCACAAGAACTATAACTCCATCTTCAGTATTTATAGAGTTATTGCCCTTTGTTCCTTTTCCTTGTCCAGAGCATAACTTGAAAACTACTGTTTGGAATTCAATACAACTTCATACAGTTGTCAAGGACATTAAAAGGAAGTGCAGTGCATAAGAGCCATAACTCCATTTTGACAAAATACAGAGTTACTGCCCTTTGATACTTTTCCTTGTCTGGAGCATAACTTAAAACGTACTGGTTGAAATTCAAAACAACTTCATACAATGGTCAAGCACAAAAAGAGGAAGTGCAGTGCACAAGAACTATAACTCCATCTTCAGTATTTATAGAGTTATTGCCCTTTGTTCCTTTTCTTTGTCTTTCTGGACTTATTACAGAGTAATTCAATAAAACTTCATCAATGGCCAACCACATTGAAAGGAAATGCAATATACAAGAACCACAACTATCTTTAATTGCCCACAACCATAACTCTATATTTCAATTCTTTTACAAGATATTCTGTTACTAGTTACATCCTCATTTCCGAAGCAGTCTTGTGGGGGTATTAATCACATTTAGTGATAGTTCTGGTTTAGTATGTAGGTAACATTATTGCAACATACAAGTTTGCATTTTTGTATGTAGGTAAAATCATTGCAACATACATGTTTTGTATTTAAGTATGTGGGTAAAAGCATTGCAACATACAAGTGTGTATTTTAGTATGTAGGTAACATTATTGCAACATACAAGTTTGCATTTTTGTATGTAGGTAAAATCATTGCAACATACAAGTTTTGTATTTAAGTATGTAGGTAAAACCATTGCAACATACAAGTTTGTATTTTAGTATGTAGGTAAAACCATTGCAACATACAAGTTTGTATTTTAGTATGTGTGTAAATTCATTGCAACATACAAGTTTGTATTTTAGTATTTAGGTAAAACCATTGCAACATACAAGTTTGTATTTTAGTATGTGGGGAAATTCAATGCAACATACAAGTTTGTATTTTAGTATGTGGGTAAATTCATTGCAACATACAAGTTTGTATTTTAGTATGTAGGTAAAACCATTGCAACATACAAGTTTGTATTTTAGTATGTGGGTAAAATTATTGCAACATACAAGTTTGTGATAAAACCATTGCAACATACAAGTTTGTATTTTAGTATTTAGGTAAAACCATTGCAACATACAAGTTTGTATTTTAGTATGTGGGGAAATTCAATGCAACATATAAGTTTGTATTTTAGTATGTAGGTAAAACCATTGCAACATACAAGTTTGTATTTTAGTATTTAGGTAAAACCATTGCAACATACAAGTTTTGTATTTTAGTTTGTAGGTAAAATCATTGAAACAAACAAGTTTTAATTTTGATATGTAAAGTTAAATTATTGCAACATACAAAATTCACTGCAACATACTGTTATTTTATGTAGTTAAACATTATTAGGTATAACTAAACTTCTAATGTTTTGTGTTTGTTGTAGCGATAATCGGTAGAGTATACAAACTGTTTTCAATTCAGCATTTAAACTGAAATGTTTTCTGTACTTTTTTAACATCTTCAGTTTTCCCTTTATGTCTTTTATACAAAATTTCTGCTGATTTAACAGATTGCCTGTCTGTGTACAATGTATAAATGCTTTTCTGCAGGTACTTGCTTGTCAAACTGCATGAATGATATTTTAGAAAGTTCTTTTTATCATTGCTATATGGAGAAATTTTAGATCAACATTTGAATACTACGAGGGATGTCCGGAAAGTTCATATACATCTTCATTTTTTTATTGTAAAACAATACATACGCTGTACAAATTTTGTCAGCATAAAAATACATATCTAGCGAACACATTTATCAAAAATTACTGAACTGTGACTAACGTTTGTATTTTAAAAGTATTTACATACAACATATATACATAATCATGGAGCACTTTGACAACGTCAACGGCGTCAAATTAAATTCATGTTTACCAACTATTTAATTTCTTCCGATTTCAAAAGCCATCATGGTACCTGTCTGACGTATACTTAATACATGTTATTGCTTCATACATTTCATATTTAAAATTATTATTTAAAAATAAAGATTTCACTGGTTCCCATACTGTGTGTAAGATGTCTGCCTTTTTCAAAAAATGTTGTAACGCAATCTACGATATTTCAGCCATGCTACTTTTGGTCACTTCTGGAGCGTTTCTTATACAATATCCTGTCATCACCGCTTCTTTATCTTGTTTGACATTTATTCATTTAAACACAAGTTGCCTTTAACATTTCATGGTTAATTTTGTTTTAAAGGTAAAGATTATAATCTCAGATGGCGCCATATTAGCGTTGCTATGAAGTTAAATATCATTACGTTGCTCCGTCCGTTAATTTGACGTCATTTTTGCAACACAAAATGTACGCACCTTCATTGCCTATAATCGCCGTAAACAAGCTGTTTATTTACGTATGACATCATAATTTACACTGAATATCATGTTATACTATCCTATGATGTCACAAAATTAAAACGAGAGATTGCATTAAAATTACATCTTTTAGCAACTTTTTATTCGAGTAGCTATCATCATGAAATCAAAGTGCTCCGTGGTTCGTTGATCATGTTGCCATGGTGATCGGCGCTTTGCGAATATTACTTTTATCATGTTTTTTAATTTAGAAATATGTAGCAGATAAATACTTAAGTAAAGTATTAAATCATCATATTGATATGTCTGCTTAAAATAATTTTATAGCCTTGTCTACGAACTTTCCGGACAGCCCTCGTACATGTATTTTCTGTAATGAATATACATTTTGTGTGAATATATATTTTATTTTTATACTTTAATTTATGACTTTTCTTGTAACAATTTTTACAAAGTGAATACTGTTTTTAGATATTTTTGGTATTTTTTTGCATTCCATTAACCAATATGCTTTAAAGGTGGAGTTTTAAAGTGATTGAGTATAGGTCAAGGTCACTGAGGCTAAATATAGATTTTCTTACTTTTTCTCATACTGCCATTTTTATGCTTGCAGAGCATTCATCAGTCTTGCTAATGTATTCTTCTTGTTTGAATTTTTACTTTCTGCCATACTAAATATTGTATTTGGATTTCTCCATCTTTAAATCTTGACAAAATCATTTATCAGTTTTAGGGAAAATTTCAAAATATGAATTGACTTAATATTGAGCAGTGCAGACAATGATGCTGCAATTTGTTAATTATAAACATACATATTTTTTCTTCTTTGTTTTCTGTAAATTTTCTGACCCAGTCATACTTTATAACTATTTCTTACTTGCTTATTATTATTTTTTTTTTATTTTGCTTTTTTTGTCTAAAGAAAAATACAAGGCTTTAAATATATATAAGGTTCAAATTTTGGTAATGATTGTTAGATAATGATATTATGTGAAGGTGTAAGTCACAGACTAACATTCATACTAACCTGGTGATATGCTGAGAACGTCAGTGGTTCTACTCAGGTGCCCATTTGTGCCTGAAATAATGCAAGGAAGGGCATGTGAGGTCTTCCTCTACCAGTATAGCTGAAAAGTCCCCATATGACCAATACTGAGTTGGTGCAATGTAAAAACCAAACCCCCCCCCCCCCCCAAAAAAAAAAAAATTAAAACATTAAGGTTTTCACATCCTTTGCTATGGTCAAACCATTTGTGTGTGAGAGCTCCTTTCACCATTTGTAATTGTATTAAGACATATCCCTGTTCAACTATCATGTTCTAACTGTTGTATTATCTTTAAAAAATGTTTATTTTATTTATTATTGCTATACTGTTCATTATTTAGCAATCTTTCAGTCTTATAATCATGTGTCTGTGTGTTGTTTTTCTCTGTTGTTGTTTTCTCTTTTGTATAGTTATTTCAGACTTTTGTCTCCCTTTAGTAGTTAACTGCTTTACAACAAAGTTCCTTTAATGTTCAAGTCTTAATACTTCTAGTTCTTCTGTATTGCTTGAAAAAGATGTTTCGCTTTTAATCTCCAATAACTTCCTTTTTTTTCACTCCTTCCTTTGCAAAGTATATTTCATTATTACAAAACAAAATATATCTTGAAATTCCATTATGCCCTAATGATTTTACTTTTTGAGATGATTCCATCATATTTAAAATAACACAAGTTTAATATTTGAAATTATCTAAATTGGATTTTTTTTATTGTAAAAGATATCTTAATAAGATGATTTTGTTTGTTTGTTTTTATTGTTGTTTTGTTTTTTGTTTTTGATTTTTAAATAATTTAGATTATGTGGATCTTTTTGACCCTTTGTTGTGCAAAAAATCTGAAAAAAAGTGTGATTCTCTTAATCAAAGTTTTCTTTAATGAGACATTATTTGAGCCACGCCATGACAAAACCAACATAATGGGTTTGCGACCAGCATGGATCCAGACCAGACTGCGCATCCGCGCAGTCTGATCAGGATCCATGCTGTTTGCTTACAAACCCTATAACAAATAGAGAAACTGATAGCGAACAGCATGGATCCTGATCAGACTGTGCGGATGCGCAGGCTGGTCTGGATCCATGCTGGTCGCAAACGCATTATGTTGGTTTTGTCGTGACGCGGCTCATTTGTTTGAATATATTTACAGAACTGCTGTAGATGTTAATGATGCGGTAGGGCAAAATCTACCAGGCTGCTCTCCTGTACCTTTCTCTATTGTTGAGGCAGTTTTGATCAACAACAGTGACTGTATTGACTCATTGCTTGTCGGAGTAGAGACACACCCTTGGAAGACATGCATCAGTGAATTCTTCTCAAGTGTCAGTATAAATAAAAATAGTTTTTAAATCTTTACCATAAATCATCCAGTTAGTTCATTTGGTAGAGTATTGGACTGCGAATCGGGCGACTCTGGTTCAATTCCCAGATAATGCAAGTCACTTTTGTTATGATTGATCATGAAATCCTTTCTACGGTCATTTGCACTGTACCTCTGCTCTGGCATGAACAAATGATAATAGTTTCTTGCAAAAGTGAAGGGAACTAGTACTGGTAAACTCCTTGACAGGCTCTGTCCAGGAACAATGTGGTGGCTGAACTGTGCTCTGGTAAATTCAATATGGCTCCCTGTCGTGATCCAGAGGGTAAACTACCAACACCAAGTCCTAGACTTATGTGAACAACAACCCCCTTTTACAGTCCCCCATTACTCATACATAAATTATGAATACCCTGTAGTCTCTTAACCAAATGCTACATTTTGGTGCTACTTTTATGCATACGAATAACTGTTTTGTTTGCAGTATCCATGATACAAATATTGGTTCATATTTTTGTAGAGCATACAGATCTCATTGTGTCTAGCATTCAGAAAATCTATGAATTATATGTCACAGGGTGAGAAAATTGGCATCCCTGACTGGGACTTTAACCTGGGACTCTCTGATAACTGTTCTGTAGGTCGACTGACTGAGCCAGCTCCCCTTCTGGTGAACAGTTTTATACCATTACATTTTCCCCAGTTATAATAGAATTTGCTCTAAAGGGTACAGAGAAAAATGTGAATGGACTAGGAGTAAAATACATCATGTTGAGCAACAAAGGTCAGAGGGAGTGAAAAAAGTGCATCCTGACTGACATTGACCCTCAAAATACTGTTCTGTAGCTCTACCGACTGAGCATTAAGTTTACACATTTTGTGTACATTTATTATTAGTGGTCTCTGCAAATACATGTAGTTTAATGAAGTAAAACATTTGATTCACAGCTAAATTTTTCAGATGAACATGCCTTCTGCCCATTTCCAGGGTTTTCTATAAATGTCATGAAGCTTAATTTGAGCAGCCAGTAGTATACATAACAGTAAAGCCTGGTCAGACAGGATATATTTGCAACTTATAATTTGGGGCATAGGTTTGAAGGTTTTCACTTTTATGTGATGCTACAAAAACAACCGATTTTTGCCAAGTGTCAAGGGGGATACTGAACCAATTTTAACAGCATTGTAACAGATGATATGCATTGCCAGTCTGTTAATCATGAAAACTCTGTAGCATATAATGCATTATTCCTGCTTGTCTTTAAAGAGTTGAATTATAGTAGATGTAATAAATGACAGAAAAATACTGCATGCTAGCCCACAGGAAGATGCTGGTTATCCAGCTTTTCAATGTTTGATAAAAAACAACAAAAAATGATGCTTTTTTTATTTTTCAGTTTACATTGGAATCTATGTGTAAAGGTTACCAAGATTTCCTGAAATGTTTGATGACAACTGAGACAGTGTCACATGTTGATTATGACTTGATAACACCTCATATGGAGACATTCAAATATCTAAACCAGTCTTGCACACAGCCAGGTAAATAAAATTTATTGTGCAAATTTGCAAAATGTTGTTATTGTTTATTGCTGCATGTACATGTATTTATTTAAGGCATGATCATTTGAAGTGTTATTTAACAAGTTAGAAATATTATTTTTAAATCATAACATTTGGAGGAACACTATCTTGATAAGGTGAAATATGCATTTGAGCAAAGAAATATGTTGAAAACTCCAGGGAAACAAGCCGTTTTTCAATGTACAGTAAAATCTCACTAATGAGACCACTGAAGGGATTTAACATATCTGGTCTTTATAACAGTATATTATACCTCATTTGCATATGCTCTTCTATATTTAATATGACGTCACCCGGTCCATAAACCGCATACAGACCAGGGGCGGTCCATAATTCTTATGAAGACCGTTTAAACGTAACTTTCACGACGTGCGAATTTCACGATGACACAAACAGAATGGCCAGGCGATTTGCCTTTTTATCAGAGACATAAATTTATTACATGTTGATCAAAAGTTAATTTAATTATAAATTTTATTTATACAGTTTTTGAAATTCTTAAAGTTCGGGTTTTTGGCCTAGTAACATTAAATATTTAATTTGATTAACAAAAATGGAATATTAAAAGAAGAGCATGATTTTTTTGCTGCATCGCTTGAAAATAATAAAACAAAATCCGACTAGGGTTTTGGATATTTCACACACTGAACAAGTAAAATTATTATTTGAAAGAGAATAATAGTAAAATGACAGCACAAAACAAATGGATGAAAGGATTTAGATTCGGTATAATATAACAAATAAAACATGGCCTTTCGGGCAAAATGCAAGTTTACGGACTGGTTGGTCAGACCTCGAAAGGAATATGGCCCTCAGCTGCGCTTCGGGCCATATACCTTCCTCAGTCTGACCAACCAGTCCGTAAACTTGCATATTGCCCTCAAGCCCATGTTTTATTTGTTAATTGGTCTCATTAATGAGTTTGGTAAGACAGAAAACCAAGCAAGACTTTTAAAGGATTTCATATTCATTGTACAAGTGTTTAATTCTGTTTAATTTATGTTTGTTCTATTTGCAGATGGTCCTATCCCTGCAGGTAAGAATTGTTATTAAATTATATTGTGAAATAAATCTAAAACCCTTCTTTTTTCTTCAAATAATTAGTTGTTTGAGTTTTGCTAAAATTCTTTAATATTTTCATATTGTTGCTCTGACAAGAGGAAGAGAAACTTTTAACCGAAATTACATCATTCTTTAATGTTATGGTTGAGTCCACATCTACTGTCATAATAAGTAATACTTAGTTCAGCCTCTGACAACTGTGTAGGGGAACAAATTCTTTTGCTCCATGGTCTAGATCGTTGTTATTTTCTCATGTAAGCTGGAGGTCAGGAGTTCATATCCCAGCCACAGTAGGATCATTTCTTATGCATTTGCATTTTTCTGTACCAAACTAAAATGATAAAGGCTCATCTGGGGTGCCTGGCTCTTGGAATTTGTTTGAAAACAGAAATGGTTTCTGATTTAAAAAACAGAAACGGTTTCTGATTTAATTATTAAAATAATTTCTGATTCTGTTTCTGATTTAAATATGGAAATGTTTTCTGATTTAACAACTGAAATGGTTTCTGATTTAAAAACAGAAATAGTTTCTTATTAAATTAGAGAAGTGGTTTCTGATTTAGAACCAAAATGATTTCTGCTTTGAAAATGAGTCATAAGTTCATCATAAATGGTGATAAGTGTTGGTACACTTCAATCCTAATATATCTTCTAGATATCATTGTTTCAGATGAAGGTTGTCAACCAACAGAAGCTGCTAGGTGTATTCTCACACATGGGATGTTATTTACCTTCGCTCCTCTTTCTTCTGTACAACAGAAACAGCAAATGTGTGACAGGTGAATTTATGATTATTACAGAATTGTTTCTAATCAAAACAGCAATGAATATGTGTTTCACAGTTAAATAAGAAGTAAATAATTATGTGCAAAAGTTTAAAAAATGTTGTCAAGTGACTACTAAAATATCCCCAAAGTAACTAGATCACACCAAACCCTTAGGTTTATTAAATTAACTCACATTTTTGTCATAAGTTTATTTATTTATGTTAACCAAGAAAGTTTAATTTAAAAGCATTTTGTTTTTATACAATTAATCAGGTACAAAACTGTAACTGAAGAATGCATGACCAAATGGAACAGTTGTAACTCCACCCATGTGGCTGATGTTAAACAATTCTTTGACAAGATCGTAGATGAGTATGTATAGCAATATTTTGTGAATACTGAGTATTTTTATCACTTTTTTAGTTTAAAAAATATATATAGTACAATTTTTGTTATTCTGTTTTCATTCTGCATATATTTACATGTCTACATGGAGACAGAAGTGCATCCTTTGAGCTTTAATTAGTCAAAATAGAAATTAATTTACTATTCTTATTGAATGATTTTAGATCTGAAATGTGTTATGCACCAAAGGAGATTGAGTGCCCTAAAGAACCAGAGGAACCCAAAGAACCAAAATGTGAACCTGGAATGGCCATGACTTTAATTTCTGAGCTCAGCATATCCTTGTCAAAATGTATCACATCAATGACAATAAAAGATCAAGTTTGCCAGTAAGTGTATATTTCTCTTTTTAAAATTTTATGTAGTAGAACTTTTGTCTGATATTTTTTGTATATTTTAAAAAGTGTAAGTATATTTTTCTTCAAGTTGCTGTTATATTGTTAGTTATTTAAGACTATTCAAAAAAATAATAAAGAACATACAACATTCTCAGTTTTTATTTCACGACGCATCTGCTTATATAAAATTCACATGACACGATATATCAAATAATTGATCATTAAGTATTTATATAAGGCTGGCGTGTATTGGCCGCTCACTTATGGTAGGTTAAGGCTTAGATGCTCCTACCACAAGAAGTTATATCAATCGAAGGTGATCAGGCGTTATCAGCAAGTTGCAATACCAAAACTTTATAAACACAAAAATGCAATGCAAAGATTTGAAGCAAACCCAAGCTAAATAAAACTAATGCAACGCAATGGCTTTGAGCAACTCAAGCCAGCAAATAGCTACACACCAACGCATTACCTCTAGAGTCTATCCAACTACATGATCATAGATCTCAGCTCCCCACGGTAACGTAATGGAAACCACTACCAACGTGAAGAGAAGAAAAACTATGAACACGCAGTTAGACTTGTGAATGTGCGAAAGAGGTACTAATTAATGTGCCAAAATAACCTCAACAACTGCTATTTAAAGAACTGTACGCCTGATCATCCCTCAATCGATATAATTTTACGCCACAATAAATTTTAATTTATCCCCCAAATTATAGCGAGTATTACATGTTTTTAATAATTGATTCCTTTAAATGGAAAAGGTAAAATTCCAAGCCAACGGCATTTAAATGTACCCCGTCATCACGGAAAAAATTTGTTTCCGTGTCAATGTCAGGGGAGATAGTATCACTTTTCCCCGACAGTTTTAACAATTTGTCTGCCCTGACGATTAACCCTTTTTCCGCTTTGATTCAATTGGTTTCAAAGTAAGAGCCCTCTCCAGACCCTCCTTGGTAATATGTCAACCCAAATAAGTGTCGTCTGTGGAAAGCATCACGGAGGTAAGTAATGTCTGATTCAATAACCTTTTTTAGTTTGATTAGAGAAATAGATGTTAAATCATTACCACCTAAATGTATGATGATGATCGAAGGTGGTGATGAAAGTAGGACTTGTGTTTGTATTGAATGCCTAAAATCTGCCCATTTTAGACCTCTTACACCCCACCATGCTATAGTCTTGCCCTGTATTCTTAGGTTGGGCTTTGCTGTTGTCACGGCTCGTACTCCTGCCCAATAAGGTATTGAGTCACCGACCACCCAGACGTCAGCATTATCTTGCAAGAATCTGCTGTCCATTCCGACGTCTTCCGACTCTGGTCTGCTCAAGCCACGTGCTTCCACGTGTTCCGCTTCTGCGCCATTCGCTTCATCTGCATTTCGTTTGCGCCCCCTTGTAACAGGTCTATCATTTGTAGGCCGCTCCTGATTCACAACTCTGCCCTGACTCGCCGCTCCTCTACGACCCATAGCTCTCCTTACGCCTCTACCTCGTGGCATTGCTGATATCTTAAATCTATTTTAGCTGTCAATTTTAAATCTCTCAACGTTGTTGTCGTGTCGACTATAGCTAGCTAACTGAGAATGTTGTACTGGGAATGTTGCACGGGATTTTCGTGCAACGCGTTAACCCATCTAATGAAATTATACCTATTCTATGCGCTAACTATAACGGGAACCTGACTTATAAAATAAGCGAAACGTTACAATGTAACGGAAGGAAACAATTTATTTCTCAAGCTAAATAAAGGAAATTATTTTCATATAAATAATTTATATTATATTTAAGATACAAAACTTTGATTTATTCTAGTTATAGAACTATTTCTGATTTGATAAAATTATTGAATGATTTCTAACAAATAACAGACACATTTTTGATAAGTTGATTTATACAGAATTTACTTTGATTTGTAAACTTAGACTTAATTAAGTGATAGACAAATTTATAACTTTGCCAAATTGTTAGTCAACATCTGACAGTTAAGTTTTAGATCATTTTCCGACTTATTTATGATTTTGACCAGCTTTTTACTTACTTAAGTTTTTGGCCAACATTAGACTAAGTAAAGTTATTGACCAACTTTTGAGTATTGAGTAAATTAGACAATTTGCTGACTTTTGTTTTATATCAGTAAGTTAAGTTCTGTAAATTTAAAGACAAGCTTCTAGTTTAGTTATATTTTTGACCAACTTTAGACTAACTTGAGTTATTGGCCAATTTCTGACTAAGTTAAGTTATTGGCCAACTTTAGACTAACTTTGAGTTATTGGCCAATTTCTGACTAAGTTAAGTTATTGGCCAACTTCAGACTTACTTGAGTTACTGGCCAACTTCTGACTATATTAAGCTATTTACCAACTAGTGACTATGTTAAGTTATTGGCCAAGTGCAGATTTAGTTAAGTAATTGGCCAACTTATTTAAGTTATAGATAATTATTTTGACTTTTGTTTCAGATCAGTACCATTTGTAAGAATGCGTGTTCTAGCAGCAGTAAAATACTGTCCTGATTCTATACAAGATAGCATTCTTAAATCCTGGACCATTATGGTTGAAGTAATTGACAGTGTGTGTGAAGGTAAAACGATTGAAGTAGATTTGCCTGACCTTGATAGCACACCGATTTGTATTCCCGAGGCTTATGAGAGTAAGAGAAAGATGTGCGAGCCCGCAGTAGCACTGACATGCCTGGCCAGATTGGAACAGGAAGTGTTTGATACCAGGGGAACAGAGGACAGATTCTGTGTGTAAGTTTCCTTTAACATTTTCCTCATTGACTTTGGGTGATGGCTTTTCCATGTACTTTGAAATTTGAACTCTGTCAATAAAAGATTGTAATACATGTAGATAACAGGGAGTGCAAGATTAAAATATACAGGCATGAAATGAAAGAAGGTTTTGTTCAACAAAACAGACTACATGTATATAGTACTTCATTTGTATTTAGTACCTCAGATTCAAAATTTGATATTTTCAATATTGACAGTTGCTCTGGAGCTTATTGAATACAACCCCTCTGTATTTCTTCACATGTGTAGAATATATTCTTTAATTGTATATAGTAATATATAAATGTTGTTATGCTATTATTTTCCTGTAAATAATTTTGTGTTGTGTATTAATGGACATGAGAGGTCTCCCTCTACCAGTTACTGTTGTATGACTTTAAAAGGGCTGAATTGTTTTCAACTCTTTCCCAACCAATGCCAAAATAGCACCCAATTAGCCCTTAAAAATATTTGTTTGAAATTTAACGGACTGTTCATTATTATTAACACTTATACTGCTGAAGTCAAAAATGAGAAGCCTATGCCTCTATTATAGAGTCTGGTCACACTTCATTATCCTATGCCACTATCATAGGGCCTGGTCACACTTCACTATCCTATGCCACTATTATAAGAGTCTGGTCACACTTCACTATCCTATGCCACTATCATAGAGCCTGGTCAGGCGGTTTCTATCCTATGTCATCAGTATAGAGGGGTCTGCCATTTGTGAAGTCTGACCAGGCTGTGTTTTGTTGGTAGCTAAATTTTTGTATTTCAGTATTGAAATATGACTTTATAAACAAGTGGTCTTTTTTTGGGGGGGGGGGGGGGTTACTATATACTATTATTGCAAAATGGTCTTTTTTACAGAATGACCTTTATTTAGAGGTGGTCTTTTATATAAGTTTGACAGAACAAAAAAAGCAGGGGTTTAAACTGTTATATCTAAATGTTTATTTCAGGGTGATGCGTTATACGACCAAGTGTTTTATTGACTACACGAGCGGTTGTGATTCATTTATTGGATCTGCCATCAATCCTCTTGTACAGTCAACGCTGCAGTTTTTCAGTGATAGATGTTCGCACACCTGGTGCCCGCCGCAGGAGGAACCAGAAATGTGTGATATTGAGGCTGCTCAAAAATGTGTGCACACCCTGAAAACTACAATGTGTAAAAGCAAGAAAAAGTCATGCAGGTACAAACAAGTGAAAATAAAATATTAAAATAATGATTTTTAAGGACTGAATACATGTCGTACTGGTTGTGCAAAATCTTTAATAGCCTAGGATTCAAATTTTTTATAAGTTATCAATATGAAACTTGGAGTACTTGCTTATCTTGATATGTTGTTGTTGTTAGACAAGGTGAATTATTCTGAAAGTAATATTTTTATAACTTGTGTCCCTTTTTATGCCCCCACAAAGTGGGAGCATATAGTGTTGCACTCGTCCGTCCGTACGAACCCAGAGGTACTTGTGTGACTTGGAGAACAATGGGTAACAGTTAATTCTCTTTGATCCTATTCATTCCGTTTTTACTTGTGCGTCTTTTTTAAGCCTTGTGTGACTAAAAATGGCCTAAAAGGTCAAAGGAAAAGTCACATAAGTACCATTTTGTGAGTATGTCCTTTGTTTGTCTGTCGGTACGTCCCGAAATCTTGTGAACGCAACTCCTCTTAAACCGGATGGCAGATTTTGCTTAAACTTCCAGGGATGAACAACCTTAATGTGTAGATGGTAGTAAAGGAAGGAATTTTTGCTGCGACCAAATTTAACAGAATTATGGCTCTTTGTTGATTTTTAGTTTTCAACTTGTGGCACATGTAGTCCAAAAAATATTTGACCTAGAGTCATAAGATTGACAGAACAGTGGCGTGTGGGGGCATCCGTGTCCTATGGACACATTTCTAGTTATCTTAGATTTTCTTTAAAAATTGGTTATTTAATAGTCATGGTCCTTACCAGTCTAGAGTTAACACAGCATGCAGTGCTCTTGTCTAATATGATATTCAGCAGCTATGTTTTAGTGTGTAATCTAAAATTAGAGTGTTATGATGCATATATACTTTATCATACTGAATACTTAATATATTATATATACATGTATTTGCTATACCAAAGTCGCTCACATTTTAATGATTTTTTCTCTGTTTTTAGAATGATTGAGCTAACTAAAACTTGTATTGCCAAGGTAACAGTAGATTGTCCAGAGAGCTTTGGACTAATAGTGAAACAAATATATCAAGAAGTGACACTACTATCCTCTATTGCATGCTACAATGATGAACCAAAGGTGGATTCCATGGCATGTATCAACCATTACAAGATGCTGGGACTTAAACTTCTAAATATTGGAGCTTTGCCAAGGTGAATAGTAGAGATGTTATTGATAAATGTTATTATGTTGATATTGAAATGTTAAAGACATAAGAATGATGTTTTTATGATGTTGTGTTATAGACATAAGAATGATGAATTTTATGACGATGTGTTATAGACATAAGAATGGTGTATTTTATGATGAAGAGTTAAAGACATAAGAATAATGTATTTTATTATTAAGAGTTATAGACATAAGAATGGTGTATTTTATGATGAAGAGTTATAGACATAAGAAAAAAAATGTATTTTATGATGAAGAGTTAAAGACATAAGAATAACATATTTTATTATTAAAAGTTATAGACAAAAGAATGGTGTATTTTATGATGAAGAATTAAAGACATAAGAATAATGTATTTTATTATTAAGAGTTAAAGACATAAGAATGGTGTATTTTATGATGAAGAGTTATAGACATAAGAAAAAATGTATTTTATGATGAAGAGTTAAAGACATAAGAATAATGTGTTATATGCATTTAATGATGAAGAATTATAAATACATTTGTTTAAGAATGCAATGTTTAACAAATGATATGATTAAATGTTAAGTTTTTAACATAGACTTGAAATGTTTTAGACATAAGAATGAAATAGTTCAAGTATTTCATGATAACATATTAAAGACAAAGCATTATAGGCATAAGAATGAAATAGTTCAAGCATTTTATCATATAATGTGTTAGGCAAAGCACTATAGACATAAGAATGAAACAGTTCAAGTATTTTATGATATAATGTGATAGGCAAAGCACTATAGACATAAGAATGAAATAGTTCAAGTATTTTATGATTCAATGTGATAGGCAAAACACTGTTAAATCCTTGTACAATCAATAACTATAGAAGGAATAAGCTGCTTTTGATTTTGAGGTAAAAGGTCAATGTCATGGGGATACTCTGTGTAAAATCATTTTCTGATCAATGACTTGTGAAGGAATATGCCTAAGTTTGTTAAAATGAGACATTGCCATTAAGCAGTAGATGATCCATGTTGATTGCAAAGACATTAAGCCAAAAATCCCACAGTGGCTAGTAGATTTGTTTCTGTGGGTTTTGAGGTAAAAGTCATGGTCAAAGTGGCACTTTGTGTAAAATCCTTGTCCTATCAATAACTTGAAAAGTAATGAGCCATGTATCTTTATAGGGACATTACCCATGGGTAGTAGATGACCCCTATGGATATTTAGGTAAAAAGTCATAGTTAAAGTGGCACTTTGTGTAAATCCTTTATGAATAAGGTATTTGTGTCTATATTTACATTTAACACTTCCAGTGAAAGAAGCTCTGAAAATGGAGATGGTGACATGGAGGAAGGCTCAAACAGTAATAGTATTGATGATGATGAAAGTTCAGGCACAACAAATTCAACCACAGGTAGCGTGAAGCAATCTAGCAGTGTTAAATCAGGAAATGCTGGTAAGAAATCTGGCAGTGGTAAGAAATCTGGCAGTGGTAAATCTGGCAAAAGTAAGGACTCTGGCAGTAGTAAGGAATCTGGCAGCGTTAAATCAGGAAATGCTGGTAAGAAATCTGGCAGTGGTAAGAAATCTGGCAGTGGTAAATCTGGCAAAAGTAAGGACTCTGGCAGTGGTAAGGAATCTGGCAGCTCAAGTGGAAGTAGGGGTAGTTGGAATGAGGAGAGTACAGAATATGAGATTGATGTACGTGGAATTTGTCTAGAACTTGAAGAGGCATGGAAGTGTGTAGAGGCCAGTTTGAATATGCTCAGTATGAAAAAGAAGACAGTTGTATCAAAGATGATCAATGGAATAAGAGAAGCTGTTTTAGACAAGTGTAAACGTAAGTTCTTTAGTATTTATTATTATATAAATGTATTAGGTGGGGATTAAAGTAATGTTTGTTATATGAATGTATGTTAGGTGATAATTAAGTTAATGTATGGTATATGAATGTATATTAGGTGAGGATCAAATTAATGTGTATTATATGAATGTATATGAGGTAAGGATCAAATTAATGTGTATTATATGAATGTATATGAGGTGAGGATCAAATTAATGTGTATTATATGAATTTATATGAGGTGAGGATCAAATTAATGTGTATTATATGAATGTATATGAGGTGAGGATCAAATTAATGTGTATTATATGAATGTATATGAGGTGAGGATCAAATTAATGTGTATTATATGAATGTATATGAGGTGAGGATCAAACTTATATGTGTTATATGAATGTATATGAGGTGAGGATCAAATTAATGTGTATATATGTGTATGACTTGGGTTCTTGTTGCAATTATGAGTCTTAAAATGTTTTGTGATTTTTTTTCTTCAGCGATGCACTGTTTCTCATGTAGCGGCTTAGATGATAATGATGATTGTAATAAACAGCCAACATGTGCTTGTCCTGTGCATCAACAGGTGAGAATTCTTTCCGTTTATTATCCTAGTTAACCCTTTTCCTGCTGGAACTGAAAGTTCTTCGCCTTTGCCACCAGTACGGAGCCAATTCAGACAGCACATCAGCGCTCAGACCAGGCTCTCTACTGTTTTCATATTTTATTTTTTATGTAGAAATCCCTTAAACTTTGAAGAATGGAGTGTTCTAGATGTAAATCTGGACAAATCCATTTAAAAAATTCAGCAGGTTAAGGGGTTTAACATTTTGTTTTATTTGTAGTTCACTTGGAACCTGGTTTGCCTGAACATCACTTATAATAAATGAAATGATCTTTTGTACAGTCAAAATTGTATTTAGCGACCGCGCAAGGGAAACACCCAAAACGGTCGCTTAATTAAGACAAACTATGATAAAAAGTCAAAATTTATATATACATGACATCTTTCTTTTGCAGTGGGAATGTTTTTCAATTTCATTTATATAAATGTTTAATAATTAGAACGCTCCGATAATCTAAATGGATGCTAATGTAAAAAAATAACTTTCTGATATTTATTGACAAATCAGTTTTGATCCATTACGAACATGTTTGACATTTTTCCAGAATTTTTAAACTTCTCCGTTGTATTTCCTTGTCTCCAACAGGAAAACCCTGATAAGTTTTTTTCTGTTGTGCATTTTTCATTTGAAATAAACAAACTACATCTGATTGTAACGATTAATTTAATTGCTGATCAAGTTCAAGGTCAATTCAATGCAGCGGAGCGTTCCATTGTTTTATTGATATTATTGGATGATACACCTCACGCGTATACTTACCTTTATTTGCATACACTAAAACGGTTTGGCAAATAGAGTTTTTCACTTATTTATATATTGTGTTTTGATTGTTGACACTTGTGACATGACGAGGTGGCGTTCTCTAAAAACATAATTACTTGACAGGTAAAAGTGGTCGTTTAATGTAAAGATTAATCTCAATTAGCTGACTAAATAGCAGTCGCTGGTCGGGTGGAGCTAAAGTCGCTTAATACATTAAAGATATATCGAGAAAATGAACGGGGGGAATTGAAAGTGGCCGCAAGAGACAAAAGTCGCTTAATACACGTGGTCGCATAGGGCAAGTTAGACTGTATTTGTATTCATTAACAGAAACTTAAATTCATACTTGTATTCATAGCCCATTTTATTTGTAACTTCTTGATTTAATTACATTTATAATTAAAAATAGTTGGGTTTTTTTTAATGAGATTTGCGATTGCTAAAATCAAAAAGGTTATTACCACATGATTGATCAAAGTACCAGTGGAATGTCACCTTTGATCATTTGTAATTACGACAAAGCTGATAAGCATATAAATTAAATAACTGTAGATAATTAAGTATTTTTCATGAAAAGCAAAAAAGAACAGGTTATTGTGAGCATCATGGGAATGTCAGTTACAGTAGAAAGTTTATTTGTTGCATTAAAAACAAGTATAAGACTTATAGCATTTTTTTTATGCAAAGCAAATAAAGTTTGTGTATTTTTATGAAAGACCAGAAATGGTGGTTTTTGTAAACTCATTACTTTTTACATATTTGTGTATGTTTTGTTATCGATTACTTAAATGCAATATGTGACATGTAAAAAAAAAAAATTGACCTTTTTTTCTACACCAGAAATGTATAACAAGGTATATTGGTGGGATATATGAGAAAGGTTGTGCAGGAGAAGGTGATTGTAAGGATTGTAAGGCAGAAGATGGCTGTTTCTGTTGTGATGGTCATAAATGTAATGAACACGGTGAACCAGAAGGTAAGTTTATTGTATTTTATAGTGTTAATGTTTTTGTGAAATATTGATTTTTTTTAGCTTGAGGGAGAGCTTTTGTACTCAACCAGGCATAGGTGTTATACTTTGGTTTTTGCGTGCAAATTGGAATCTCCGAAACTACTGAAGGGAATTGGTTTAAACTTTAAACACTTATTTGAGAGCATAATAGGAGGTTACTATCCAAATCCCATAACATGGATTTTGACAGAATTATGGCCCATTTTGAACTTAAATAATTCTGCATTATCAAGCTCTTGTTATACATTGAAGCACTGAGAATAATTAAGCATGCTGTCCTACTGACAGCTCTTGTTGTTTTTTTAGCTCACCTGAGCTTGCTCAGGGTGAGCTTTTAGGATCGGTGAATGTCCGTCGTCCGTCCGTCGTCCGTCGTACGTCCACAATTGCTTGTGAACACTCTAGCGGTCGCATTTTTGCCTCAATCATCATCAAACTTGGTCAGGATGCTTATCTAGTTGAAAGCTCGGATGAGTTCGAACATGGCTCATCTCGGATGAAAAACTAGGTCACAAGAGCTAAAAATAGAAAAACCTTGTGAACACTCTAGAGGTCACATTTTTGACCCAATCATCATCAAACTTGGTCAGGATGTTTGTCTAGGTAATAGCTCGGATGAGTTCGAACATGGGTCATCTCGGATGAAAAAGTAGGTCACAGGAGCTATAAATAGAAAAACCTTGTGAACACTCTAGTGGTCACATTTTTGAACCAATCTTCATCAAACTTGGTCAGATTGCTTGTCTAGTCAATTGCTTGGATGAGTTCAAACATGGGTCATCTCTGATGAAAAACTAGGTCACAGGAGCTAAAAATAGAAAAACCTTGTGAACACTCTTGTGGTCACATTTTTGACCCAATCATCATCAAGCTTTGTCAGGATGCTTGTTTAGATAATAGCTTGGATGAGTTCGAACATGGGTCATCTCGAAAGAAAAAGTAGGTCACCGGAGCTAAAAATAGAAAAACCTTGTTAACACTCTAGCGGTCACATTTTTGCAATAATCATCATCAAACTTGGTCAAGATGCTTGTCTAGGTGATAGCTCGGATGAGTTTGAACATGGGTCATCTCGGATGAAAAAGTAGGTCACCGGAGCTAAAAATAGAAAAACCTTGTTAACACTCTAGCGGTCACATTTTTGCATCAATCATCATCAAACTTAATCAAGATGCTTGTCTAGGTGATAGCTCGGATGAGTTCGAACATGGGTCATCTCGGATGAAAAAGTAGGTCACCGGAGCTAAAAATAGAAAAACCTTGTTAACACTCTAGTGGTCACAATTTTGACTCAATTGTCATCAAACTTGGTCAGGAAACTTGTCTAGGTCATTGCTGGGAATAAATCGAACATGGGACATCTCGGATGAAAAACTAGGTCACAGGAACTAAAAATAGAAAAATCTTGTTATCAGTCTAGTGGCTACTGTTTTGATCCAAATATTCTGTTAATTGGTCTGAAAGTTTGTTTTGATGATTTCTAAGTCAAGATCGAACATGGGTCATCTTGGATGAAAAACTAGGTCACACCGCCCAAATATGGAAAAACCTTGTTAACATTCTAGTGGTCACATTTTCGACTCAATTATCATCAAACTTGGTTAGGATGCTTGTCTAGGTAATTGCTTGGATGAGTTCGAAATCGCATGTGAAACTAGGTCACTGGAGCTAAAAATAGAAAAATCTTGTTAACACTCCAGTTGCTACTGTTTTGATCCAAGTATCCTGGAAATTGGTCTGAAAGTTTGTTTTGATGATTTCTAGGTCAATTTTGAATATGTGTCACCTGGGTAAAAAACTAGGTCGCACTGCTCAAATATGGATAATCCTTGTTAACACTGTAGTGGTCACATTTTTGACTCACCTGTCATGAGACTTGGTCAGAATGCTTGTCTAGATAATTGTTTGGATGAGTTTGATAAGTCAGGTGAGCGATCTAGGGCCATCATGGCCCTCTTGTTTACATCAGTTTTGTTTGTTAACTCTAAATCTTCATGAACCAAAAATAATAAGCTCTATTATACTGGTTGGTAGATCAATTTTACTATTTAAATATTGAATTCCCTGAATTTTCAAGTGGACTGTTCCAAATTCAAAGCAGGGCAAATCCATTACACACATTCAGCAGGTTAAGGAATTTATTTTGAAATTTATTCTAATTATCTTTATTTTAGAACCTGAAGTATGTGATGTGTCTGTAGCTGTAACATGTGGCTTTGACTTGATTATGGTCGCCTTGGAAACTGATAACGTTCAGTTAAGGTATGTTTCATTATTATGTACATTAGTTAGTCGATGTGTTTTTGCATTTACACAGTTGTCATATAATTATGTTATTTACCAAGAAACATTTTAATGGTTGTTTTTTTATATATTAGTCTTTCTATTGCACAAAGTTTATATATATATCAATGTCCTTAGATGTCCATAGATGTTAAAATAAATGTTTTGCTGTTAGGGGTAGTTATTCTCATTTCTTTTCAGAAGTGTGGTTATTCAATTCTTATGTTGACAGTTTATATTTTACATGGTTTAATATTTTTATATATGATATTATTTTCAGTCTGCTACAGGGTAACTTACAGTGTATTATTGAGCACACTAAAGGCTGCAAGACCAAACAATACTACCTTCTGTACACTATATGTGTGGAGATACAAACAATATTTGAGATTGGAGGCTGTGTTAGTCAGTTTGGTGACCCTCAATGTGGTACTGTGGGCATTCTAGGTATTAACTACCTACTGGCAAATCCTTACAAACAAAGTTCATACCACTCTGTGTGCAGGTACATAAATTTTACTTGTTCATGTTTTTTTAAATTCTTGATCATATCACTGATTAAAACAGCTGTTAAATAAAAGAAACAGATTTGACTTAATAGCCATGACATATGTAGGGTGTGAATTTCATATTATTAACATGTTAACAATGTTTAAACATTAGCTTTCTAGATATATGTACATCTCTCGAAAGTTTTCTCAGGTATTCCACAATTTGAGCTCTGCTTCTTCCCGGAGTATTCTACCTATGTGAGGTTTTTGCCATCTGAGGTCTTTTTCTACCTGAGGTATTTATTCATGTGAGGTTTTGCTTCACCCGAGTTTCCCCCTACTTGAAGTATTCCTCTAATTTAGTTATTCCTTCATATGAAACCTTCCTTTACTGGAGATATTCCTTTACCTCAGATTTCCTGCCTTTTTCCATCAGAGCTCTCTCTTCATCTGAACTGTTCCTCCACATGAGGTATTTTTCTATCTGAAACTTTCCTTATCTGGAACATTCCTGTTCCATGAATGTCAGAAAGTTGTCATATGTCAGTAATATGAGTTGAAACACTCTAGAAAAAATTGTTTCGTTAAATGTTTTGTCTTTTGAAGAAAAATGGAAAATTGTAAAGTTTTATGGCTGTTACAGGCAGTATGAAGCTACTTCTAACATGGTGATAGAAGTAAAAGACGGAGAAAATATGTGTACAGACTCCCAGCTTGATGGACTTGATGTAGCTTTCTCATTTGCCACTCAGCAAGTATCTGGTATATGTACAGCTGAGGTTGACCCACCACGTGTATGTGATGTTGAGAAAGCACTAGCAGATTGTATCTCCCAAGATAAAGTTTGGACAGAAGCCCGCTTTACAGAATGCAGGTCAGTATTGATGAGCAAACATTGCTTTTAAATGTTACTTTATATAATGTTAGGTATCTGTTAGTAAATTATTAGTTATAAAGATTTTGAAAGGTTATATTGCAGTAAAAAGCTAAAAAAAACTCAGCCACTAAGCATGGGTTATGACTGTTTATATATAGTCTGAAATATTTTAATGAATTTATGACACTGCATGCTTTGTTTAAAGATGAAAATTGATAAACTGTATGTATAATTATGTGTAAATGATATTTTCATAATTGTCCAATGTCATTGGATGGTACATGAGAGCAATGTTTGTTTGTTAGTTTAAGACCTTCAATATCAAAATGTTGATTATAACCGTCAGCTTGCATGTAGTGACTTAGTGACTGAATTTACACATGTCACCAGTGGATACCAAGACCAGCTAGCACAATTATGCAGTCTGATCATGATCTGCTCCAACTCTTTTTTAATCTTAGTCATAGATTATAGTTGTGATTATTTTAGATTGATCGTTATAAAAACTGATAACTTTTTTTTTTCAGTGCGGACACGATAACAACCTTAAAATCTTGTTGCATTGGTCTAACAAGTGACTGTACATCCATGGAAAGAAGTGTTCTAATGATACCTGTGAACAATTACCTACAGACACTGGTCAGAAATTGTGATGGTACTGATCAGTATGGCATGGAAACTGTGATGTATGTTGACTGTTTTTAAATTAAAATTTGCATTACTAAATTTGGTTAATTTACCCTGCTTTTCATGATGTCTCCCAAAATGACAGTTTTTTCCTTTGCTGTCCATCAATAAAGTTATGATTTGATAGTGCATCAAGATAGAGTTTATTGATTTATTGTGAAATCTCGGTTATCTCAAATTCTCCCCCCTCCCCCACATTTCAATTGGGAGAGCAGAGCATATTAAGGGGACGCTTGTTAGATCCTTGTGAGGCGTAATTTCCCTGTGACAATTGATCTAGGACACTAAGACAAATGGTCATTTGTCTTCCACTGCTGATTCAGAAATTATCTGGGACTAGTGGTCAGTCTCCTTGAGAGAAAATTGGTAATTACTAGTTAGTTAACCAGGAATTTCCAGTTCGGTATGGTTCAGTCCGCCAAGATAAAACCAAAAACTTATGTTAAATTCAATGTAAAACCAGAAAACAAACAAGCAAATCAGTTATCTAAAGCATAAAAAATACATATTATATATTATAATACATGTTCAATATTCGTAAAAAAACCCTTTTTTGTTAGTTTAAGAAACGCATCACTTTATCATGTAAAAGTTGCTTGATCCTGAGAGTGTACACAGTAATAAGATTTTTGATATTTTGATTTTCTGCTCTCACTTTTTTCTGTTATCTTTACTTTTAGTCCAGAGATTTTCATCGTGGATGGATTTACCACAGTGACACAAACAATTGAGACATTTGTGACAGAGATCCAGCAGTCCCTTATCACAGGAACTCTTAACTTCGAGGAAGCCCTGTGCAATTCTGCCAACACCCTTGTATCCAGCTTCAAAGATCTTGACTCCAATCAGTTGCTGTCAGTTAATGCAGCCAAGAATGCTGACAAAATATTAGATCAGTTAAAGGAAGTCTGTGAAGATACAACAGTAACAGATGACGATGTTAAAAGAGGTAAAAAGTAGTAAAAACATAGAATGATTATACTAATTTAGATTAAATTAATTTATTTTAATGTGATTGTGTTGGAAACTATAAGCTCATTGAATTACACTTGAATCCAATTCTGGAACCAACCAGTACTAAGCAATGAGTGTAAAGTTTCTTGCTGGACCCTGACGGGGTTTGGACCCATGTGACCAATAATCCTTAGATTACTAGCCCGATGCGTTAACCATTTGGCCACACTGAAAATTCTGGAAGTTTCAAAATTAAACTTGGTGTTGCCAGCTGTATCTCCTGGAATGATAAATTGTATTGACAATATTTGATGCTACATAAAGCATTGATATTTAAGGCAGATTTATATTTTATCCTAAACATTTTCCAATGTCAACTGTTGATCAATCATCATTATAATAGTCAACCTTTTGAAATATATAGTCAATTTAGCTCGACTTGACAATGAAAAAAATCAGCCTAATGTCACTTTAAAATTGTTAATTATAAAGTGGATATATGTTGTGGTATTTGTTACTGAGTTTAAATATTACAGAATGTGATGGTTACAAGATGGATGTTATGATGGTGATAGATTCCTCTAGCAGCATTAAAACAGCCAACTTCGCATTTGTTCAACAACTTGCCTTGCAAATGGTCAACATAGCTGATTTAGAAAGTGGCAATGTCAGAATGGGCGCAGTTCAATTTTCAACAGATGCCAACATGTTATTTGGTTTTAATGAGCACCTAGCTGATGGAGTACAGGATAAGTCAACATTATTAAGTATGATGGATAACATGGAGTATATAAGAGGATCGACTAGCACAGGCCTGGCTTTAGAATTAGCAACGAATGAGCTGAGGGATAACAGACGTGAAGATGCAAATCCGTTCATATTCTTGTTTACTGACGGTAAACCATCAGATACGGACACTGAAACTAAAGCAAAAATGGCACATGCTCTAGGTTATAGAGTATTTGTAATGGCTCTAGGTATCGAGGAACAAGAAGAACGCGATCTCATCAATGAGATTGCAAGTGAGCCAGCAAAATTAAACGTACTGTACCTGACTAACTTTACACAGATAGAAGAATATTACAAGAGTGTTTATCAACTGTTCTGTCGGGGTATGTATTATAATATGAAGTTCTTCAATAAAATTGTTAAGGTTAAGCACCAATGATTTGTTGGAGCAAGTCTGATCTTTAAAGGGACTTCACCAAGACTTTTTGACATTAAAGGACTGGAAATATTTTTTCCAGACTTGTGTACCATTTGATAAATGTCTTGACTTATAACTTTTGTGCAAAATTTCAGTAATTTCCTTACTTTGTTTTCCTACCAATAATCTTTTATATTGTGCAAAGTGACCCAAAATTGAAAAGCAATGCACTCAAACTAGGCTAAAATCAAGCAAAAGAATAGATTTTCAATTTAACTTGGAGTATTTTTTTTTTTTTTTTTTTTTTCAAAAATTTTCAAATCATTTGATTTATGCAAGAATTTTACATTTATATTTTGAAGCATATTACCTCAGTGCAGCACCTTTAAAGTGTTAAATAATTGTACATGCATATCCACTCTTTTGAAAATGGTTAACATAAAGTATTTTGTGAGAGATTAGTGTTCTTAAAATTTTCAGTTATGATTTTGAATCAGATTTTAGGATAATTTTAAACAATATCATTGTATAAGAGGTGAAAATATCATAAAGCTTTTAAAATGATGGAGAGAAAATTCAGAAATTACCTCTTGATACTACTCAGTTTCCTAGATCTAAAATCTTCCTCATTTCCTACCTGCATGGCAAGAATATTCAAATATACAGGATGACCTATTTTTTGACCTTGACAGGTAATATTTGTCACTTGTATTTAATGGGTTTATGGGCCTTGACAGGTAATATTTGTCTCTTGTATTTAATGGGTTTATGTTTTCTGATTTCAGAAAGTTCTGTGAGTGAATGTGACTTTGCAGAGATAGTGTACCAATCATGTTCAGCATTAATGTATTCTATGACATCATCTTATACCACTGTTGATAAAACTTCTGCTGTATGCCAGTAAGTAACAAATGGTTAAAAAAATAAAAACTGTCCTTTGTCTTCCTATTTTATGTGTGTATTATAAATGTCCTAATGTTACTGAGTTAGCAAATTTTTGAAGAGAGGTGGATAGATGGTGGAGCACAACAGTAATTTTTTTGTGCAGCCAGTTATGGTCATTCTCTGTACATTTTTATAGAGCAAAATGTTTTACTGATTTTTTTATTCATCAAATTAATCAATTTCACATACTGGTTTATAGGTTTATCACATTGTTATTTAATTTATCACAGAAATAAAGTCACCACAGGAAAAAACACTTAATTAAGTGGATTTTACAAGAAATATATTTGTTGCTTTTTTGCAGAAAGATAGAAAGTTTGTCTCAGTCAGTAACATCACTGAGTGCGCAATGTCTAGGGTATCAGAAGTCTGCCATACAGTTGATCCAGTCACTTTCTACGTACCAGTCGCAAGAGACGTGTATACATTTCCAGGTTGATGTCATTGTTGACACATCATGCAATGATGCCATGGCGAAAGAATGTGTGATTGATATGTCAGAATTCCTTCGGTCCGCCCACTTTGAAGATAAATTTGTTTGCAGGTAAGATTATGTTACGGATTGGAATACGTTCCCAGTTTGAAAAAAATAATGATGATTAATGTAATTTATCCTCAGTCAGGTAATAATTCTCTTGTGACAATTGATGTTTGATACGGGGTCCAATCACTGCTGATTCAAAAATCACAATAGGATATATAGAAAATCACTTACATACACAATGTAAATTACTAGTTAGTTATACAGCCTTTTTTATTAGCTCACCTGTCACAAAGTGACAGGGTGAGCTTTTGTGATCGCTTTTCGTCCGGCGTCCGGCCGTCGTCCGTCGTCCGTCCGTCGTCCGTCCGTCGTCCGTAAACTTTTACTTTAAATGACATCTCCTCATAAACCACTAGGCCAATTTCATCCAAACTTCACAGGAATGTTCCTTTGGTGGTCACCTTTAAAAATTGTTCAAAGAATTTAATTCCATGCAAAACTCTGGTTGCCATGGCAACCGAAAGAAAAAACTTTAAATATCTTCTTTTAAAAAACCATAAGAGCTAGAGCTTAGATATTTGGCATGAAACATCTTCTAGTGAGTGTCTACCAAGTTTGTTCAAATAAAAGCCCTGGGGTCAAAATTGGCCCCGCCCCGGGGGGGTCATTGATTTTCCCTATATGCATATAGTAAAAACTTAAAAAATCTTCTTTGAAAGAACCCAAAGAGCTAGAGCTAAGATATTGAGCATGAAACATGTTCTAATTGGTGTCTACCAAGTTTGTTCAAATAAAAGCCCTGGGGTCAAAATTGGCCCCGCCCCGGGGGTCATTGATTTTCCCTATATGCATATAGTAAAAACTTAAAAAACCTTCTTTTAAAGAACTCAAAGAGCTAGAGCTTAGATATTTGGCATGAAAGATCTTTTAGTGAGTGTCTACCAAGTTTGTTCAAATAAAAGCCCTTTGGTCAAAATTGGCCCCGCCCGGGGGTCATTGACTTTCCCTATATGCATATAGTAAAAACTTAAAAAATCTTCTTTTAAAGAACCCAAAGAGCTAGAGCTAAGATATTTAGCATGAAACATGTTCTAATGGGTGTCTACCAAGTTTGTTCAAATAAAAGCCTTGGGGTGAAAATTGGCCCCGCCCCGGGGGTCATTGATTTTCCCTATATGCATATAGTAAAAACTTAAAAATCTTCTTTTAAAGGACTCAAACAGCTAGAGCTTAGATATTTGGCATGAAACATCTTCTAGTGTGTGTCTACCAAGTTTGTTCAAATAAAAGCCCTGGGGTCAAAATTGGCCCCGCCCCGGGGGGTCATTGATTTTCCCTATATGCATATAGTAAAAACTTGAAAAATCTTCTTTTAAAAAACCCAAAGAGCTAGAGCTAAGATATTTAGCATGAAACATCTTCTAATGGGTGTCTACCAAGTTTGTTCAAATAAAAGCCCTGGGGTTAAAATTGGCCCCGCCCTGGGGGGTCATTGATTTTCCCTATATGCATATAGTAAAAACTTAAAAAATCTTCTTTTAAAGAACTCAAAGAGCTATGGATAAGATATTGAGCATCAAACATGTTCTAATAGGTGTCTACCAAGTTTGTTCAAATACAAGCCCAGGGGTGAAAATTGGCCCCGCCCCGGGGGTCATTGATTTTCTTTATATGTGTTCAGCAAAAACTTTAAATCTTCTTTGAAAAAACCCAAATAGCTAGAGTTTAGATATTAAGCATGAAACATCTTCTAGTAAGTGTCTACAAAGTTTGTTCAAATAAAAGCCCTGGGGTCAAAACTGGCCCGGCCCCAGGGGTGTCATTGTTTTTAACTGAGCTAGAACTTAAATGTTTAGCATGAAACATCTTCTTATGGGTGTCTACCAAGTTTGTGCAAATAAAAGCCCTTGGGTTAAATTGGCTCTGCAACGTTGGGGGAGTGGGGGTTGGGGGGGGGGCTATATACAGGTGAGCGACCTCAGGGCCATCATGGCCCTCTTGTTCTGTATGTTTGTTTATAACCCCTTCAGTTGTTTTAGATTCTCAACTTCAGCATTCTATATTTATGTTTTTAGGAAAGTAACAACAACATTGGACTGCTTGAAACACTATGCTCGAAAATGTGAGGATAAGACAGAAATACTTAAAGAACTAAAAGACGCATTTTCTATTTTGACAGACAGGTATTATAAATGTTCTTGAATTCATTTTTTCTTTACCTTTTAAAATATCAAATGATTCAGGCCTACAATGGTTTCAGTACAGAATTAATCATAGAATAATAGCAACTAATTCATTACTTTTTAAAATGAAATTAAAAGATAACGAACTCTGTAGTTTTTGTAAAAATGAGAAGGAAACATTAGAACACATGTTTTGGTTTTGTCCGATAATAAACAATTTAATATTTTCTGTTTTTGAAAAGTACGGCATTTTTAGATCTTTGCTCAACTGTTGTAATTTTATCCTTGGTTTGAAAGATAGTAATTCAACTGCAATAAATACGATTTTCCTTTTTCTGAAAAGATATATTTACAACTGTAGAGTAAAAGAACAAGTACCAAATACTACAAGAGCACATCAGTATATTAAATACCAATTTATAATTTTGAGAGAGAAAGCAATTTACCAAAATGATTTAGATACCTTCAATAAGACCTGGATTCTTTTTTGTCAAAAGATAGAGCTATAGTTAACCTTTCATATGTTTGTAAAGCTGAAAACGATAGCCAGAAGTATAAATGATCAAAAATATATTACTTGCAAAACCTGTTTTTCTTTCACTTTTTCTTCTTCTTTTTTTTCATATAAAAAACAAATATATAATTTAGTTCCTTGTTAACTGAATAATATTTAACATATGATTATATGTAACATTGGTAAATATGGTTGTAATTGTATATTGGTCATAACGCCTGCAATACATTATATGTTTGTTACTGTTATATTATTTCATATGTTTTATATGATTTTAAATACACAAATATAATGTATGGTATAGAGCAGGATGTCCTCGACCTGCATATACCTATTGACGAGGAAAATAAATTATGTAAAAAAAAAAAAAAAAAAAAAAAAAATGTTCTTGAATTCTTTGGTTGAAAATTTGAATTTCTTACATAGGTCAACAGGAACTCTAAAATCAGAAAGTTATGCAAAAGATAATTATGTTCCCAAAATTTTTTGGAGACATTGTTTTTGTCATCGCCCTCTGTTTGCCCATCTGTCCATCTGCATTCAGCTCGTCCCGCTTTCAAAGGTTAAAATGCTGGCAGGATTTCAATGAAACAACACAGGAGTGATCAATACCATCCCTTGTTGTGCTCATTGCGGACACGTTCCCCTTCACTGCACAGAATGAATGCCAGAGCTTTAAATAGAAAAATCCTTTCCGGTTTTCACAGGTCAAACTGCTGGCCGGATTTCAATGAAACTTCACAGGAATGATCAGTACCATCACTTATGCACATTGCCGGCATGTTCTGCTCCGCTGCATAAAATGGCCGTCAGAGGTATAAATAGAAAAATCTTGTCCGGCTTTCATATTTTGAGGGAAATATGGGTTCTCAATACCGAATGGGCCAAACACACGTCAAAATGCGGGTGAAAATCCAGTTTTGGCCCATTTCAGTTGTCACATATATGCTTTAATGATATTGAAAATGTCACCCCCAAAGATTTATAGAGCTGTTTGTTGCACTTGAAATAATACTTTGATGGAGCATCTTGGTCTTCCTTGAAGTAGTTAAATGTCAGCATCAAACAAAAACACCCCCATAGACTGCCCCTCCCCAACCAACCTTAACAGCCAAACACTTTCTCAGACTAGTTGTTATGAACATATTTGACTGATTTCAGATGTCCAGAAGAAACTAGTTCTCTACGTTGCTGGGCAACAGGAGCTTTAACAGAATCAGACATGGAGACACCATCAGAGAACAAGAAATGCCAACAATCTGCATTGGGAGAAAATGTTTTAGATTGTCTTTCAAGTATAAGTCTGCCCACTTTATCTCTCAATCCAGATTGCAAGTAAGTAAATATGGATGATTGTTCATCATTTTCACATATACTGAGGTCCATCGGGAATAATGAAAGCTATGAATTATGACTTGATTGTGTTTTGGTTTTGTCAGTGGGATATATAATGTATATTTATCATTGTATATCACTTATTATTTATCACTTACTACCTTCATTCTGAATACATATCATTATCATTTCTTATGAAGTGATTGATAAACAGTGAAATATACATGTTTACATATTGTATATCACTCACTTTATATCAATCTCTGTATATTAGTTAATATATTTCAATTACTAAATATCAATCACTGTATGTCAATCACTTTGTATCAATCACTGCACATCAATCACTGCACATCATTAGTTAATATATATATCAATCACTGTGTATCAATTACTATGTATCAATCACTGCATAAGAATATTTGTTCTGTTTTATGAATATGAATCAAATTCACATTTAAGTAAAAACTTTTCATATTTCACTTGTGATACAAATTTTGACAAAAAAATCAGTTATTGATGAAGTTTCATTGAAATTCACCCTCTATTGCTTGAATTTCCAGCCCATTTGCTGATGCAGCCCAAGAGGTGTTTGAATGTGTCTTTAATGTGTTTATCACAAACAAGTGTGAAATATCCCTGCTTGATGAAGTTAAGAGACTTATACAAGACAGTGATGCATTAACAGCATTTGGGGTATGTCCTCCTGAAGCAGACTTTGATTATAATATACCAGACGGTTATAATGTTGTTGAGGTGAAAGACTGTGAACTCACACCAAAATGTAACCTCACAGATGCAGAACAGTGCATAGAAAATTTGCAGAAACTTGGAACTGGATGCAGGTATGTATATACACATATATATTTTGCTTGTTCTGACTGGTTATATCCACTACTGATGCAGTGGTTATATGGTTCAGTGTTAATGGTTGTTGGCTTATATAACCCAAGCTGCTAGGCAATAGATATATTGCAAATTACCAATTATCCACAGCCAGACTTGTCAGACATCTATTCATAATACAGCATTAAAGCTTTACTTGGGAAGAAACAAAAGTTACTTCATATATTGCAAGTAGCCATGTATAAATGTATTATATAAGTGTCATGGTATCCAATAAAAAGCGACATTGCAAAAGGGCAGTATTGTAAGACAGGATATAGATGTCATTTAATCTTCTCCAATGCATATACATATAATATCCAAAAAAAACAGTTTCTGTAAGTATAGTTAGTTATACGATAATGCAATATTGTATGTATCATTCTTGTTCTTTGTTTGATATTTAAAGGGTACAGAAAGTGCAAGAAATTTAAACAGCTACATGCCCCTGATGGGGTTTTAACCCATTTGGCTGGAGATCTTTCTATTTACTGTGTCTGACTCATTAACCACTCGGCCATGCCCCCGCAGATTTTTCTTGACTGACCTACATTCCTTTGTGCTACACATTATAGATAGGTGTAAGTAGAGTGACTTTTTTACCTAAATGGCACTGCAGTAAATTCCTGACTTCTGATTGTTTTGACAGAAATTGGGACGACATTGAAACATGTATCACAGACTTCATTGATGGTTGCAACAAATTTGACAAAGAAATATTCTGGAGGGATATTCAAACGTTAAGTGGTCTTGGGGATGAATGCTTTACGGATATAGCCATACCTGATCAAAAATGCCGTATTAAACTGGACATCGATGGTAAGATTTTTAATTTTATTTTTAACTTTTCAGTTTGACTTTGCTACATTTTGTTTAAACATGAGTTTTTGTGGTGTTATATTTTATAAATGGGATATAATGCATTATCACTCACTACATTATTATACATTTATCAAGTAATAATATTATGCAAACTCTTGTCAACAACACCAATTTGGCAAGGACATGCAGTGTATTTGTTGGTTTTACTAAGCAGTCAAAAGTTACATTTTAAGTTGAAGTACTAAGATAGGCTTCTGCTTTTAATGTGCAACCCAAAACAGAAATAAAATTAAGTCTTCTTTGTTTTAAAACATGTGTAAATGGAAGTGAGTGGGTCCTGATTAAGAAATATACTGCACAGCAATGTGGTTGTGTGTTTCTGAGTAGTGATGGAAATCGGATGAAATTTGTCCCAATCGATCATCGGTTCAGTCGGATGGGACATAATCGATAACTTTTCGAATAAAGTCACGTTAAAAAGAAATAGGGAGGTAACATTTCTTCCCAATCTTCCCAAGGGACTTGATTATATTCAGTAACATGAATTTCATTTCTCACTTTTCAAACAGTTTTAACCTTATATTGTCATAATTTTACGAAACAGATTTTATTTTGCAATGGATGTCAAATAATAACATTCAAATCACATTATATTACTATTGTTTACATCACTTATTGATCCTGTTCAATGCGAAATTGTCTCTGAGATGATTTTTTGAGGTCGGCGAGGTGTTCCTTAAAGAAAATTAACGTTAGAATTAATTCCCTTTGATACTTTAAACTTTTTGACGACGTCCATAACAAATTTTTGTGAATCGATTATTGTCGCTTTACATAACAGTAACTGATTATCAGCGACTTGCGACAATCGGAACAACACTATTTCTGAGTGCAAACATTTTCTTGTATGAATCTGCACTGGTAAGGTCCTATATTATTTAACCCTTTCCCCCATGAGCATATTGTGAAAAATGGCCGTTTTCAGTGAAAAGCCTCCTGTTACAAGTTCAAACTGCTATGAAACTATGAAAAATGCTTCAATACTAATCAAACTTGGCACAAATGTTGACTGGACCATTGCTTTTGTAACAACATGCTCAGTCTTAAATTTCCTGTTACCATGGCAACGAGGGGACATCTCAAAATTGCCAAAAATAACTATTTTGCCTCGATTTTTTCCATCAAAATTTATTTCAAAGTGCTGCAACTTCTCAATGGATTGAGATAGAGTCAAAGGCTTTTCAGCGTTGGTTACACATTACCATATGATCGACCTGGGGTCATTTTTAGCCTTTCACAAGTCCAAAATTTTCTTGGCGATGAGGGGGACTCCGCCCCCTTCAAACCCCTCAAACAGAAGGGGGCACATCTCCCTTCTGGCAACCCCCTGATGTATCTTTTGGATGGGGGGGGAGGCGGCTCCGAAAAAATGCTCACTTTTTTTAACAACATTTCTCAAACGAAAACATGTGTTTGGGGCCCAAATAGGACATTTTTTCACTACTTCAGGCCTAAAAAAGGGGGGGAGGTCGAAAGTGCGTTGTTTCGCGTATATATGAGGTAAAGGGTTTAATATAAAAAATTTTACACAATTTAGAGAAAATTTTGAATACTGGTTTGAAAGGAAATGAACTTATACTTTTACAGACAATTGTGAAATGTACAAGGACTTTATAGAATGTCAAGAGAACACCATACAAACACCTTCATTCGAGCAGACAACACATGGTCGACTTGATCAGTTCTCTGCAGCTCTCAATGGTCATTGTATGGAAGAAATAGGCAAGTAAAACTTGATTTAGATAAATTTATGATGTTAAAGATAAATGTATCCAAAATACTAGAAGGTACAAGATTTCCAAAAAGGCTTTGAGATAAAAAAAAAAAAAAAAACATGTAAAGAAGGCTTGAAAATGTATATTCAACCTATATTCATTTAAAACTGCTGTTTAATTTATAATGACAATTACAGGCAAGAAATTTATGTATAAAAGTAATTAATCCCACAGATTTAACATTCAGTATTTTAGTTTTTTTCAAAGATATATTTTTGTTTTAAACAGCTCCAGAGGATCTTGACAATACTTGTGTTGTTACTGAAGCAGAAGAAAAATGTGTTAATGACTATGTTAGAAGGGTCACCCAAGCTCTTTATTTCTCTCAGCAAGGAAAACAACGCCTCTGTGAGACGTACGTTATTTATCACATATTCAAAATAAGAACAGTTTTCAATTTAAAATTGCCATTTTCTATTGACATGCTTATAGTGAAATTAAATTAGGACATTTAAGGCATTGTTTATATGTAATGCAAATGACATCCATCAAAGTGTTATTACGCTAGTGTAAAATTGTTTTTTTTATTAAAAGTCTTTATTACACTCGTGGATTATGTGATAATATAATAATAATAAATATGGAATATTTTCTATTTCTAATGCCTTACCTCAAGCTGGTTGCTTTTGTCAGATTTTCAAATACAATATAAAGATAAATTTTGGGCATATTTAAGACATATCAACTTTTAAAAGTTAACTTTTAAAATGAAAATCGAAAAAAGATTGCTTTAAGTATAACTTATTTATTCTGTTCTTCACATACACAGGTACAGAGTCAGTGATCTTGGCTGTTTCTCAAGGAAACCACAATGTTCTATGGCTCAACCGGCAGGTCGTGTGTGGCAGAGATATCGTATCGCAAAGACCTACTTACACATCAGCGGTGTATGTAGCAATGCTCCATTCATATGCTCCAAACGTACAGCAATCGGCTGTATCACTGATCTGACTGTCCTAACAACAAATTATGACTATAGCCGTGGACATAGCTCAGAAGTTTGCCAGTAAGTATGGTGTTAAACTATTGTCAATAGTATAAATAGTTGAATACCAACCATTTTATGCTTATTTTTTTATTAATTTTTTTTGTATCCCTTAATGACAAATTCCTTTATTTATTACAGATCTTTGGATCATACACGCATGTGTTTACAGTATACTCTGAGAGGTTGTGACAAAAAAGTGAAGACCTCTATCATGAGCACATTCAAGGATGTAGAGTGTATTGCTAAAGATATCTGTACCACGGATAAATGGGAGCCGCCCAAACCCGATGGAAACCCACGTGATTGTTTAGATCCTACTCTGATAGAGAGTGTAACTGGATGCAGAGCTATGGCGGCCAAAATTTGCCTGAGAGATTTTGAATTTAAAGTCGAGAATCCATTTGTGATGAATGATAAGAAATTTGTTTGTTCGTGAGTATGAATTTAAATTAATATTTTTAGGGATATCTCTCATAGGGCTGACTTGAAGCAGTAAGTCCTTTCAATAAATTATATTTTTTCACTTTTTAAGGCAAACAGTTTATAGAGAATAAGCTTCATAAAAGGTTTACAGTTTGTAAAGTTAATATACTTGCGTGCTTTTTTAATGGAGTTCATTTTTGTGTCACCTCTACGGAGTAGTGGCGACATATAGGGATCACTTCTCCGTCGTCTGTCCGTCCGTCTGTCTGTCCGTCCGTCACAAAACTTGTCTGGACTACTCCTCATAAACTACTGGTGCAATTTCATCCAAACTTTACAGGAATGATCAGTACCAAGTCTAGTTGTGCATATTGTCAGCATTTTCCAGTTTAATGATTTTTTGTCAGAGTTATGGCCCTTTAATAATTTTTATTTTTAAAGTTTGTCCGGACTACTTCTCTTATACCACTAATGCAATTTCAATGAAACTTTACAGGATTGATCTGTAGCTCAAGTCCTTGCGCATATTGCACGGGTTTTCCAGTTGAATGATTTTTGGCAGAGTTATGGCCCTTTCATAAAAAGGTGTTTTTTTCTGTGTGTTGCCAGATACACAAAAGCTTGTCCGGACTTCTCCTCATAAACTACTGGTGCAATTTTATCCAAACTTTACAGGAATGATCAGTACCAAGTCTAGTTGTGCACTGTCTGTCTGTCCTTCTGTCACAAAACTTGTCCCAACATGAAATTGGCCATCATGAGGCGACACATGTGATCACTGATCGCTCTTGTTATAAAAGTTAAACTGTATGTTTTCATAAAGATATCTCAAAGTAATAGATAAAACCCAAGTAGCTTACATTTAAGTGGATTGGTCTACAATGTGCACAGATTTCATAAATATTTCAAATATTGATATAAACAATAGAAATGTATCATTCAGATATTCTCATAAAATATTTCTTGAAGGTCTATGTGATTAAGTATGAACACTTATGATAATGAATAATAATATTCTGTTCAAAAACAATATTTCTATTAGCTATATAAAGGTATGTAATATCCGATCATGCAGCTCACATTTACCAACAACATCCATATACTATATTTCTTTCATGGTTTGTTGTCCCGTTTAATACAATATACATGTAAATATTTATTTAAGCTATTATTATGTTATTATTATTATTAATAGACAATCCATGAAGGCCGAATTCACTTTAACATTATTCATTATTATTATGTTTTTATTATTTATTTTGTTATTATTATGATTTATAATAGATAATCCATTACAGGCCAATTCACTTTAATAAATTCAACATGTTTCTTTATGAATTTTTTGGGTAAATATATATGACTGTAGTAATAGAGTTATCGAAAATATATTTCCTATTGCCAAAATGAATTCTTTGATAGCAATTGTTTGATTAACATTTTGTAATTTCAATTTCAGAGAATATTCTAAAATGATTGAATGTTTTTACAACAAAATGCCTGTTGGGCCGGAGAACCCCTGTGGAGCAGGAGAACAAAGCATATCTAATAACTACTTCCAGGTTATATTAGCAAAATACAAGCATTTTAACTGTCCAACTGTAATCAGAACACCATGCGAGGAGGAAGAAGATTGTGTAAGTGTTCAAATATTTAACAAATATTAACTTATTGTCCAGTTTTGAGATAGTCTTAAAGCTTCTAAAAAAGAGACAAAAAATCAAGTGAAAATGAAAAATCAGAAAATGCATACATTTGATTCTTGAGGAAATCTGCCTGCATGTCAATTTGCCCGGCTTCCTCTTGTATAATGTAAGTTCAAAATATTTATGAACAAAATAACAAGGCCTAATGGTCTAATTAAACTTTAAATGTAGAATATGTTACTATCTCTCTATTGGTTAAGTTTGCAGAATAAGACCAAAATTAAATAATCACATGACTTGACAATTAAATTCAAGGTTTACATGTTGTAATGATAATAGATTCAGAGCTTTTACATTGAGATGTCTTAAAGATGGCAACCACGTTAGTCCTTATGTCAAATCTTGCAGGAAACCAGAAAATAATCATGATAATCCCATTTTGAAATGGTGCGATTATTCTCCAATTTAGGTTTTGTAAACTTGGATTGTTGTATTTTACAGCCATTGGATGAAGCTAAAAGATGTATAAAGGTATTTACTGACAATTTGGCAACATACAGGGAGGCTGGAACTGTATGCCAGTAAGTAGATTGACATTTGAGCCGCATCACGACAAAACCAACATAATGGGTTTGCGACCAGCATGGATCCAGACCAGCCTGCGCATCCATGCAGTCTGATCAGGATCCATGCTGTTCGCTTACAAACCCTATAACAAGTAGAGAAACTGATAGCAAACAGCATGGATCCTGATCAGACTGCCCAGAGGCACAGGCTGGTCTGGATCCATGCTGATCGCAAACCCACTATGTTGGTTTTGTCATGACGCGGCTCATTTATTAGAAAATTGTATTATTATGTCATAAATCGTCAAGTTTCAGGAATAATTCTCTTGCTTTATTGCTATGAAGTATATTGATATTAATATGTCAAGTGGTAGAAAAATCTAAACATTGACCAAAGGGTCTTGAGGTTCGAGCTCTACTCAGGTCATGACCATATTTCCTCATATGACCCCAGTACTGGTTAGTTCCAGTAAGTTGAATTTAGAGTTGTTTAACTAAGCTACAAACTTTCCTCATAATCTAGCTTAAATTAGTAATTCTTAAACCAAATAATATATTAGATTTTTATGCCACCGCAGCATCTGCGATGCAGTGGCACATAGCGATTCACCTTTGTGTGTGTTTGTTTGTTTGTGTGTGTGTGTGTGTTATATAGATTATATAGTGAACTTAAAAATTCTCTTGTGAAAAACCACTAGTCCAATTTCAACCAAACTTGGCAGGATTAATCCTTGGGTGAAGGGCTTTCAAAGTTGTTCAAAGAATTTCATTCCATGCAGAAATCTGGTTGCCATGGCAACCAAAAGGAATTATAAGAATAAATTTAAAAAATCTTCTTGTAAAGACCCAAAAGGCCTAGAGCTTAGATATTTTGCATAAGGCATTGTCTGGTAGACCTCTACCAAGAATGTTCAAATTATAGCCCTGGGGTCAAAATCAGCCCCACCCCGGGGGTCATTGATTTTCACTATATGTACATATAGTAAATACGTACAATACCTTCTTGTAAAGACCCAAAAGGCTTATAGCTTAGATATTTTGCATAAGGCATTGTTTGGTAGAGCCTTACCAAGATTGTTCAAATTATAGCCCAGGGGTCAAAAACAGCCCCGTCCCTGGGGTCATTAATTGTTTTGAATTAAACCCTTGGGTCCAAAATTTTGCCTTGCCCAAGTGGATAGTGACCTACTTTCTTGTCCTTTGATGTACATCAATGAAATTTTGACCATGTGCACAGTTTTAGTTGTAAAATTGAACTTTGATATCAGGTGACCTAGATTTTGATGATGTGACCTACTTTCTTATCCTTTGATGTACAGCTATGAAATTTGAACCATGTGCACAGATTAAGAATTTAAGTGAACTTTGATTTCAGCTGACCTAGATTTTGACAAAGTGTCTTATTGTGTTGCCCTTTGATGTAGTTATGAAATTTAGGCTGTGTGAAATATGACCTTCACCACCAAATTCACTAGACTCCAGTGCATTGATATATTCCTACTTTGATCTTTTATTGAGTTAACAACAGATTTAACCACTAATCTGATAATAAGAATTAGATAGGTTAGGGATCTATGCATTATGACAATCTTCAAAATTGTATAGAAACAAAAAAAATCTGTTCCTACACTACTATATAGTGTACTGATTTAACAGGTGGCGCGATAGCTCAGCTGGTTAGACCACTGACTGTCACTCCTGAGGTTCCGGGTTCGATCCTGGGTAACACCCTTGGGATTTTTCAAAAACACTTTCAGTGTTTCCCGCCTAACTAGAGGTTTACTGGTACGAAACCCAGGTAATCCTCGCATGTATCAGTGCTATACACTGGGCATGTAAAAGAACCAAGGAATCTATTCAATAAGAGCTAGGGACTTGTTCCCGGATTTCCTTGTATCTCATAGCTGTCTCTAGTGTCTGCTGAGGTAAGGACCCTACTGGAAATAAGTGCTTGCACTTTCGTAGGTTATCCTTGACCGCCCGGTCTAAAGAAAATCAATCAATCAATCAATCAACCAGACTTTAAATTTATAAATTTAGGAAAATAAGAAACAGTGTCAAGGCAGTCTAATAAAGACCTATTTTGAGAAATTAAAACATTTTGTTTGTTTTTTGTTCAAAGTTGAATTCATTTGAAGTTTTCAGGGAGTATACCAGTTTACGCCATTTCCTACATAAATTTAGAATTGACGAAATGCTTTTGTAATTCATTGAAAACTTTGCATTAAAAAAATGAGACAGATGAATGAAGTATTGTTAAAGATTAAAAGCTTGTTACGTGAAAAATAAAAGGGTCAAACCCATTTAATACTTGGTGGAAATGAATTTGGTACCAGAGGCTATGAGACAGTAATTATAATTTTTCAGAGTAAATGGTGGTTTCTGAAATAGAATTTTTTTGTAAAATTTGATTTACAGGTATATTTCGGAAGTTGAAGTGTGCATCAAGAATAGTAAAGATTCCTGCTCTAACACGGCCATTACCGAGATAGACGCAATGTACAAGAAGATGATAGATGAAGTAGATGTTACATGTACAGACGATTTCCTGTCCTGCGCCGACACCTATGTAAATTACATAAACAAGATACTCAAGTGGAAGTCTTGTGTTGAACCAGAAGAGTCTGAGGAAACTGTATCTTCTGCAACAATAAAAGCCAGCTCTGGTAAATCAACAAAGTCGGCAACAGGAACAAAAGACACAGGCAAAAGTACAAAGACAACCTCAGAGAAGAGCAATGGTTCAAAGAAAAGCAATGGTTCAAAGAAAAGCAATGGTTCAAAGAAAAGCAGGAGAAGAAGGTCCGAGACTAAGGACACTAAGTCTAAGTCAAAGTCTAAGTCAAAGAGTGGAAGCAAAGTAAAGAGTGTGAAATCAACAAGTGCAGAAGCATCACCAAGCATTGATGTCACATCACTAGACAGGATGTGCAGCGTTTTTTTGAAGGCTTGGACTTGCGTTCAGAGTTCCTGGGACTCACTTGACAACAATGTTGTTATTGTTGTTAAGAAAACATTTACAGCATATCACAGCTCTGTCATGGACATCTGTAAAGGTACGTTCCCTTTTTCTTATAGCAGGCTTTTCTATAATCTGGTTTATTTTTGCTGTACAATATACTGAAGTTTTAACTATAAATTATTATGCAATACCTGTGATATAACAAAACATTCTTGCAAAACAGCAATTTTGCGGACAATTATTGCAGTTATATTGCTGACAATTATTGCAATACCATTTCCTGCGAGGTAACAAATTGTTATTGCAATACTTGCAATATTGCTTAGAATTAGTGCAGTTATATTGCTGACAATTATTGCAATACTTTTTCCTGCAAGATAACAAATCATTCTTGCAATACTTGTAATATTGCTTGCTGACAGTTACTGCAATGCCTGAGACATATTAAATTATTATTGAAATGCATGTGTCATAACCCATCATTATTGCAATACTTAGTTAGATTATTGCTGCTGAAAGTGAGAAGGGTTAACATTTTTAACATTTTTTTTATTGCAGGACATAAACCTGGTTTTTGTAACAAAGGTGGAAACATATTAGGATATGATGGGTGTCAGTCAGACTTTGATTGTAATAATGACCAGAAATGTTGTTACCTTGGCAACCAAGCAGATTCCAGCATAAATGTTGCCTGTGTTAATCCCAAATTCTATGGTAAGTTAAAGGTCACATTATTTGAACACAAAAGAGTTTAAATCTATTGTATTTCAGCCAATTACAAAGATTGCTATCTAAGTATAGCAGGTGCTTTATCTTAACTCTTATGTCAAACTGAAACTTTCTATCTTTTTAGAAAAAAAAGTAAACTGCATTTTTCAAATAATTTCTTATATTTAAACATTATTCCATCCTTCAATATTTCAATAAAATTGCATAAGTACCTTTTTTTGTCTTGCAGAAATTTTATTCTTTTTTAAATATTACATGTATATTAAAGGTCAAGAATGCTGTGAAGAGTTCCAGATTACGTCAACAAAAGTGCTGACGGTTGTGAAGTCTTTATACAGCCTGGTGGCGACAGATAATGGAAAGCAGTTCTGCAAGTATGTGTACATTTTTGTCAGAGAATAGGGACATCTTTGTTCACAAATAAATCAGGAGAAAACTGAAGTTTAAAAAGCTAAAAACATAAATTATGATTTTTTTCTTACATAGATCAACTGGGGCACTTGTAACAGAATGATATGCAAAAGTTAAATAAGAAATATACTTGTAAATAAATTGATGATTGTATTTTTGCGCTATTCTTATGTCGATTAAAGTGAAAAACATTGTAACGTTTTACAGTTTTTGGTAATTTTTCACAAGCAGAATGATTATTTTCAAAAAACAGAGTATATCAATAATTTGAAATATTGCACACAAGTTATTATTTTAGGCCTTCATCAAATGGGACATAAATCTCTAAAAAATATTTCCTGTCCTGTCATGTCAGAAAATCTCTGTGGAGTCCCTTTAATTACACTAAAATAAAGCATGAAATTTTTGTATGACTTTAACAGTGTTTCTTGACTTTTGAATAATGAAAAGTTATTCTGTGTAAATGTGGGTACTTACCGGTATATTTAAATGATGAAATCTATGACAATATTTCATTTAGACAAATAATGAAAACACAAAACTTGGCAACATTTTTTTGTTTTCTTGCTTAGTTTACACATTTGTTTCATTACTTTTTTTCAGAATATATTCAGAAGAAATGGAGTACATAAAGAAAACACTAACACTATCGTGTCCTGACCTGTACTTCAGCAGTATAAGAGAATCTTGGGCAATGTGCACTGGAGCTTATGAGGTAATTTTGCAATGTATATTACATATTTATACATAAAAAACAACAATTTTTATTGTTGTCTAATGCATGTAGAGGTTGTTTTCTTTTGTTGTTTTTTTTTCTTTTGTAAATATGTATTAAACTGTTATACTGAGCATGTGACTCTATTGATACTCTATTTTTTATTCATGCAAATGTTGGGATTTATTTAACCAGTATTTCTAGACAAATTGTACTAGTAACAGTTTACATATTATATATTTGTAGACAATTGCATACTTTTTGTTGTAACTTTGATAATATCAGACATATAGCTGGTTCCCTTTGGAATACCAACATAACTGTTTTGTAACATATATTACTAGCACATTTTCACCTTTGTAAATGTAATAACTTAACTGTAGTTTAAAAAAAAGCAATGTATGAGTCCCAAGTCTTGACAATGTCGGTTTTCACAAGACTTTGTTGTATTACATAGTTAGGAAAATATATAGGATCTGATGACTACTATTGTATTACATAGTTAGGAAACGATATAGGATCTGATGACTACTATTGTATTACATAGTTAGGAAACAATATAGGATCTGATGACTACTATTGTATAACATAGTTAGGAAATGATATAGGATCTGATGACTACTATTGTATTTCATAGTTAGGAAATGATATAGGATCTGATGACTACTGTTGTATTTCATAGTTAGGAAAAGATATAGGATCTGATGACTACTATTATATTACATAGTTAGGAAATGATATAGGATCTGATGACTACTATTGTATTACATAGTTATTAAATGATATAGGATCTGATGACTACTGTTGTATTACATAGTTATTAAATGATATAGGATCTGTTGACTACTGTTGTATTACATACATGTAGTTATGAAATGATATAGGATCTGTTGACTACTATTGTATTACATACGGTAGTTAGGAAATGATATAGGATCTGATGACTACTATTGTATTACATACGGTAGTTAGGAAATGATATAGGATCTGATGACTACTATAAGGCTCAGAACAAGTGGGAGATATGATTATGAGAGTAACAAGTTATTGTGATCCAATTTTCTTTGTCAATATTTTTGTATATAAGCGAGATAGGTTTTATTTTCCGATAAAAACTTATTGACAATTTAGATATTATAATGTTGAAGACCAAGGTTATAACTTTAAGATCAAGGTCATGATAGTAAAATCTATTGGTATTTTGTGACTGTGTTAATTAAAAAGCATATTTTTCCTCTATTCTTTGTGCTTTATAGCTGGAGGTACATATTTACAGAGCTGTCAGGTTTGTATATTGCACAGTATATAATATATAGTTATTATCCCCCGCCGAAAAATTTCGGCGGAGGATATAGAAATAGTCTCCGTCCGTCCGTCCGACCTTCTGTCCTTCCGTCCGTCCGTCCTTCCGTCTGACATTTTTGTCCGGAGCATATCTCTAAAAGTATTTGAGTTATCAACTTGAAACTTCATAGGTGGATAGACCTCATTGAGGAGGAGTGCAGTGCACAAGAATGATAACTCTACCTTGCATGATTTTTGAGTTATTGCCCTTTGTTATTTTTCAAAATTGATTTTTGTCCAGAGCATAACTCCAAAAGCCTATGAGATATTAACATGAAACTTCATAGGTGCATAGATTAACTCAGGAGGTGTGCAGTGCACAAGAATGATAACTCTACCTTTCATAATTTTTGATTTATTGCCCTTTGTTTTTTTCATACTTAATTTGTCACCTGAGAGGAGCATAACTCAAAAAGTGTGTGAGATATCAACATGAAATGTCATGTCATAGGTGGATAGATCTTATTGAGGAGGAATGTTGTGCGCAAGAATGATAACTCTTCCCTATACAATTTTTGAGTTATTGCCCTTTTTTTTTCATGCTATTTTGTCCAGAGCTTATCTCAAAAAGTATTTGAGGTATCAACTTTAAACTTCAAAGGTGGATGGATCTCATTGAGGAGAAGTGCAGTGCTTAAGAATGATAACTCTACCCTGCATTATTTTTGAGTTATTGCCCTTTGTTATTTTTCAAAATTAATTTTTGTCCAGAGCATAACTCAAAAAGCCTTTGAGATATCAAAATGAAACTTCATAGGTGCTAGATCTCTGACTCAGGAGGTGTGCACTGCACAAGAATGATAACTCTACCTTTTATAATTTTTGAGTTATTGCCCTTTGTTCTTTTTCATACTTTAATTTTTTCTCAAAAAGTATTTGAGGTATCAACTTGAAACTTCACAGGTGGATAGATTTTACTGAGGAGGGATGCAGCACACAATAATGATAACCTACCCTGCATTATTTTTCAGTAATTGCCCTTTGTTATTTTCAGCCATCAGTATTCACATAGGTTTCAAATCTGTAATCACTATAGCCATCAGTTTTCATTACCAAAAGACCTCTTAAAATAGAATTATTCCGCTCCACTACATATACATTCTTCCAATGAGCAAACACATTCGGCGGGGGATGGCCATGTTGACATGGCTCTTGTTGTACATATACTCATGTATCGGTCAAAAAGTAAAGGTTGTGTTGTGTTGTTGTAGAAATATTGTCTTGTTGAACCAACAACACCTCCCACGTGTGACGAGGCTGCAGCTCAACAATGTGTAGATATCTACGAGGAGCTAGAGGTTGGTGCAACCACCGGAGAAAAATGCGGGTAATTCTACTTATATTACAATATTCCTTCAGTTTGTTCAACAGCAATTCTCTTACTATATTTTTAAAATGTATGAAAAATAAAATGTTGACAAGTGAACAAAGAAAGTAATTTACACACTACAAATGAGATTACAAAAGAAAAGGCCAGAATATGTAAAATCAGCTCTTACTGTCAATACTGCAAAATCAGTCTTAGCTGTATGTACATGTAAAGACTTCTTTATTATTGTATTAGCCTTATTTAAAGGCACATTATGCCTCAGAACCAAATATTTTTCAGATGTAAAAAAGGCAAACAATATATCTTAATAACCAACTAAGCATGCACTTGTTTGGCACCATAACAGGAGGTCACTTTTTAGGTCCATAACTCAGGCATGGCTTTTGCTATATATGTGAACTTTAAAATTCATGGGTAAAGTCTTGTATGCAAGTCTCACATATCTTCTGGATCATAATAAGAGGTCACTTTCCAAGGCAAATAACTCTGGCCAGTATTTTGAATAAATTATTGCCCTTTATGAAATTACAAAGTTCTTTGCTTATAACAGGTTTCATGCAATATCAATCTTTAAAACTACTGAATGTATCCTTTTGAAACTCAATACATGTACATGCCCTCAGTATCATAATTAGAGATCACTGTCCAAGGCTGTAAGTCTTGGCATGAATTTTGTGTGAAACATGGTCCTTTAATGAATGGTTAACACATGTATGTCAGGTATTACATTTAGTGGTTTTAGTTTTTAGCTCACCTGTCACAAAGTGACAGGGTGAGCTTTTGTGATCGCTTTTCGTCCGGCGTCCGTCCGTCCGTCGTCCGTCCGTCGTCCGTCCGTCCGTCCGTCCGTAAACTTTTGCTTTAAATGACATCTCCTCATAAACCACTGAGCCAATTTCATCCAAACTTCACAGGAATGTTCCTTTGGTGGTCACCTTTAAAAATTGTTCAAAGAATTTAATTCCATGCAGAACTCTGGTTGCCATGGCAACCAAAAGAAAAAACTTTAAATATCTTCTTTTAAAAAACCATAAGAGCTAGAGCTTAGATATTTGGCATGAAACATCTTCTAGTGAGTGTCTACCAAGTTTGTTCAAATAAAAGCCCTGGGGTCAAAATTGGCCCCGCCCCTGGGGGTCATTGATTTTCCCTATATGCATATAGTAAAAACTTAAAAAATCTTCTTTTAAAGAACCGTAAGAGCTAGAGCTTAGATATTTGGCATGAAACATCTTCTAGTGAATGTCTACCAAGTTTGTTCAAATAAAAGCCCTGGGGTCAAAATTGACCCCGCCCCAGGGGGTCATAGATTTTCCCTATATGCATATAGTAAAAACTTAAAAAATCTTCTTTTAAAGAACCCAAAGAGCTAGAGCTAAGATATTAAGCATGAAACATCTTCTAGTGAGTGTCTACCAAGTTTGTTCAAATTAAAGCCCTGGGGTCAAAATTGGCCCCGCCCCGGGGGTCATTGATTTTCCCTATATGCATATAGTAAAAACTTAAAAAATCTTCTTTTAAAGAACCAGTAGAGCTAGAGCTTAGATATTTGGCATGAAACATATTCTAGTGAATGTCTACCAAGTTTGTTCAAATAAAAGCCCTGGGGTCAAAATTGACCCCGCCCCAGGGGGTCATAGATTTTCCCTATATGCATATAGTAAAAACTTAAAAAAATTTCTTTTAAAGAACCCAAAGAGCTAGAGCTAAGATATTTAGCATGAAACATCTTCTAGTGAGTGTCTACCAAGTTTGTTCAAATTAAAGCCCTGGGGTCAAAATTGGCCCCGCCCCGAGGGTCATTGATTTTCCCTATATGCATATGGTAAAAACTTAAAAAATCTTCTTTTAAAGAACCATAAGAGCTAGAGCTTAGATATTTGGCATGAAACATCTTCTAGTGAATGTCTACCAAGTTTGTTCAAATAAAAGCCCTGGGGTCAAAATTGACCCTGCCCCAGGGGGTCATAGATTTTCCCTATATGCATATAGTAAAAACTTAAAAAATCTTCTTTTAAAGAACCCAAAGAGCTAGAGCTAAGATATTTAGCATGAAACATCTTCTAATGAGTGTCTACCAAGTTTGTTCAAATAAAAGCTCTGGGGTCAAAATTGGCCCCGCCCCAGGGGGTCATTGATTTTCCCTATATGCATATAGTAAAAACTTAAAAAATCTTCTTTAAAAGAACTCAAAGAGCTAGAGCTAAGATATTTAGCATGAAACATGTTCTAATGGGTGTCTACCAAGTATGTTCAAATAAAAGCCCTGGGGTCAAAACTGGCCCGCCCGGGGGGGGTCATTGATTTTCCTTATATGTGTATAGCAAAAACTTAAAAATCTTCTTTGGAAAAACCCAAATAGCTAGAGTTTAGATATTAAGCATGAAACATCTTTAAGTAAATATCTACAAAGTTTGTTAAAATAAACGCCCGGGGGTCAAAACTGGCCCTGCCCCAGGGGTGACATTGTTTTTAACTATATGTGTATAGTAAAAACTTTAAAAATCTTCTTTTAAAAATGCCAATGAGCTAGAACTTAGATGTTTAGCATGAAACATCTTCTTATGGGTGTCTACCAAGTCTGTTCAAATAAACAAATAAAAGCCCTTGGGTAAAAATTGGCCCGGGGGTGGGGGGCCTATATACAGGTGAGCGACCTCAGGGCCATCATGGCCCTCTTGTTATTTTTCAGATATATTGCTTAAATGTTTACGATTCCATATTGTTTTTATACCTCAAATATATCCTTAAAGGAAGTCCACAATGTGTTGTATATTTCAGATACTATGATGAGATGATGTTGTGTGTAACAGCTATACTGAGACAATGTGAGGAAGGCTCTACTGTTATTGTTGACATCAATACCAAGACAAACAAAATAAAGAACTCTCTGATATGTGTAGATATACCAGAAGTGGAGGTAAATTGTCAACATTTTGTTTAATGGTTATCATATAATATCGTCATTATATTGTGGGTTTTTTTCATGGGAGACTCAGAGCAGAAGGTGAGAGGCTTTGTGGGATTCACATCTGTACCTCAAATGATTTTCATGAAACGTTAGTCATTTGACAAATGTTTGCCGCATAGACATGGTATGGCTCAAGGTCACTGTCACACTTGAAGGTCTTAAGCTTGAGCCTTTTTCTTTTGTCAACTTAATTTGACAAAATGCATATCACAGCCTTGGTATTTTAAGGTCAAGGTCATATCTGTAATGGAGGAACATGACCTGGAATAAATAGTTATCGTTTTGATTATATATCTAGATTAATTAAGGGTCATCAGTGGTGAGAAGTTAAGGTCATTCATTTCAAACCTCTTGCCCCTCAAGAAAGTCGTCATATAACCTATCCTGTGTTGGTGCAATGTAAAACCAAACGTGTACACAGGGTGGGGGAAAGGGGGATTAATTACGAAACTTAAAACAAAAACTTAAATTTTTTGTGGGAAATTTTTCTTGGGGGTAAAGATCGAGGGCTCGGCGCAAGACTATTCTAACTTGTATTTTGAAAAATTTTCAGGAAAGGGAAAAAATATGTTATTTTATTTTGATTTCATTTTTTGAAAAAAAATCCACAACCAATCTTATCAAAAAATAGCAGTAAGTTGTGTACATGTTCATTTTTTCAAGAAAAGTGTAAAATATGCATTTTATTGCCTACATGCTAACATAGCCTAGTATTGCACTAGAAAAGCTACTTTTTCCAGAATATTTATTGTGCAAAACTATTCTATCTTGAGTTAGAATACTTTAACACTATAAAATATGTCCCTTTGATTTCTAAATCTTGTGCAAAACTATTCTATCTTAAGATAGATTACTTTTGCAATAACTTGAAAGTTAAGAATATCTTTTATCTATCAAGTTAGAATATATGTTTACTTTTTGAAAGTAAAATTAATTTCTTAAATAATATTTTTTAAGGGATATTTGAGGGTTTCGGGCTGTTCTAAGACCATAATATATAACTATAATTTGATATTGTTACATATTTGCATAATTATAAGTAATTTATACCCTACTAAAATATATAGTAGGTACAAGTGATAGCAACCTTGACTTATTATCTCATACAAACACACAAATCGGGTAATAATTTTCATTCTAGTCATATCTTTTGTGTTTATACAAATTCTTAAAAGTGAAATCTGCAGATTCTTAATATTAATCCCCATGTTGAGGCAAAAGCCCTTGTTGCAAGTTTTTTATATGCATGACTCAGGGCACCATGTAAAATTAACTGAATGCAATGACGCAAAAAAATAAAATTATGAACATATGGTACTTTGTGCTAGAAAGCATTGCATGCATGCTTGGGCTGTGAATGCATCCTTGTTGATGCACAATTAAAGGACTGCTTTAACCCTCCATTATAGGAATTTTACTATCCTTTAAAGCTGCATGCCTCCAGATTTATGCTAATTTTCATGAAAAATTTGAAAATGTATTATAAAGTAAAACATTGTGAAGTGAAAAAAGAAAATTGTAAACAGTACTTACAACCCGTGTTAATTACCAAAAAGAGGTCAAAATATGCTAAAATAGCCCTTACTGCATTAGTAATGCAATAGAACTAAGGTTGAAAAATACTGCAAAATCGGTCATAATTCGCACATAACATGGAAATTATAACTTTTATCTTGAATCTTTATACTTTTCTTAAAATCTGAATACTTTTGTTTGGTTTGGCTTTATTGAAATATTTTGGTTCATCTGCAGGCATGCAGCTTTAAGTCTCTTATTATTTTTAATTTAAATAGGTACTGGTAAAAAATACATGATGTTTTACTAACACATTAGACATTTTGCAAATTTAAAAGATATATCATAATATCATTAATTCAATTTATAGAAAAATTGTTTTGTGACTATAAATTAACAAATATATTATGATCTTGCATGAAAAAAAATAAATTTCTATTCATTCCATCCTTTTTTATCGGTTTTAATCTTTTTTTCCTGACTTTTGCCAAATAACGACATGCGCTCTCATTAATGATGTCATAAAATCATGATGTCACATAGTTCTTGTTGAAAAATAATCCTGTCACCTTTTACGAAATTATGATACATTTTTGAATTGATATGACTATGTAGATAACTAGATATTTATGTGTTTCTCGTATTCAAGCACATTTTACTCATAATGGTGTGTATTCGGTATTTTTATGTATTTTAAGTTATATTCTTTTCATCCGCATTCAGATATAGTCTGGCTACTGTGATAATGATATTTTATAATTTCACTGTCCACTGAAAAGCATGTGATAAATGGAAATATTGTGAGAAATACACTTAGTTATAAGTATAATGTGATATATGATGAGAAGCACTTTAATATTTGCACAAATCAAACAAAATTAATGAAATACTACAGAATTAGTTTTTGAATATAAACATAATGTGATAAAGTAATATATAAGATGATACACAGAAAAAAATCAAAGTGCCTTAACACCATTAAAAACATATGAAATAAATGTAAAATTTGTTTATTTTGCATGTAAGGTCAAATAATATTTCATTTAATTTATTTGTGAACACCAGCAGTGTTATATTTTCACTTGTGGCTGTGTCAAAATATTGCATTGGGTGTTCATTTTATAATAGGTTTCAATCTTATCTTCTAATATACTAAACCCCACTTTAAAATGACTGAAATATTTTATCTAAGGAAACATTTTATTCTTTTAACATTTGTACTGGTAATTTATGTATATATTTTCAATAAATGATAGACACTATTGAAACATATAATAAAATACCCATATCTTGACCAAAATACACTGTTTCAAATTATTTGTGTGTGTGTGGACAATCACAACAAATAGGTAACAGGGCAAATTACCTCAGTGATGAAACAGAAATCATTCACATCCATATGGTGTATGTTTTGAGTCCCCTTGTTCCCATATTTTCTGTATGTGGAACATTTGAGTGTTTACAAGTTAAATATCATCATTATTATACCAATTGTGCAATGAATACTTATGTGATGGGATGTTTTCAAAATATTATTTAAATACGCATATGGGAGAAGAAAAAGGAACAACCAAAAAGGCAACAATATGCCTGTAACAGTATTAAAACAGTATATAATATTAAATCCCGGGATAAAGTATGCAAAATGGGCGATAATATTTTCTGACAATCAGTGTTTATGAAAGCATGCAGTTTTTATAGAAAGGTCTTTTCCAGTCTGACTAAAGTTCTGATCTACTTATTTCTTACATGTAGATCTGATTGCCCCCTTATTTGTTTAATCTTCATTGTGATTTGGATTTCCCAGGAAAGCTATTTTTAGCAATGAAATCAAACCGTCCTTTACATATAGGATTTATAAGACGAAGTATCAAAATATCATTTTCTGTTAAAGTAAACATAAGTATTGTTGATTTTTGATAGAAAAAAAATTGTTGAAGTGATGTGAAATGAACTGGAAATTAAAGACTGAATTTATAATGGGCATGCAGTTTACCTGCTGGCTATCTGGACAACACCATGTTTGTTCTCGAAATTGTGAAAATGACCTACTCAGTAATGGTTTTCCAGCCATTAAAATTAGAAACCATATCGCTTTCAAAATTGTAAAAGCTTGCTGATGATTGGCTGTTTGAAAGGTTATGAGAAGGCGACAACCAATTGGTGGTCGTCAGATCCTAATGCGTAGTGTTAATTAGAAGCTGATTTTAATCAGGACATCCTTAAGATTCATATTATTCCAGTTCAAATAGCATAATTTAAGTTTACAAGCCTGTACATAATTGTTTTCTTTCTTTGTATTTACAAAAGTATACTTTATAGTACTAGATTGATAATCTAGAAATACAATTTAGAGTTATGTGCTTATGAATGTTGAATTTTTTAAATTTTTAATTTTGAAAACTTCCAAAACTTTCACTGAATTTATGTATCTTCAGCAACCTTTATTAATATAGTAAAAAATTATTTTGTTTTTGAGGATTTATTTCTTAAAACAAGGATTGTTTTTACCAAAGCACATTCTTTTACATTTATGACAATTAAGTAATACTATAATATTTTGAAAATTAATCACTACTAAAATGTATCTTCTAAATTTTTAAAGAGTTTCATTAAATTTTGTGTTTTGTATTTAAATACACTTTTAAAATGTCAGTTTCTAAGAAATTGTAATCTTTGATTGGCAAACTTTGTAAAATCAAAAAGTGTTTTCCTGGGGCATAATTGTCAATTTTACAGTGGTCTCCTTAACTCAAGTAGGTTTGAACGGTTTAATACACCTCAAAGCTTCCTAAATAAAGGTTAATAATTTGTGCATACTGGCAACACTTCATTCAAATAAATATTTTTTTCTTTATTTTTGAATTAAATTTAATTCAGTGATGATTTTTGCATAATTGTATTGTCATAAAGCTTGTTTTATTCTTCTGTTGTTTTATTGAAATTTACTGAAAGCCAGTACTCAGGAGCACTTATCACTTTCTCCATCCAGTGAACTTGATTGGCCATAAACCATAAATCTTTAAATGTAAGCAACTTATATTCATCATTACTATAAACAAAGACTAAAAAGGGAAAATTTCTTCTAAAATTGTATAATACTGAGTTCTGATTTTTTTTTATTCTTTGTACAGAGAATTTGAAATGCCATGCAGTCAGTAAAATAAATTAATTACAAGTGTTTGAAATTGATTACACTTGGTATAAATATTAAAATGAGGAATCAAATTGTCTTCATCTTGAAAACAATGAAAGACAGGCAAAAACACATCAGAATATGTTTTAAAACTGTAAAATTCTGTAAAATATGATCAAAGAAAAAGTGTCATAAATATTCTTGTAATTTATGACATCATCAAAGCTTGTGATGACATCATCAAACTTTGTTTATTTTCAGTTAGAATAGTTTAAATAGCAAAAACTCCTGTTAACAGCATCTTTTATTTCGCTAGACTATTCTAACTTGAAGTTAGCATAGTCTTGCACAAAAGAATATCAAGCTTTTAACTTAAAAGTGATTGTCAAACTATTCTAACTTGAGTTAGAATAGTTTTGCACTGAATATATTATATCACCAGATAGAATATTTTCTTAAAATGTGTAAAACTTAAAAATTAGTGGGAAATTAATTATGTCCTTTTAACAGAACATGCATTGAAGGAATTTATACAAGAAAATGTCAAAAAAACATTTTCTGAAAAATATTGAGTTAGAATAGTCTTGCGCTGAGCCCTCGAGATGTTTTCTGCAAAACTCCTGTAAGTAAGATAATTGTGTAAATTGTGTAAAAATGTACAATAAATAAACAAAATATAGTTTCATCAATTCTGCTTTATGTTCAGTTTTCATTATTTACTGAATTTATATTTATGTGATAAATCATTAAAAAAGGATAAATGTTGGTTTTAAATGAGGAAAAAAATGGCTATGAAAGTTCTGTGTTCTTATAGCTCTCGGAACAGTGTAAGTCAGCAATTGTGATACAAGAGGGTGACTTACCTGGCAAAGCAATTGAGATAAAGCTGAAGGAAAGTCCCGAGACATACTGCGAAACAGGAAAGACCTGCGAGATTCACATAACATTTGATGTGACCGAGAATAGCAAAAAGAAACCAAAGTACGTTAAATAACTCTTGCAACATAGACTGTTATTTGTTTAGTGTCAAATTTGGTAAAACTGTTACTGAAGTCTTCAGGTTTTTTGTTGTTTTTTTTTTTAAAATGAACAATGCTTGACCTCTTCCTTTTATTATCTTAGAGAAATTACAAATATAAAAATGTTTGTTTTTCAATTTAATGCCAGTGCCCTTTCTGAAGACCTTAATCTTAGCTGGATGACATCTGCCATGTATGTCTTAACTAGTATTTTAACTAGTATTTGCATAAGGAAAGGGTAAAATTAATTGAAAAAAAAGGGTTTGGCTTAAGTTATAGATACATTTTAGATATGAATAACTCAATAAACTTACAAGGCAATTTATGATAGTGTTTCAATGAATTTATCATTTATATATAACCTTTACCCTGATGGCCACAACTGAATTTACCTGTTGGACAAGGGCTGACCAAGATCAGCTGGCACATCTTTGCCATCCTTAATCATGGTCTACACTGTTCACTATTCAGTCAGTATATATACATTTGTATTTGAATTATCCCTAAGAAATGATGAATGGTTTTATCCATTTTAAAAGATGAGCAAGTCCATATAAGATAATTAGGGTGGTAAGAGGATTAATGACAAGATTTCATGTCTACAGATGTTCCAATAAGAAAGAAATCCAGCAGATCCTACTTGGCAATAACTGTGACATGGTATTCACCAAAGATAATTGGAATGTGGCACAGACATTGACAATTTACGCCCGTCTTGATGGCAAGATAGATAACAACTTTACTGGAAAATTAAAAGTTACGGCAAAATTGTTTGTAGATGGCAAGGAAGTTCAGCAAAAGCCAGTTCTTCAAAAATGTTCGGTAGGTTTACATTAATATTTTTATTTACAGGGAATTATATTAAAAAGGACATCTATAGCAACTTTCGTGTGCTTTTTATGACAATAACTGTAATAAAGAGTGATGAATATACAGACCAACCTTTTCAGAACAACCCCCTTTGGGACACAAAGATTTTTTGGTTGTTGCAGAGAGGTGTTGCTGAACAGAGGTTAAATTTATTATGAAGTGTGACTTTGGGAAGAAATGATACATTTGTTATATAGAGTTTATTGCTGTACAGAGGGTTTTCTGTAGAGGTTTCACTGTATATACATATAAGATTTATTGCATTAGACTAAAACATCAATGATATTAAAAATGATATCCATGCAATCAAATCAGTTATTATTATTATGATTTTTATCATTGTTATTATTATTAATATTTTTATTATTATTATTAATAATATCATTGTTATTTTTATTGTTTCTATAAGTGAACATGTTACTATTTTTATTAATTTCAGATTGTGGTAAAGGACAGGGACTCAGATGGTTTATGTGGAAGCACTAACGATCCACATTTAACAACATTTGATGGCTTGTATGAAACTGATTGTTTAAATTGTATAATTCTTTTAGTTTATAAGCTGATAGGCATACTATTTAATTCCAGCTAGCTAACTGAAGATGGTGGTTCTACACAAATGCCTGTTTAATATACCTTAAATAATGCACAAGGGATACCTGGTTCTACACAAATGCCTGTTTAATATACCTTAAATAATGCACGAAGGGATACCTGGTTCTACACAAATGCCTGTTTAATATACCTTGAATAATGCACAAAGGGATACCTGGTTCTACACAAATGCCTGTTTAATATACCTTAGATAATGCACGAAGGGATACCTGATTCTACACAAATGCCTGTTTAATATACCTTAAATAATGCACGAAGGGATACCTGGTTCTACACAAATGCCTGTTTAATATACCTTAGATAATGCACAAAGGGATACCTGGTTCTACACAAATGCCTGTTTAATATACCTTAGATAATGCACAAAGGGATACCTGGTTCTACACAAATGCCTGTTTAATATACCTTAGATAATGCACAAAGGGATACCTGGTTCTACACAAATGCCTGTTTAATATACCTTAAATAATGCACGAAGGGATACCTGGTTCTACACAAATGCCTGTTTAATATACCTTAGATAATGCACAAAGGGATACCTGGTTCTACACAAATGCCTGTTTAATATACCTTGAATAATGCACAAAGGGATACCTGGTTCTACACAAATGCCTGTTTAATATACCTTAGATAATGCACAAAGGGATACCTGGTTCTACAGAAATGCCTGTTTAATATACCTTAAATAATTTACGAAGGGATACCTGGTTCTACACAAATGCCTGTTTAATATACCTTAGATAATGACAAAGGGAAACCTGAGGCCTTCCTCTACCAATAATGCTGGAAAGTTGCCATATGACTTTCATATAGTGTTGGTGTGTCTTAAACCCAACAGATAAATAAAACTTGGGTCCAACTTTCCTCAACCTCCTCATTCAGTTCTTGCATTGTCCTTATTAATGAATGTCAAAATTTAGTTTTAGGACTGCTGTAACAAAATATAGAACAACATTTTTTTTGTTTGTTTTTTTTTTGGTTTTATGCACACCAGCAAAACTTAGGTCATATGGTGCTGAAACAGGAAAGATGATGTAAGTGGTGCAGGACCATCATAGCGCTTGATTGAAAATACATGTTTTTTTTATAAAATGGCATATTCACATATCTTTAAGGTTAAGTCAGGATTCGTAATGCAAGTTTTAATTTTTTGAAGTCCTGTCTGATATATTGTTTGTTTTACAGGAAGTATGATATGATGGGTAAAGGAGAATTCGTCATGTACAGACACACAGAATTGCCATACGAGGTAAGATCTGTTTGGCCATTGAAGTAAAGTCTTTTCAACTTAAATATATTAAAAAATATATTAATTTTCATCCAATATTACGGACTGTCAAGTATCATGGTGTCACCTTATAAACCCACTATTTTTATAAAATTTATTTCATAAATAACCTATTGACACTCTAACCACAGGGAAGGGTAATGTTAGACCTGTGCCACCAGTATAGAGGCAGGACCTACTTGTACATTTATACAGACTGACCAGTCTCTATATTGTCTGCTGTCCAATTTCAATATTTTGATATTGGAACTTCTTAAAGAAACCTAGTTAAGGAACTCAACTGAGGATCAAAAGCCTAAAACATGAAGATATGCAAAAGATAAATAAGAAACAGACTCAGAAATAATTAGAAAATAATATTTTTATGTTATTCATTGTCTGATTTGAGTAAGAAGTGTTGGAACGCTTTTCAACTTTTGGTCATTTTTCACAATTAGAATAATCATTCTGAAAAAATAGAGTGAACATATGATCTAAAAGTTTGCACACAAGTTATTGATGTAGATCTACATCAAATGGGACACTTATCTGGAAAAATAATTTCCAGTCCCATCATGTCAAAAAACCTCAGAGGAGTCCCTATTAAACTATTAACAGACTCATGTAATCTCAAAGTAGGACAAATCAATTTCAGACTGTCAGATTCAACAGGATAAAGATTATCTCTTACCATGCAAATTGATAACAAAACCTTTTACAAAGACTACTAGTCAGTAGAGACCACCTTTGTACCATTGTTCCAAGGCTTATTTAAGGACATTTTTAGCTCGACCCTTTTTTTTACTGTATTTTGATTTGTATAATTTGACTTGTTTGATAGGTGCGAATCCTCACTACAAAATGCAAGTGGGGTAAAAACGGTCCCAAGGCATCATGTAACTGTGGAGTTAGCATTAAAGCCGGTGATGACGTGTTCTTTCTCAGCAGATGTACAAGAAAAACTACTAAAGAAATATTACTGAATGAGCCTTTAACAGAGGGTTTCAGAATATTTGAAGGCAAATGGAAGAAGTCATACACTGTAAGTTATTATTAGTAAATAACAATATTTGGAATGGTTATAATACGGGGAAGTCAAAGTCCGAGCCCGGGCTTTGGCTTGCCCGGCTATAGACTACACGTGTATATTTAAAAGAAAATTCAAATTAAAAAAAAAAAAAATATATATATAGAATTCTATACCTATCAATGCACCGCCATTTACAATGTAACTCAATGATAAAGGGCGGTGTATTCCGATTATGGAACAAATCTCAACTTTTCGGATTAATAATTATAGTCGAGTGTTCCGAGTGAAAATGGAAGTGGGTACATATAATGCCGAATGACACCTTTAAAACGGAAAAATGAAAGGATTTTTTTACTGACTTCCCCGTTCATAGGCTTTGCCTAATTTCATATTAGATATATATGTGGCTATATATATTAATTGAATTGAGAGCTACAGATGCCATATGGAATCTCTTTTTTGAGTTTTTTTGTTAAAAATGCTTATGATTTATAAGAAACTATCCTGTTACAGTCTTTGTAAAGTATCATACAAATTTGGTCACTCTTGAACTGATATGCATATTTACATTAAAAAAATTGTGTATTATACAATGTTTGTACCTTATGTGTGTGAGATCAAGTATTTAACATATGAAAAAATCAAACCAGTCTACTATCTCTGCAGATATTTAGCTGGTAAATTTGTATAATGAAAAAATATTCAGTCAATTTTTTGTGTGCACACATAAAACTGGTAATGCTGTCTTAATATTAAAAAAAAAACACTTGTCAACTTTTTTTTGCACCTTTGGTAAAATTGCATTAAAAAAATCAACCAGTCAACTTTTCACCCAAATCATTGGTTTATATTGTTTATGTTCATATTTTGTCAATATTATTATATTTATATTTGATAATTAACAAAATAAAATGGCTGCCACTTTAGCCAAGGGAGCTAAATATTGTAAAATTTGTAAATAACTTATTCCTTTTGTTTGTTCCAGGTCCTCTTACCATCTGGTCTTACAGTGTTTATCAAATTTTCAAAGAGTAAAATGCTCAAAGCTCCATCAAAACTTATCAGTGTTCACATCAAGCCTTCTGCAGTAGATTATGGAAAAACAAGAGGTTTGTTTGATTGTTTTCTTTATTTTATGTTGAACCTTAAACTGAATGCTGGAACACTGGATGCAATAAGCCTTTGCCACCAGTATAGAGCCAGGCCAGTTTTCTAATCTGTACATTCTGACCAAGCACTTTACTGTCGGTAGCTTAGCTTGTGTATAGTAATATTTTTAATTCCCTTAAACTTTGAATAGAATTATTTCAGATTCAAAACTAAGCAACTCCATTTCACTAATTCAGAAGGTTGAAAGTTATTAGGAAATTTTTCAATTTGTTTTGTCTGTGATTGATGTCTTCTAAGAAAAAAAGCTTTATTTTTTGCTGACAATTCAAAGAACATTAAGCTTACTTGTCTTGACAAGTTGCAGTTGTTAGACAAGAGGCATAGTTCTGAAAACAGTATTTTTAGAGTTATGCCCCTTTTTAACTTAGAATTCTTTTAACAGACAATTTGTTTTAATTTAAATAGATGAAATATTATGTTTACTTTCCAGGTTTATGTGGTATATATGATGGAAATGAGAAAAATGATATACATGACGTTGATGGCAATGTTTTCAAAAATATTGATATTAAGGACTACACTCAGTCTTGGGCCAAAGCATGGCAGTAAGGAATTCTTTTCTTTTTTGAAGTTACAAATTGTGATTAAACAATATCCTACTAGTTTGGGATGTAAAATATTTGTTTTTAATCTAGTTTAATTGACCAGCAAATTTAAATTTCAACTACTACTAGAACAGTTCTTAGTTATGAACAGTGTAGGCAATATAGGTGGGATTGAGCCATTTTTTACCTTCCACCTGTCCCTGCACTCTAGGGCTAATGCAATGGATATCCAATGCTCAGTGCAAAAGTATTAAGTGGAGATTTTACCACATGAAAGTCTTAACAGGAGAGAACCTCTGCTAGGGTTGGTTATCCTATAGTGAAAGTCCCCACAGTTCAAAAGATTTGGGGTGTGGAGGGAGTGAGTGCTAGGATTAAAAGTGGCAGGGGCAAGTCATTGATTCCTTGAGCAAGAAACTTTACACTCATTACTCAGTACTGGTTGGTTCTAGGAATGGATTTGAAAGTGTCTTTATAGTTTGCTACACAATCAAACTAAAATAAATTCTGTATAAAGCAAAAATGACTTAGTGGAATTACGGCCTTTACCTTTACTCATATTTTATATAATGCTTGCAGATCTAATAATTAACTTTGTTCTCATTACAGAGTCACTGGCACATACCTGATGGAAGGTGTTTCAGCTGATCCTTTTGTTACAGACTTAGCCAGCTCATGTTCACTCACTGAAGGTCAATGTGCCTGTAACCTCCAGGACCTCTTTGAAACCTGTGAAATTGACTTAGGTAAAATGTTAATTTCAGCATACATTGTAAATTAATGTACTAAAAGAAAGTTTTACACTAGATCTAGCTGGACATTTCCTTTACTGTTATAATTTCTGATCAGGACTGTATCTTTTTTAGAAGTTACATGTATAGCTACGTACTTAATTCTGTTCTGTTCCAAAAGCCTTAACTTCATTTCCTTAAATTTGCGAATTTGCTTCAGCATTGGGTGAAAGTCATTGAATTTATTGAGACTTTTATCGTTTCTGATTTTATATGTGAACAGAAAATGATATCTCACGAGATGTAACAATTACACAAATTGGAAAGAAGAGGCGAAAGAGACAGCTTATAAATCCATTACTAGAGTTAGGCATTGACGAAAATGAACAACCAGAGGTAAGCAGATATGAGTTGCGTCATGACAAAACCAACATAGTGCGTTTGCGACCAGCATGGATCCAGACCAGCCTGCGCGTCCGCGCAGTCTGATCAGGATCCATGCTGTTCGCTATCAGTTTCTCTACTTGTTATAGGGTCTGTAAGCGAACAGCATGGATCCTGATCAGACTGCAGGGATCCATGGTCTGGATCTATGCTGGTCGCAAACGCACTATGTTGGTTTTGTTACAGTATAATCTCTGTAGAGCAACTGTACAGGTTGATAATTAGAAACACCCTTTAGGTGACAAAGATTTCAGATTTTGTTGAGAGGTGATGCACCAGATAGTATAATGGCTGATTTACACCATGTCATGTTTTTTACTTCTTTGCCACCAAAAATGCAAAACACAAATGGACATCAAAGTTACAGATGGAATGCGCCCTCCTTCTGTCATATTTTTGCTCGAAAATCCGAAAAAAGCAAACAACACAAAGAGAGGACTAAGTCCAACTTTGTTGTCCCTTCATGTTTTAGCATTTTCTTATTTTGAGGTGAAGAAGCTAAAATAGAACATGGCGTAAATCAGCTCTCATAACATAGGTATATTTTATTGTTAAGTTTATTTAGCCCTTCCTCTGCTCTCCCCCCACCTCACAGCTGTGGGTTCGAGCCTCGTTATAGACTTTGGACTATTACATGTGAGGAAGCTATCCAGTTAGCATACAAAAGGTTGGTAGTTCTACGCAGGTTACTGCCAGTGCCTGAAATAATGTATGAATGGGCACTTGATGTCTTCTGCCATCAGTAATGCTGGAAAGTCCTGTATGACATTTACAGTATGACGTAAAATCCAACAAAGCAAACAATTTTCAAAACAAACAATTTTTTTTAGTCAAGAAAATTGGATATAATTAAAATACCAAGTAGATCTAGATAACATTTTAGCAAACAAATGAGAAGTTAGTCAATTGATTATTTATTGCTGATTTACATGTAGACAAAATTGTTGTAGATTTGAAATTATAGCCTCATAAAATTATAAAATATACTCTGAGTACTTAAAGGTTTTCTTCAATTTAAACACAGATTGCAGTGTTCCCGACAGAATCTGGAATTACATATGAACAAGCTAATGAAACTTGTTACAATGCCCTCACTGGTGCTGATTTTGCAGATACTTGTGCTAATATTCTTCCACCAAATGAACTGTCTGATAATCTTCTTAATTGTGTAAATGACATAAAGGTAAGTACTTACATGTATTTTGTTACCTGTACTTATTGTGAAAAGAATCTGACAAGGTGTTTAATTCTGAAAGCAATATTATCATTACTTATGCCCCTTTTTAACTAAGAATTATTTTAACAGACGAGCATTAATACTGCATTTGGTGCATTTCTCAAGATTGCTTTTCATTCACACAGCATTGGTTAACTGAGGAACTTTATGAATCTGATAAACATAATTCTCTATTTATGTCAACATACCCTTGTTTTACATTAATTTGTTAGTATCTAATTAATGATATACATGTATTTTTTTTCAAACATAAAGGTGGATGACGACCTTAATTCAGATTTTATCCAATCAGCTATTGATGATGTGAGTAAACGATGTGAAGAAACCGCCAAATCCAGTACAAATACCTCGCTCATTGATGGAATAAAGGATGTCACATGTCCTGGACAATGTTCTGGTCGCGGTTCATGTAGCAATGGTATGTTGAAATATATTTGTGTGTTGTAGTTTTAATTACGTTAATTTACCTTGCGGTTTATTTAAGTGTGACAGAAACAAGATATTTATGTGATGATTTCTATAATTTTAATATTTGCATGAATATAAAGAGAGAGGAATTTCAAGTTTTCCCTATAATAATAACAGAAGTTGATAACATCGAGTGGTATGAAAATAGATATTTCATGAGTGGCGGTACAATTACATTTATTTACAATTTGAAAGTCTTTCCCCTAAATTGTGTGTACTGGCAGAATTTAGATAAAAAAAGTCCATCAAGACACTAGTAAAAATATCGAAAATATGTTTCACTGCAGTGAAAAATTTTTAACAGTGAAAATATAAAAAAATGAAAATACACATTTGATTTCATCAATGTTTCATTTAAATGACTGAAATAACTTCTTAACATTTATAGAAGCAAGGTATACTCATAATCATCATAAAAGTCATAAACACACAAAAGTCATAAACACACAAAAGAATAATAAAATCATATAAAAGGATGCTATATTATTTAACATTGTGTTGTTGTTTTTTTTCCTAATTTCTATCTTTTCTTCATTTACTCACAAATATTTTAACAATGAGTTAAAGTCATTTAAAGTCTCACACAAGCTAGATAATTTGCAGTTTCAGGTTTGTTACTTGCTTGTATTTCTGAAGCCCACTTTGCCTGGCAATATCACCCGCAAGAGAGTTTGTCAGTAACCAGACGGAAAAATTGTTACAGACCTCACCACTGTGAAATAAAAAATATTTGTGTTTGTTTTTTTACACTAGGTACTTGTACATGTAATGAGGGCTTCCAGGCAGAAGATTGTTCTATAGATATCAGTGCGCCACCAGAACTTACGGCTCTTAGCTCCACTTTGTGTTCATCTACATTAGATAATGCTTGCAACAGTGTGACTCTTGATGGTGGTGACTTTATACAGGGAGCTTCTTGTCACTTGAGAGCTGTACAGGTAAATTCAAAATTTCGACTTTCATATATAAATATTTCAGCATAATGTTATAACGTATATATTATGAAATTTACCAGTTATAAATGCAGGATGTGAAAATGAAAAACACATCTAAAAGTGACAATTCTAAGCTGGCTACAATTTTTATGAAATTCACAACATTTACATATTTTAGATTTTCAGGGTTAAAAATGTGTTTGTCTGTGCAGTATAGCAATTCCTCTATGTCATTGAATGATAATTCTGATTCATAAGCTTTCTATTTCTTTAGGTGACTGAAACTGGTATAGATAGGACAGGCTCAACAGTGAAAGTTGTTCCTGCACAATGGATCTCTGTAGATGAAGTTACCTGTAGCTTGTCAGAATCTGGTTCCCTGCCTTTACATGCAGTTCTTGTATCTGTCAGTAACAATGGAGAGGCAACCAGTTCCAGTGTAGAGCATCTATTTATAGCTCACAATCCTGTTTGCTTCAGTTGTACTCGGGAAGACCAGGCAGTAGGAAAGTGTGTGAAAGAGGTATGATAATTATATACCTTAAAGGCTTTTCTCTTGTAAGCTATTTGGTTTGACCCTCTTATGTGAAGTTTTTTTTTAAATCTCAAAACCTTACAAAGAACTGTTTAGTTTCTGCTTTGATGAAGTGTCTAGTTTTTGCTTGGACCGTCATATAAGAAAGAGTCTACTTTTTGCTTTTTGATCATCTTATTTCTTGCTTTGACTGTCTTATAAGAATGGTTCTAGTTTTTGCTTTGACCGTCTTATAAGAAGATGCTTTGATTTTGGTTTGATTAAAAGAAGGGTTGAATTTTTAGAAAAGAAAATGCTGGTCTTTTGAATAGTTTCCGGGTTTCATTGTCTTTAAGTTTAGCCCAAGGTATATTATAAAGCAGTATTTGTACACTTACTTTACTATTTTACTTGTAAATGGAGGCATGCTGCTATAAGCTTTAATATCATCTAATTTATGTTGTTTTTTTTCCGTTTCTTTTGTAGAGAGCAAGTTGCTATGTGGATGGTAAATGTTATAGACCACTTGATCCTAACCCGTCTAACCCATGTTATATATGTGATGTTTATACACAACAAATGATCTATAATGTTTGTAAGTAATCAGTGTTACTTTGTTTACTAGTTCTTTAAATCCTTAAAAGCACATTATGCCCCAGAAATGCTATCATATTTATTTCCCAAAACTCTTTTTTTATTTTGGGTATCTTGTTACAGTTTCCAAAAATTACTCACTTGCCATATAAATTAACCATCTTTGCTTCTTTTGTTTTGCTGGCAATTGCTATAATTATAGTGAATTAGTATTTTTTGTGGAAGTAAAAATACTTTGTTTTTACATTTTGCAAACGTTACAACACATCACTTCGAATTCAACACTACTTTTCGTCGGTATTTAAATATGTAACAATCCATTATTGAACCATTATTCAACAATGTTTGATATTTTAAAAGAATTTTATAATAATGAATTTCTGGGGTGTAATGTGCCTTTAACCTACTACTGAAAGTGATTAGCCCATTGTAATCTGCATAGAACTAGGTCAGCCTGCAAAAACCTCTAGTTTGGCCAGGCTGTATACAGTTTGTTTAATTATGGTTCTATTATGTTGCTTTAATTCTATCTTGATTAATTAAATTATGGTCAGTTCTAGAATTAAAAGTTGGGCAAATCCATTTAATAAAATCAGCAGCTTAATAGTACGGTGACAATTGGTGTGCTGAATCTAAGTGAAATTCTCATAACAGTATCGCTGATGATCGTCAGTTTTACAAGTCGCTGGTGGTCGCAAGTAATCGTAAGCTCTAGTGTGACTGGGGTTTAAGTGAAATTCTCATAACAGTAGAACAAATTGTGTTATATACCAAAATGACCGCAAATGTATCTTATATCAAGAAATGGTGGCATAATTTTCTTTATGTGGTGCGGGCTGAGAAATCCAGGATGGCGTCCAAGATGGCCGCCACAATTTGTTTATTGAAGGAAATTTTATAAGACATATGCAGTTTTGTTATCTAGAAATATAAGTGTTCCAGCAAAGTAGGTGGTGATTTTGCCGAGTGGTTTAATGCGTCAGACTAGTAATCAAAATATTGCTGACTGTAATAACAGTATAGGTTCAAACCCTGACAGGGGCTAGCCATTGTTTTTTTTTGCAAGGAACTTTACATTCATTACTTATAGGTAGCTGGTTGATTCCAGAAACAGATTTGAGAGAGTGTATATAGCTTCCTACGAAACTGAACTACAATAAATTTCAAAAATCCCAACCATCTATTTACTTGTTTCAAACTTTTTTTTATCCATTTAAAAGGGGCCATCAATTAGGGTACCATAATCCATGCTATTGTAATTATGAATTATTGTTAATTTATATCTGCTGTGTATCTGTAAAAAAAATTATGGTCAGTATTGGATGGTTCCTTGACCCATGATACTGATCTTATGAATAGGGAGAATAAATGGGGTCACCCTTATTGTTGGTAAGGGCAGCAACTTCTACAACTAAAATACTGCTGTTTTTAGTCATATAAAACCACACAGCGAACAAATGAATGAAACTGACATATTTGCTTGGTGTTAAGAAGGGTTTCTACTCTGTACTAATGAAAAATTTTTAATATTAAGTATTTCAATTTTGAACAGCTGACAGTTGCCCTGCATCAACAACTACTACCACAGATGTGCCAAACCAGGAAAATCAGAAGGCTCGAGAGATGAACGATTCTCTGGTTATAGGACTATCAGCTGGTGCCGCTGGATTTGTCCTCGTTTTAGTTATTATAGCTGCCATGGTCATGTACATGAAACACCTGTAAGTTTCTGACTTAATTTCTAGTTAAACATAGTATCTTAATGCTTACTAGCAATGCTGACCTTACTTAATATATTAGTTCTACTTTTGACTTTGGAATAGTCAATTTGCAGTTCCAGGGTTTTAGTTGTACAATGCTGAATTTGAACACAGTTTAGTTTAGTCATACTGCAATGATATGCCCGTTGACTTTATTCTAAACTAGGGACATAGGTCTAGTACTACTACCAATGTTGTCAAAAGGTCAAAATATTAAGGTCAAACATAAGGTAAGTACATGGGCATCAATAAAAAACAACAAATAGAATCTATTCAATAGAATAAAACACAACTTAGGTCAGGTGATTATTTGATAACCATATTACTACAAAATAACTTTTATTTCAGGCAACATCATTCTAAAGATTTTGATTTCATAACTTTTAATATATATGTATTATTTATTCAAATATTTCCAGTAAGATGAAGTCAAAATACTCGGACACCAAAGATTTGACACACCGATCATCTGGAAGATCAAGTGATGACGGTGAAGGGTTCACAGATTTAGTTCATCCAGCGTTTGCTAATTACGGTTACCAAGGTTACGCAGGTCAAGGTTATCCTGCCATGTATCTGGAAGCACCACAGGACGTGTTCGTTGATAACATTCCAAAACGACATAGCAGTCGTCATTCTGATCCAACACGAGACCGACATGATAGAGGAGATCATAGACGTAGCCGACACGTACAAGAAGATTTCTATGACAATAATGCTTAAAATGCAAAAAAAAAAAAAGAATAAAAAAAGTGCAAACAAACTGTTTAAATCATACTTTAATAGTTAATTGTACATATGACATCTGTGTACAGCAGAAAAGCATTTTAAGATTATATAGATATATATATAGAGATTTTTTATATTTTTATACACAAAAATGCTCAAATATAATTCCCTTGCTGAAATACTATAAAGAATGATTTTGTGTGATATCTTGTATAACAGACATTTTCTATTTAGTTATCTATACTGAAACACTTGATTTCAAAAGGTGCCACTCTCAATATCACTTGATTTTATCTACTTTTTTATGTACATTAATACTATGTGAATAGTAGTTTGTTAAAAAAAAACACCTTATTTTGAAAACTGTATTGGAAAAGAATAGCATCTATTTAATGAAATTGTAATTTCAAAAATGTGTTGGACACCTGTAAGAAATGAAGGATGTCACTTACTAAATTTGATAAAATCTAATGTCATCCCTGATTTATGTTTTTCAAATTTATCTTTATAATTTCGCATTCTTTCAAGATTAATTTTTCTTTAAGATAAATTTTTAATCTTTCAAATTCTATTTTTAAGGCACTGAAGTCTTTTTGCTTTTGAAGAATTTTCTTTCCATTAAAAATAATATTTAATACAGTCTCATGATAACTATTGATCTGAAAGTATTACAATGTAAATTATATTTCTAGGGCTTTAAACTTTTCCTGAACGCCAAAATATTCATAACATAATTATGCTTTATTATTTTCTTCTGTCTTTCTGATTATCATTCTATTCACATAAAGATATACTATTCTCATAATTATTTGGGTAAAATATTATAACTGCGAAAATTCTATTGAAATTTAGGAAATTCTCATTTAATATTGTCTTTTTTGGATAAGAGAATGTACATACTATATTAAAGGAGCTGTACATCTTATTACTGGTCAAGTTAATGTGGTCATTTCCTTAAAAAAGATCAGTTTTTATAGTGACACTGTATATTCATAATGTGTTTAGTTTACTGATAGTGCTTAGAGTTTAAAAAGTGACAGATCTGTTCTGTGAGTACTCAAAAATGTTTATTTAACATTTAAAAAAAAACAACAGTTATCAATATTTTCAAATATCAATATTGAGCATAATATATCTTTAATCAATTACTAATTCAAGATGAGTAAGATTTAGGTAAAAATTGGTGCAAAATATTTGTTTTTCACTTTTCTTTTATTTTCAGCTTATTTCATTTTCTCCAATTTATAGTTCAGTTTACAAAATTATTGTTTCATTGTTAGATCGCCATGCCTCATAGAATTTATAATCAATTTTTGAAGAAGAAAAAAAACAATTAAAATTTCAGGAAAAGTAAATTCTCAATCCATGAGACTTTTAGCATTTTATAAAATGTAAATTTGACTAAAAAAAATTTTGTTATCATATTTCAACCTTACATGAATGAATATATGGAGTAAGGGGCATTAACAAAGTAAGGGTTTAATTGTATATTTTGGCACAAACATTATTTTTTGAGGATAATTACTGTTTTAAATTGTCACAAATTACCTTTATTTTTTCACTTGACATTTGTTTTTCTTTTTTTCTTTTTTTAAATAAAGCAATATTTTTATTTGTTAAAGGATCAATACAGTATAAAGAGAGAACACAATCTTGATTTTTCTATATATGGTATATTTTGACATGAACTATTCTCAGGTGTTACAAGGTTTATACCGAGGTTTATCCCGCAACCTACATATGCATGTACCCTTTGCTTTAGACAGATCATTTACCTATTTGCTCATTTTATAACCGGTTTTTAATTGGCAGGGCAGAATTCTAACTGTGTTGTAAAGTATTTTTTATATATTAAAAAAAGTGGTTTAAACTATCGAGACATGGTGAAATTTTTATTTTGCTTCATCTGGTACCAATTAAAACTTAAAAATTACAAGCTAATGTGCAATGGTATGGTATTTTGGCACAAATTGTGTTTTTTAAAAAAGCACAGAAATAGAAATGATGTCTTTCTAGTGTTTAATGATTGTAATTCAAAATTTTGATTTTTTTTTTTTTAAATTGAATCCAGACTTAAATTTGTATTTTGTAAGCTTATTTTGACACTAAAAAGAAATGAAACAATTACATAAACTGATCAAAATTTTTTGGAAGATTACGAATACTATTGTGGTTTAATCATTTACTGATATATTTATGTGAGAATTCTGCCCTGCACAATATGTTGTTACTTGTTAGTTATTTTCTTTCTGATGCATAATACTTCTTTATAGTTTACTTTATTAAAATTCTTAATAAAACTTCACTGCTGTTGTTATATTATCAACTATAAATCAGAAAGACAGCACACAGTAATTTTCCAGCTACAGCAAATGCTGTCATAGTGAAAAAAAACAAACTTGTAAAAGTCATATGTATCTAACCAATGTATCTGTATTCTCACTGAAAGTAGCTGCATGGCCGAATGGTTAAAGCGTCGGGTTAGTAATCATAATTATTGTTGGCAATGTGGGTTCAAACCCAATGGGTGCAAGCGATTATTTCCTTAAACATGAAACTGATTGCTTAGTACTGGTTGGTTCCAGGAATGGATACAACACAAAATAAATTTGTATAAACCAATTAAACTAAAAAGTTGTTGCTCGGCTTAGGTACGTGTAATTGATGTTAAGCACCAAGAGATTATCCCATGTGTTCATTTTCTATTAGAACAAAAAACAGTTTTCCATTGGTATAGAGCCAACCTGTAAACAGACTCGGATACTGTTTTATTTTACTCACGGGATGCATAATAAACACAGTGGGTCCAACTTATTGTACAATGCATTGCATCAAGATATTGTTCTGTTTTGTGTATGAGCAATATCTCCCCTCTAGAAGGGAGATTCTGACCCAGAACAAAAATATCTCGGAATCTAGTTTTAGCACATCAAATTATTTTGACAAAATGCTAATGAGATTTTTGAAATTGGTTATTGATAAACATTTTTTAGAAAGTTATCAAAGACATAAAAGAACATGTAGTTCTAATTCTGGACATTCTTGCTAATGAGGACAAAGCACATTTGTATGACAAGGGACTTAACTAAGTGATCTTCATGTCTGGAGTTAAAGTTTTGTATACTGAACATTCACAATCACACAGTTAATAAATGAAAAATATACCAGCCAAAACACATAAGTTAGTTTATAAAATATTTAATTTTGAGTACAGTACAGTCCATGTCAGAAACAAAACAAGAAATATAATGAAATAGTAAATGGCAAATATGCCTGATTGCAAATTTACAAAATAAAAATATAAAACTTATTCTTGTAAATGATAATTTTTTCTGGAATATAAATAGGAATATAAAAGAAAAATATACAATCCATTTTTTTTTTGTAAAAAGACAACATATCTTACTACATTTCATTTTTGACTGAACAAAATCTCTAATATCAAATTTGCAATAAACTAGTTACAGAGAAAATCAAACTTGACCTGTGTTTTAATAGTACATACTTGCATGCTAAACAAAAACACAATCACTGAATTCCTTCATAGGTTATTGTGTGGAAACAAATATTATTGCATATAAACATGTACATATGTGCCATGTATAATTTAAACAAGAGCCATGTCAACATGGCCATCCCCCGCCGAATGTGTTTGCTCATTGGAAGAATGTATATGTAGTAGAGCAGAATAATTCAATTTTAAGAGGTCTTTTGGTAATGAAAACTGATGGCTATAGTGATTACAGATTTGAAACCTATGTGAATACTGATGGCTGAAAATAACAAAGGGCAATAACTGAAAAATAATGCAGGGTAGGTTATCATTCTTGTGTGCTGCATCCCTCCTCAGTAAAATCTATCCACCTATGAAGTTTCAAGTTGATACCTCAAATACTTTTTGAGAAAAAAAATGAATTGAAAAATTAAGTATGAAAAATAACAAAGGGCAATAACTCAAAAATTACAAAAGGTAGTTATCATTCTTGTGCACTGCACAACTCCTGAGTTAGATCTATGCACCTATGAAGTTTCATAATGATATCTCACTGCACACCTCCTGAGTTAGATCTATGCACCTATGAAGTTTCATAATGATATCTCAAAGGCCTTTTGAGTTGTGCTCTGGACAAAAATTAATTTTGAAAAATAGCAAAGGGCAATAACTAAACAATTATGTAGGGTAGAGTTATTGTCCTTGTGCACTGCACGCCTCCTCAATGAGATCCATCCAGCTATGAAGTTTCAAGTTGATACCTCAAATACTTTTTGAGATAAGCTCCGGACAAAGTAGTATGAAAAAGAACAAAGGGCAAAAATTGTATAAGGAAGAGTTATCATTCTTGTGCCTCAATAAGATTTATCCACCTATGACATTTCATGTTGACATCTCAAACACTTTTGAGTTATGCTCCACTTAAGTGAAAAATTAGGTATGAAAAATAACAAAGGGCAATAACTCAAAAATTATGAAAGGTAGAGTTATCATTCTTGTGCAATGCACACCTCCTGAGTGAGATCTATGCACCTATGAAGTTTAATTTCATGTTGATATCTCAAAGGCTTTTTGAGTTATGTTCTGGACAAAAATTAATTTTGAAAAATAACAAAGGGCAATAACTCAAAAATAATGCAGGGAAGAGTTATCATTCTTGTGCACTGCACTCTTCCTCAATGAGATCTATCCACCTATGAAGTTTTAAGTTGATACCTCAAATACTTTTTGAGATAAGCTCCGGACAAAAAAGCATGAAAAAGAACAAAGGGCAAAAACTCAAAAATTGTATAGGGAAGATTTATCATTCTTGCGCACAGCATTCCTCCTCAATAAGATCTATCCACCTATGACATTTCAAGTTGATATCTCAAACACTTTTTGAGTTATGCTCCACTTAGGTGAAAAATTAAGTATGAAAAATAACAAAGGGCAATAACTCAAAAATTATGAAAGGTAGAGTTATCATTCTTCATGTTCTTGTGCACTGCACACCTCCTGAGTGAGATCTATGATCCTATGAAGTTTCATGTTGATATCTCAAAGGCTTTTTGAGTTATGCTTTGGACAAAAATTAATTTTGAAAAATAACAAAGGGCAATAACTCAAAAAATATGCAGGGTAGAGTTGTCATTCTTGTGCAATGCACTCCTCCTCAATGAGGTCTATCCACCTATGAAGTTTCAAGTTGATAACTCAAATACTTTTAGAGATATGCTCCGGACAAAAATGTCAGACGGAAGGACAAAAATGTCGGACGGAAGGTCGGACGGACGGAGAATATTACTATATCCCCCGCCGCCTTTTGTCTAAGGACAGATGGACAATGCCATATGTCATACGCAGGCATTTAAAATCATGCAACTGTAGAATTTAATTGAATATAATTGAGCTGTGCCATGAAAAAACAAAAAAAACCATCTGCTCAGTCTGATCAGGATCCATGTTGTTCCCTATCAGTTTCTCTACTTGAAATAGGGTTTGTAAACAACAGCATGGATCCTGATCAGACTTAGCAGATGCACAGGCTGGTCTGGATCCATGATGGTCGCAAACGCATTATGTTGGTTTTGTCATGGCACAGCTCATATGAATTAATATCCCAGATTTCTATTTCTTGACCTGCAGAATTCTTATATTAGATATGCCCTGCTTTGAATTTGTACAGTCCATATGAAAATCAGGACTTTTCAATATGAAAAACAAAACAAAAATTAAGTACTGTAAAAATCAACAACTGTATAGAGCCTGTTCAGACTGTATGTATGTGCACCTGGCTCTTTTCTATTGGCAAAAGATAAATAACTATCACTTCCAGCAGGTTATAGCTTAACCTCGTATCACCATACAACGGAATGCTCGCCTACCTATCTACATCAGTAAATATGAAAAGTATATAATAAATCCAAAGATTTTTTTGTAAAAAAAAAAAACGTCAACAAAACAACACATATAGCACTTTGATAAAAAGATTTCAGGTAAAACAGTCAGATTGATATACACAAAATTTAGTGTAAAAGGATATTGAATGAGTGCAAGTTCAATAATTAATTTATTGGACGAGTTAAATAAAGTTATATCAATCTATTCCATGAGTTCAACAAATTTGGTAATAAACCTACACAAACACTAGAACTCCGCGAGTTGGATGTGTCGCCTTGTGAACAATGTAGTTTAGGAGAAATGGCCAGGACAAAAATGAAATAGGAAAAATAACAAAGGGCAATAACTAAAAAAGTAATAAGTGCAGAGCAGCAGTTTCTGTGCACTGCACTTCTTATCAATAAGATCTATCATTCTATGATGTTTCAAGTCAATAGCTTTCATACTTGAGGAGAAATGACCAGGACAAAAATAAAGTAAGAAAATCAACAAAGGGCAATAACTCAAAAAATAAGAAATGCAGAGTATCAGTTCTTATGCACTGCACTTTTTCTTAATGAGATCTATCATCCTATGAAGTTTCAAGTCCATAACTTTTATACTTTCGGAGAAATGGCCTGGACAAAAATTAAGTATGAAAATTAACAAAGGGCAATAACTCAAAAAATAAGAAATGCAGAGTACCTGTTCTTGTGCACTGCACTTCTTCTTAATGAGATCTATCATCCTATGAAGTTTCAAGTCTATAGCTTTTATACATTAGAAGAAATGGCCCGGACAAAAATAAAGTATGAAAATTAACAAAGGGCAATAACTCAAAAATTAGGAAGTGCAGAGTACCTGTTCTTGTGCACTGCACTTCTTCTTAATGAGATCTATCATCCTATGAAGTTTCAAGTCCATAGCTTTTTTAGTTGAAGAGAAATGGCCCGGACAAAATTAAAGTATGAAAATTAACAAAGGGCAATAACTCAAAAATTAAGAACTGCAGAGTAACGGTCCTTGTGCACTGCACTTCGGGTTATTGAAAGAAGCATGCATACCAAGTTTGAAGTCAATCAGACTTATAGTAACTGAGTTATGCTCCGGACAAGCTTTAGGGGACGCCGACGCCGACAACGACGCCGCCGCCAAAGTAACCCCTATATGTCACCTTTTCAAGGCGACACAATAATATTCTATTTATCACATATCTGAAATAAGAACTGTTAGCAGTAAAAAAGAATCACATTTGTGTTAACAAGCCTAAAATATACATTTAATGCTGACATTTATCATTTCTTAACGCAACATTTGCGTAACTCAAATTATATTTTTTATCAAAACATGGAAACAAATAACTAGATGTTTGACCATACCATACCTTTTTTGCAGCCGCCAGTTTTGACGACATTTTTTTACCAGTTTGATTTTGACGACAATTTTTCCAGTTTGAACTAATATTAATTATAACAGTCAATGCCAACCAGCATAGGCCCCTATTTTATTTAAGATTTACCAAAACTCTTGAAAAGTTCTCATAGGACTCTTTTTTGTGTTGAAAATCACACAAGGATATCACAAGTGTTACTGTTACATAATTTTGACAAGTAGATTTGATTGAAGTTCTTTAGGTATCCTAAATGAATACATCCTATCCAAAGAGTTCACTCAGAACCCCTGGTTGTTCAGACATGCTAAAATATATCACATACAATTATCAAAGTCATCATTTGTATCAAATCAGTATTTTGATCACTCATAAAATATTTTATATTAAAATAATAAATAATGCAATTTTTCAATATATACAATACAACTAATAACAATATCATCTAGGCATATACACACAAAATATTTGCCTATCTTTAATATACAAAATATATAAATGTTTAAAGACTTTAAAACAATTTTACAAAATCTATGTGACAAATATCAAAATGTTTCAATGAAAATCTTAAGGAAACATGAATGAAACAAGTAAATTTCAATGAAAATTAATTTACATGTATTCTTAACTTCCGATGCTTCAAATAAAAATGAGATGTATCACCTTAAAATTAGAATAACAGTGAAACCTTTATAGAGTGACACTCTGTGGAGCAATAACCTCCACATAAACAGTCGATGAAAAGCTAAATGCTGTGGGACTTTTCTTTCAAAATCATTATTTCTCATTTAAAGCTATTCTATATAAATGGTTTATGAAACTATAAGAATGCTCCGTTTTTTGGGCAAAATATTTTTATATATTTATAAAATGCTGCTTAAAAGTAATATTAATCTTTATATACTGATACTGATACTTAAAAATTCATATATAGATTTTCCAAAAATAAAATTTGAGAGAAAATATCTCCTTTGTTGCATTTTAATTTGAATACTGACACACTAGTAGGTAAATCAGCCTTATATAGTAGATAATATCTATTAATATTATGTTTTCAGATCCCAAAGCACAGATTCCATCGCCCATGGCCAGATAATGAAAGAAACCCTGATAGTACAAGAAACAGGGGTATATATCTGAAACTTGTGATTTTAAAGAATCACTTTTCAATTTAGTGCACTTAGCACACATTGATTTTTTTTAACAACTAAAAAAATTAAGGTTTTACTACAGCCATTGAAATTCTGAATTTCTGTGTCTTTACCAGATACCTGGCAGTTGTAGTAACTGCTCATATTTCTTTCTAGTATAATAATAAATGTACAATATTATACACCTCAATGTTTTTTTGAAACATCTAAAATTTGAATTAATTCTACACAAGTATTACAGATAATAAATTCAACTTTTCAACAATTGTTAAGTTAGATCCCAATATCATGTAATGAAGGATTTTTCACAAACACGAAAAATTTAGTCAAAATTCAAGTAGATCTTCTGGATCTTCAACTTTCACACCATAAGTATTTTTACAGATAAATATTGCAAAAGCAAAAGCAGGCAAGAAGGATAGACCCACAATTCTTTGAATAGTCAAGCCAAACATGTCTTTCTTCACAATTTCTTATGACCAGTTTATCTCCAAATCCATATTTTGTTTTTTTGCATATTTCTGTAAGATTTCACACTCCTGCCTTCCAATGTTATGACACTTGTGTAGTTCCATTAATGTCAAATCATTGTAACCATAAACTAATTTCTGTATTGGCTCAATTTCTACATTATCACAGAATTTCATCTTTAACTCCTGCATCATCACCAGCGGGTTGACATCTAAAATTTCTAAAAATAGCTCCGTTGTAATCCAGGACACATACTGCATTGTCAGCTGTTTTAAACTTCGAGCATTTTTCAGCAGAACTACAAAAGCACTCTTCTGTAGCAAAGACTCATTCATGGGAAATGCCATTTCTAAATTTTGCAATTTGTTAAAGAGATGATCTCTGCCAGTCATTGGTACCCCAGATAATGTTGATGAGTTCGGCTCATTTTCCTCAGAAAGAAGAACTGTCAACTTCTGTAAATTTCTACAATGATACCCAACAGCTAATAGATCAAAATCATTCACATCTGCCAGAGTTAAATCAAACAACTGATTACCTATTTCTTTTAATACAGGTAAAACGCCATTTTCAAATGTCAAGCCGTCATTATTGCCTATACCAAGACGCGTTAAATGTTTCAAATTTTTCACAGCCTGAATATTTCTATCACTTATTTTGTAATATAATCGAGCTTCAACTGCTTGTAGACAAAGCTGACATGACTTTGTAACACTTTCTTCTGTTAAGTAAGACAACCTGATTCCGTGAGTAATAATATTACGCAATTGGTATGGTAGTATTTCTTGGTTGTTATTCAACTTCTCATTAACATCAAGCTCAATAATTCCACAGACATCGTCAAATCCAAAGTATTGTAATCTCGGAAGATTCTTTAGGCAATGCAGCGCACCTTGTTCATTTATCATTGTTCCAAAGATCGTTAATTTTGTCAACTTTTTACAACCTTTTTCAGGACTGAATGCTTGACATAGACTGTATGCACCACTGTTTGTAACCTTCGTCTGTGTCAAAAGTAACTGTGACATTTCCAAGCAGTTGTTTCCTGATAGAAGAAAATGACACATGATTATGATATCAATTCAAGTCTTGTTTAATGAGTAAATGATTTGATTATTTTATATCAAATACCAACAACATCTTAAAAAAGTCAAAACCACCAATGAAGAGGTAAAACAGCCACTGTCTGGCCATTGTTGGTTACCCATGGTATATAATCCGTAAATACTACATTATCTTATCGATAATGATAATCTAGATAATGATATCTATTAGATAATGTAGTATGTACTGATCAATACTGTAGGTAACCGACTTTGACATCTAGCATACTGATTGAGACCTTCTGTCCACACTCACTATCAAAATCATTTTCTCAAAGACAATTTTACAGGTTTACACAGTGTAAGAAATTAGGGTTTGAATCAACTAGGCTGGTCGGACTACCAGATTGGAATATTCACTAGCCCAAAAGACATTTCACTAGCATGATTCATTTGTTTAAAACAGTTGTTTATATTGCCTCTGAAAATGCAGTAGCCTGGTCGGGCTTGTTACTGTGAAAAGTTGGTAGCCCGAGGAGAAATTTAGTAGACTATAGGACTACTGCTAATTTCGAACACTGTTTACAGTAGAACAAGGTTAATAAAAAATAATTTCTGATACAAGTGAGCACCAAAGTATAACCAGTTTAACCACCTTCCTTTCTATAAGCTGTAATGTAGCTGGACAGAATCCAATATAACTTGCTGGATTTTAACCCAACAGTACCATTAATGCACCTTAAACATTAGGCACATCATTCGAACAATTCAAATGACTAGCGGGTCACAAACACTTATCTTGCTGGCAGCAACTGATTTTACAGGTGTGACTAGTGCAGACCAAAAACAGCTGGCACATCTGTGCTGTCTGATCATGGTCTGCACTACTCACTATTCAGTCACTACTAATTTTGAAATTGTCCCTAAAATGATGAACAGTTTTGTTGTACTGTCCAGATTGAAAGGTGGACAAGTCTAACTATTCACCTTAGTGCAGAAACAGATTAAGTCTTTCAAAATTTAATAGGATATAACTAGTTATTGCACTAAGGTGACTAAGTCCATTTTAGATTATTTGGTATGGGTTAATAAACTCACCTATAATGGATAATACTTGATCATTGCAGTTTGTCTTCTCAAGATCCAGAATTCTCAAGTCAGTCAGGCGTTCTGTCAAATCTGCAAGTCCACGTGCACTGATATTGTTTAAACCAGATAAGCTCAATGACACCAGTTTCTGAAAATATGTAACATACAATTGTGTTTATTAACTTAATGTGTGAACTCAATTTTTTTAATAAATGATGAAATAGAAGAGTTAATCTAACTCTTACTTGATGTAATTGCATGTATAGTCTGATTTTATTGACCTGTCAATAATGAATACATTATAGCACTCATTTAAATATTCGATCCCACTTCGGTTTTGTCCGTTTATTTTACGAGAATTAATATGGAGTATTTCACTAACGTTTGGAAAACTCCCACTAGCTTAATGTTAGTTCTCGTAACATCCGCAATAGCACAGTTGGTTAAGTGATTACCTTATGTATGAGAGGTTCGGGGTTCGATCCCTTCTTTTGACATTCTTTTTAGACTTATTCTGTCTTTATTTTTAGGTATATTTTAAAAGAAAATGGTCAAGCGCTTGCAAATTTTCTACACGGATATGAAACAACTAAAAGAAACACTGAAATTTCACATTTTGTAATCCGAATGAATTTTCAGTATCAATCTTAAACATAGTAGTGCATAACATATTAAAACAGAACAACCATAACTTCAAAAATTTTGAAAATAATTATGAATAAGAAAAAAACCCTGGACATACACTGTCTCGATCTTACAACATGTAAGACATTTTGATATTATATACCCGGGGTTTACCCTATTGCGCTATAACGGTGAGTGTAGCTAGTTCATAGAAACTAGATGAATTTAATCACATCTTACTGCGTACCTCTCACGGAATTTACCGAACATTTATCGAATATTAATATATTCTGTGCATTGACCGTATAATGAGTATGGAATTGACAGGTTAATAAAATCAAACAATATATACACTGTATGTGTTGTTCTACACACAATGGCAATCTATGTCCCCATGAAGTAATGGGGACATAAAAATCAATATAAAGTGACACTAAAAAATTGTGAGAAAGCTATCAATTCAACAAATCCTTGTATTCCATAGGGAAATGGTTTCTTTTATGACATTCAAATTATAGGTTTTCAACATTCACAAAAAAATTGCATTAAGTTAATTCTATAAAAGGAAAGAATCATAATAAACAAATTTGTGTGAATATTTGAAAAATGACCTTACTGGAAAAAGTTGAAATAAAAAAAAATAGGAAGACTTACTGGGCACCTGTTAGTAATAGCTTTCACAACTGAATCATTATTAGCAGCTAATCCACCAGTTGAGAGATTTAGATGTGTAACATTGTGTTGCAGCAGAGCCATAAAATGCTGACGTTTCAAACATTTTTCCTGAATAAGAGCATCTAGCACAGACTGTATCATCTCTGTTGCTAAATATTCAAAGAAAAGGTTCCATTAGAAAAGAAACAGGCCACAGATTATAAAACACTCTTGCAACAATGCAATAATGATAAAATTATCATAAAATTATCTCTCATAGATCATCAAAAGCAAAATTACTTTCCAACACCTATTTACTATATATAACATATATACCAGTAGAAGTTATAACATTACTCGCAGAAACCTATTACAGTAATTTTATAGGCACAGTTAGTCCAACTAATATGACTTCCAGATAGTGTAGGAAAAACTGTCTGTAAAAAGGGTCAAAGACTCAAACCATTCATTCAAATTTAATAAGAGTACTAGTAGGGTTTGTTGACTTCAAACCACTTGACTTGTGTCTCACCACTTTGGGTTTGAATCTGGACTTTGGTTTCTCTCATGTGAGGAATCTATCAAGCTAGCTAACACCTTTAAGGAAAGTCGGTGGTTCTACTCAAGTGCCCATTTATGCCTGAAATACGAAAGGGTACTAGAGGTCTTCATCCACCAGTAAAGCTTGAAAGCTGCTGGTTCTGGCTTCCATAACTTTAAATGTCACTTTTAATTTGACATTGTGATGGCTGTGCAACAGTAATATACTATAAAACCTGTTCGCTTAAGCTCCTTTCATTAGCCCAACAAAATGAAATTTGTATCATAGTTTGGGGACCTTTCTGCTGAAAATGTGTCATACATACATGCACAGTGCGTTAACTGGAGTGCAGGTATTAGTAAGCCATGCATGCCCATTGATTGGCTCATTTTTGCTGGGGTTTACTTATTGTGACGGAAGAGAAAGGGAAAGCAACAGAAATATCATATTCACTAATTCAGATGCTCGTCCATTGGTTACTCTTTCCTGGGGTTTCATATTGTGACAACAGGGAACATGTTTTTATGTTTGACTATGATACAAAAGAGAAAGATTTTTACATCAAAACACTCGGCAATCTGATTAATACTCGGGGGCTACGCCCCCTAGACAAATCAGAAAGCCTCGTTGTTTGATGCTCTTTCTATTACTTGTACGCTTTCGGGCTTTATATTATACAACCAATGGTCACCCTTCTGTAAAGAGAGATATATATGTTAAACAAGATTGTAAAATCAGTCGGTCTTGCAGTCGAAATATTGGCCTGTTTCACTACAAGTACAAAGCTGTCATATGACCTATAATCAGTTTATTACAATACGTTAAGTAGACTTTTTGGCTAGATGTAAATTATAGTAATAAAAACTGCAAATATTTTGGCTTCGGTCACAGTGACTATAAATAATCACTCCCATTGATCAGCTGATCAACCTGAACTTACTCAAATTTTCAAAAGGTCCGAGTACATAGAGCAACCTTGGCAGTTCGTGAAATGACTGGTCCATTTCCTTCAGCCAATATTTGTCGAATGATAGTGCTATTCTTCTGTAACAACATCGTTTTAGTGATTTTACAGATTTAAACCTAGGCATTCTCAATTTTTTAATGTTATTTTGCTAATGTTTGTGCAATCACTAAAGGCGCTTTCATGTTCATGCTTCAGTTTGACACAGACTATCTGGTTCCAAGCGGGTTTTTCAACATGACTTAATTAAGCAGGGTTTAAGTAAACCGGAAATTGTACTGCAGTAGCCGAAAACTCGTGAATTTCGAGCATTTATCAATTCTCTTTTATTTACTTTTGACATTTGAAAAGAAAATGTAAGTAATTTATTATGTTGTTTATAACATTCAATAAAGTTCATAAAATTATGAGCCAATTGGTGAAAAAAGGGCATTGTTTTTCACTTTTTGAATCTTGAATAGGACTCGGGTACAATTTAATTCGGATATTGGTTTTTAATCCATATCTCGATCTTTTAGTAATTTCCCTTTTTTAGTTTTTTAGAACTATCTACAATGTGAAATTGCATGGCAGTTATGACATTCTTTTACATGTCATCAGTTTTTTGTTTCACCAGACGCATATATTTGTGTAGTCCTATAAAAATGACTTCGCTTTGAGATATTTTTGCTTCTGGGCAAAGGCCAAAGCAACGTCATATCGAAATTGCTCAAAAACCAATAGCATGTTCCACCAGAAAATCAGGCGGAATGAAAAACAATTAAGACAGCGTGTATTTACATTAGTTTTGACCTACTTATGAACAAAACTAAAAAATAAATACCTTTTGTCAAAATAATTAAACTGTCACATCTGAAAAATCATGATTAAATCCTCTCATGTACTTAAATTCCTTTTACAGCCAATAAACAAATGGCGGTCTTTCAATGACCCAAAGTGCAGTGCACAAGAATCGTTACTCTGCACTTCTTAATTTTTTAGTTATTGCCCTTTGTTAATTTTCATACTTTATGTTTGTGCAGGCCATTTCTCCTAAACTATAAAAGCTGTGGACTTCATAGGATGATAGATCTCATTAAGAAGAAATGCAGTGCACAAGAACCAGTACTCTGCTCTTCTTATTATTTGAGTTATTGCCCTTTGTATGTTGTTTAACACTTTTGTATATTTACATTAATGTATTTATCTATAATTGTGAAAATTTATATATGTATATATACACAATAAAATATGTTTAAACTAAGTACAGTGCACAAGAATTGGTACTCTGTACTTTATGATTTTAGAGTTATTGCCCTTTGTTTAATTATAATACTTTATTTTTGTTCGGGCCAATTCTCCTACACTTTAAAAGCTATTGACTTGAAACTTCATAAGATAGATAGATAGATCTCATTGAGAAGAAGTGCAGTGCACAAGAACTTGTACTCTGCACTTCATGGTTTTTGAGTTATTGACCTTTGTTAATTTTCTTACGTAATGAAATTGATTAGGCTTTTCCAGAGGATAACTTGGTCACTTTAAGTTTGATTGACTCCAAATTTGGTATGTAAACTTTTTTCATTGACCTGAAGTACAGTGCTTAAGGCTCTGCTTTTTTATGGTATTTTTATTTTTGATGATATAACAGTTTTATTTAGCCTGATGTGACATTGTTACAATCAGTTCAAATGCCACTAAAGTTAAAGGTACATGTACATTGTAAGAGCAGTGTTTATAAATAACCTATATTTAAGAGTGACAGCTATACTGTTTACAAGGTGACACATCCGACTCACAGAGTTCTAGTTTATATAGTCCTTCTCCTGGAATAGACCCAAATGTCAAACCAGAAGTATATATAAGGTTATTTCCCTTCTCTTTAGGTAACTTGCTAGCCTGCATAGCTCAGTCAGTTACAGCATGACCTTTGTTATCTTTACATTGATTCTCTTTACATTTTGGCATTTATTCTCAAGCTGACCAACTAAAATTACTAATGCAGACTTTAGGACGAGACTTTAAATCGAGATGCCATGTATGATTGTCACAGGTTGAGAAAAATGTACAGACTGAAAGGGACTCAAAGCCAGTACCCTTGGAACATTGTTCCGGGGCTGTACTAACTGAGCTATCTGGATGATTTATACATATCTTCACCCCTACATGTATATAGGGAACAGGTCTGAACCTTTTCATACTCGCCTACAATATTGAAATTCATCTTCGAATTTTTCAGGGTTACAGAGAATTGCTAATTAAACTCTAAGATAGAGGCAGTCATGGCCCCATGTTGGGTGCCAAATGTCACAGGGTGAAAAAAATGTGCGGCCTGACAGGGACTCAAACCCGGGACCCTCGGAATACCCTTCCGCGGCTCTTCCCTGTAACTGGGCTATCCAGTTGCTAACAGATCTTCTCCCCTAAATACTGAACAGTTCTGAATTGTGACAGCAGTTCAATTCTTGGTTGAAGACTCGGGATAAGATGCTGAAAATGGGATATCTTTCTGTATTTGTGTCTTGCACACTCCTCCAAAATATAAAAACACTAAATAATACTCTACTGGAGGACTCACCCATATGGGCAACCTGCAGCATGTATAAACAAACTCAAATACACACACACATTTATTAGCTTATTATATACAATTTTTACTCCAGAAATATACAATGGGTGCCTGTGTAAGGTACTTCACCAGGGATTCAGATTGGATGTTTGGCCAAGGGCTTTTGACAGTCACAGATGACTGAGAAGAAAAACACCAATTTTCAGTAAATATGACCAACAAATTTCTAAAGTAAAAGATCAATATTTGGTTAAACAATTTTATCATCAAGATTACAGATCTGCGGCTTATCCAAGAGATTTTTTAAAAGATTTAATATTAGTCATTATCGCTGAAAAAATTAAATAGTTACCAGTATTTTTTATTGGACAAAATAACCTAAATAGTGTTGCACGGCTTTTCACTCAATCCATATAGGAATCACGCAAACATTTGATTTCCCATGTAATTCTGAGTATATATCTTTTTTGGATGTATCTGCCAATCTCCCTTTATTAAACATAAGAAATATCTGTATTTTTTTTCTTTCACATTGGATGGAAAAAAGTCATAATTTGTGCTATTAACAACAAAATATTTGCACATATCTTGTCAAGAACAAGAACATACTATTTTCAAATTCTGAACAGAAGTTGTCATAAATAAAGCAATAAACTGTTTTTACAACTCAATCAATGTTTAGTTAAGAAGAAGACATTTTCTGAGTAATTGAGTTGACAAAATAAACACATTTTCTACATATTATAAGACATTCTGAAACAATTGCCAAAGAAAATGTGTAAACTGATCTGTCTAGAAAAATGAAATTTAAAGAAAAATCTGATAATTGCCGTAGAATTAATAAGTGATTCCTCATTTGTGCTAAGAGGCATTAGAGAACAGACATATTTTTAACATATTTTTTAACAATTTCAGTATACAAGTAAAAGAGGCGAAAATAAAAGAGGCGAAAATAATTGACTTGAGTAACACCAAAGACAGAAATGGCATCTGACTAGGCAAATGTTCTATAAAATTTGACAGTGGAAACAACTGATTATTGAAAAGAACTGATTTAGATAAAGCAATACTGGATATGGCCACAAATGGAACGGAAAGTATTGACAAACTTTTGAGTGATACTCCAATAGAATCACCTTATAGGTAATTTTCCTTTGAAAAAATATATCAAGGGGTGATATTATTGCCTGTTTTCCTTTTTTGCTGTCTCTCTTATCAAACTTATTCAATATGATTTCCTACAGCACCTTTATAAGAATGATTTGTACAAGTTTAATAAAGCCCATTTATTGCTTTTACCATTACAATTTGTTAGGCATTTGATAAATGTATTTTCGTGCTTATGTTAATTTCTTCATTGGCCAATTACTGTAATTGCAATTTACTCCTTTAAGTTGCCTCAATGTGTGTCATGTTGAGCATTCATTGATGACACTTAATATTTGTAATTTGTGTTACTTTTTGTTCTGAAAAGTTTTATTGTATATCAAAGCAAGTCAAAGATAAAAACTGTGCGTTCCATTTGCCCCTAGATTTTTCCTTATTTTCATGAAAATTTTGAAGATGAATTTAGTTTAAAGTTAAATATTGTGAAGTGAACAAAGAGAGTAATTTACACATTGCAAACTGCTCTTACAGTCCATGCTAATTATCCAAAAAGAGGTCATATATGTTTAAATAGCCCTTGCTGCATTAGAAACGCAGTAGAAATATGGTTATAAATACTTCAAAATCAGTCATTATGCACACACAAGATGTAAATTATTACTTGAATCTTTTTACTGAGAATCCAAGTATGTTTTTCATTTGAATGTCTTGAAATATTTTGGCTCATCTGGAGGAATACAGCTTTAAGTATATCTTCTCTAACATTTGCTTTTTTTGTGACTTTGGAATTTGAAAGATTTTTTTATATCATAATGTAGGAATTTATTAATGGTATGAAGTATCAACAGATTAATCTCAGAGAACTTGATCCTTGGGTCACTTTAAAATGGTGGCATAGGTTTGTAAGTTTTGCCAAACATACTCAAAATATTAAACTAGCCTAGAAGCACCACCTGTTAAGGGAGGTCACTGTTAATTTAACTATTTTGTTCTCTGAAACATTAATTTCTTTTTGATGAAACATAGCTGTAAAGTGTCATAAAGATTCTTGTTAGTTTGGTTAAGGCAAAAATGAATTTTTATTTGTTTGGGTCGTCAGACCAAACAAATAATGGTAGCGAAATTTCAGAGTCTGATGCTGTTAATTGCAAATGCCGAAAGTAGGCCGCTTTTTTGAAGCGGTTACTTCCCTTTATATGTACACTAATGCCAAAAAAATTCAGGGGAGATCACTGCATAAAGATGGTCAAATGATAGGCGCATTAATTTTCAGGCAAAATAATTCCCGAATGTTCGAAGATTTCTAATATTGTTTTATCCTTTATAGATATACATGCTTATAATAAGTTCCATGATTATTAACATCTGTGTTAAATAACAGTTAGCGTCGAAATAATAAGGGTTACAAACCCTAATTTAGAATAATATGGTTTTCTTCAGGCCTTTTACATATAACTTCACCGTGGCCGAGGGGTCTGGCGTTCAAATCCAGGAAGGCAACTCTTTTTTTTTCAAAATTGTTAATTGTTTAAGTCAAATAAACATTGAATTGAATATCAGTGTTGCAATTAGTCTTAAAGCCAATTAACTACAATTAAAACGCTGGAAAGCACTGGTGGCACTATACAAAAACAAATTGGTTTATAATCTCACAACCTTCACCGAGACCCAAACAAATTCATCTTCTTCTGTGCTTTGATTTATGTATGTCATAATTAAGATTTTGAGTCAACTCATCCCATCAACTTGTCATCTTTATGGTCAACTCAACCCTTTGTTAATTTGTCCCCTAACTCATTACCTATTTTCTTTTATATAAAAAAGTGCATATATTAATTAACAGAAAATTAACTCTTAGTATAGGTTAAAACATGCTAGTTGGTTACTAAAATATTCCCAAACTTGACACCCAACAGTGAACTAAGATAGATAGACCTATATTCTTTATACATCTTAATTATGGTAAAGTGTCTTAATTTTGTCTATCATAATTGCAAGGTTTGTTGCCCTATAATTTTAAAACCTGCACAAGAGATATTCCTTAAAATAATATACAGGTCTGTTTTGTTCTGTTCGCTTTTCAATCCACTTACCTACCTATGCTCGCGTCTGGAAATACTATGCAGACCTAGTCTTTGTACAATAACTATATATTATGTATATGAACTGTAAGACTGTAAATACATGTAGTAAAGTGATGCATATGAATTTTGCAAGAAGAACACCACTTGCCCCTCACACCTGTGGGTTCGAATCCTAACAGGGACTTTGGATTCTTTCAAATGAGGAAGCTTAGATAATTCAGCTAGCTTACAGAACGTTGGTGGTTCTACTCACATGACTGTCTGTATATGCCTGAAATAATGCACAGAAAGGGGCATAAAATCTAACTCAACCAGTAAAGCTGAAAAGTAAAAAAAAGTGAAGAAAAAAAAAAGAACAACAAATTGAATTTTAAGTGGTTATCTAGCATTAAATAGTGCTTAAATGGGAGTATATCTAAAAAACAAATATAAAAAGTGAGCTAATAAGTAGATAAATTTTGTAGAATCTGTTGACATTAAAGTTGTGTACTTTTAAATAGGATTTATTCAAGAATGTAAATATAAGAAATACAATATATCTTGATTCTGTCTATATACTGGACAAAATGGATAAAGTATTTTTAATTTGGCCCAAATTTATACGGGTTTTTTTTTGTTGGGGAAAAATTTCCCAATTTGTAGATAAATATCAAAAACTTTGCACAATTTCTTTTTTAAAAATCAGTAAAATAAATGTCAGCTAGATATGTTTAAAATTTTATAGTAAATTTTAAACAAAAATTTTTTAATTTAAATTTATAAAAATATATCTATTGGGAAATTTTCACTTAAAATTTAAACCCTTCTTTTGTTTTAAACCAAATTTTAAATTAATAAGACATAATTTTTTTTTCTCAGTTTTTCATTTTTGATATAAAAACATCTTCTTACATAAAAAGTTAATTTTAAACTGTTTTATTCCAACTGATTTAATACTATAATTTTTTTACAGATCTCAGCTAGTTGACTTTGACTCAAAGCTTCCATGTTCACCAGATCCAGAGAATCCAATGTTAAAGAATCTTGTAACATCACCAACACATGTAAACATGTGTTCACCTGTCAACAGCTGTGCATTCTCAACAAACAGGGACACTAGTTCATATCCTAACAATAATGCATGTTTTGCAACAACAAAGCCCCAAGATGCTTATTTCCAAACTGGTACCTTTGTAGATGGTTCAGTCCCATTCTCAAGTGCTGCAAGTGAATTGTATTCTGCCGTGAAAGTGAATTTGAATGGTGCAATCGACCAATCAGAATGTACGTTAATGAGCTCTGGTGACCATAGTAATAATAATAATGAGAACAGCTATCTGGGTCATACAAATGTTTCTTGTGAAGAGACAAATTTATTCCAAAATAACAACTATAATCCGATCAGTTACAAGAGTTTGGATCAATCTATCAGTAATACATCTACACAGGCAGCTCAGAATTGCCTAACTTGTTCTTCTGCTGATGCATTTTTATCACAAGGTTCCTACAATTACAAAAACAATGCAGAGGTGAACAATAATGATGACTTGTTGAATAAATTTGACTCCAGATTAGAGAGTAATAATGGATGTTATGATCTTTCAACTTCCGAGATTTTTGATTATTCGCAACAACCTGTGGTGAAAGGAAATATAAAATGTTCAAACCAATTTGTTTTAAGTCCAAGCATAGACTGCAAAGGTGCAGTCAAGCCTATTATGAATTTCAATTTTGAAAACCCTGTTTATGCAGAAAGAACATTACTGTACAATTTCTCTTCTCCAAACGACATATTGCCCACATGCCGACTTACAAATGTAAATACAAGCCATCCTTTTCAGAGAAAAGAGGAGAATGTGGAATCTGAAAATAAAGTTTTAGTAACAGACAGTCCGGGACAGGTAGTCCAAGCAGGATTTTGTAACTGTTTAGACACACTTGATGTTCCCTTTGAACAGGTGTTTATCTATAATGGTCAAATGTACCAGTTACCATATTCAGATATTGTTCAAATTGGAAAATTTCAATTTTATTCTTTTCTCAAGGAAGGATTAATTTATATTCCGCTTGGGAATTTTTTTCATGTAGTTGGTAAAGAAGTAAGGAATTTGTTTGCAAGTTTCGTTAACTTAAAAAGCATGGCATTGTTAAGTCTCAGTTTAGATGAAATCTACTTCTTAGAGCAAAAGTGCAGTTTTTACTTTGACAGTTCAAATAAAGACCTCATAGACTTACAATCTCTCAGGGAAGTGTGTTTAGAACTATTAAATATATGCCCTGGTGATACAAATCTGAAAATGCTAGCGGTGAGCATACCCAGCAAATATGAGTTCAGGTCAAATATGATATGTTCAAATTGTGGGTGTAACAAAAAAGGTGCAATAAAAGGTGATTCTTATGTGCCTCTTGTTGGAAATAGTGACTTCACATCTAAAATAAGTGTAACTGTTGGAACATTGATGGTAGGTGATGAAGTATTCACAACATTTGAACAACATGGTAGATGGTATGTAAGTTTCAAAGATTTAGTGACACGAGGAATCATTTCACTCACAGCCCTTCAAGATAAAATGAAGAGAATACATAGCAAAGCTATAATAGCACCTCCAGACATTGAAAAGTATTTCTCACATCAGTCACTTATGCTGAACAATACATTATGGATTGAAATGGTGACATTAAGATGTGTGGTTTGCATGATTAATAGGAAATCAAAACTTGCTGGCCTGATTGCCTGTGGTGAGTACAGCATTAACCCATCCACAAATATTCTTTGTGAAGATACCTCAAAATGCAATATAACTTATTCAATAGATGCAAAGAGCTTGACTGTTGATAAAAATTGTGCCAAATATAAGTTACAGAATTCAGAACATTCATTTTTTATTACCCGTAAAAGAAAAGAAAGAGCAAGTAAGGTTGAACACTTATCAGCCAATAGTGAAGAAAGGATTATGGCTCACAAAACTAGAGGAAGAGGAATCAAAGGAGATGAGAATCCTAAAGAGTTGAAAGAATCTGACAATGTTACAAATCATGATTGTGGCAAAGAAAGAGTACAGGAAGAAGGAAAATTGAGTGCAGATAAGTTAGATAAGGATAGTCAAAGTGAAGGAAAGAATGTTTGTAGCATGACTCTTAGACCAAGAAAGAGGAATGTGGTACATACACTGCAAGAAACTGATGATGAAGTGTTCTACAAAAATGAGAGTGAATTAGTTTGTGAAAGAGGCAGGAAGCAGAAAAAATTTCCACGTAAACGCGCTGGCTTAAGAAAAAAGAAACAAATGTTCCTTAATGAAGGTGACTACATAATAAGAGACTATGAGACATTTTGTCAGAAGTTGGATGCAGGTTTGATTGTTAAAAGGGACCATGAGGAAGTGGTTGTTGATCTTTATAGCGAAGACAAAAAAGCAGTCTGTACATTAGAGTCTTTACAAGAACAAGACAGTCAAGCAAAAGACAACAGCGAGTGGCACGAAGGTGATCCTAACTTATTAAACAAAGCTTTGCATATGTCTGGAATAGCTAGTTTTGATTTTGATCATAACTCTGAATTAAATGATGTTAAAATTAGAGGTCAACATTTGGAAAGTAAAGATAGTGAAAGTGATAACTTAGGACTTGAAAGTATTTCAATGAAATGTCATGATGATAAGGTTAAAGCTCAAACAGAAAACTATAAAGAAGATGATAGTAGTAATTTGCGTGAACATGTATCTGAAAAGATTAACACTGATCAGGAATCGCATGTAGTGCTAGATGGTGCTTCAATGGAAGAGCATAGTGTTTTTATTGAAAATTTAGAAAGTGGAATTGTTGATGTAACAAATCCCAAACAAATGAATTTAGAGATAGAAAATGAAAATAGGGTTTTTGAAATTGTTGAAAGGGAAGTTGAAGATAAAATCAAGAACTTAAAAGTAGTTGATGATTATCATGGTTTGAATGAAAATATTGAAGACAGTGAAATGCAGATTGAAAGTAAATGTGATGATCTTGCTTTAAATTTGATGTCTGAAAATACAGATGAGATTTGTGATAATAATAAGAATACAGTTCATGAAAATGAATATGCCAAAGAGAGTAGTGATCTTCTGACAAGTAAGATGATACATTTTAAATTAGACAGAGAGGAAGAAATACAGAATAATGATTCACAAATTGGTGAAATAACTGAAATAGGGAAAAATCTTGAAACACAAAAGAGTATTGGCACAAGAGAAAGTTTGGAACAAAGGGCATATTCTGAAACAGAAAAATGTTCTGAAATACAAGAATGTTTAGAAAAACTTGAGTTGTCTGAAGCAGGAAAATATGAAATAACAGTTGAATTCACTGGAAAAGGAAAACATCCTGAGACATTTAAAACCTCTAAGATGCAAGACCATACTAAAATAGAAGAAAATCAAGAAATGGAAGATAGCCATGATACTGTAAATAATTTAGAAATAGAAAAAAGTCCTGTTACAGAAGAAAGAACTGTAGTAATGGAGGATTTTCAAACAAGAGAAAGTATTGAATCAGGAAAAATCTCTGAAAAAGTAAAGAGTCATGAGCATTTCATTTGCTTTGAAAACAAAGAAGTAATTCTGAATTCTAATGTGTTACAAAATGAAATTCTTGATTGTAGGGAATGTCTAACAGAAAGTATTGCAGAATTTAAATCTCAAAACATAATAAATTTTCAGAAAATTGGAGAAGTAGGACTACATGAAGAACAAAATATAATCAGTGCAGAAACAGTTCAACCTCTTGATACAGATACACAAACAGAATGTTCCTTTTCAAATGATAGAAATGATTTTGCAGGTGAAAATTTCCCAGAGCATGAATATGGCATGACATATGGAGATACTGAATTACAACATGAAAAAACGCTCAATGAAGAAAACTGTGATACATTAATGGAAGTTGAAGAACATAATAGAGCATGCACAAATGGTAGAGATATAACCGCAAATGAAGTGGAAACATTCCAAATGATAGAACCACAAACAGAACCACAAACATATGCATGTAGTCAAGATAACATTGATACAGATAAAAGAAAAGAATGGGAAACAAACATTATTAAGTACCTGGTATTCTCACATGTTAAAGTTGGGCCAAATCCTGGTTTCAAGGTGCTGAAATTCTTGCCTGGAGCAGAAAAGACTTTCCCAGGTAAGCAATACACCTTTATACACTGTAATTTTGTGTCAGTTCTAATACCAATTGTTCTTCTAGGTTAAATACTTCATGTTTGAAATGTTGCTTTTCATAGCATAATCAATAAGTTTATACTATCAATATGATTGGGCTGCTGTTATATGACCATATACATGTATAAATGATTGTTCACAATATTACCAAATGACATGGTTTATATACATGTATAAATGAATGTTCACAATATAACCAAATGACATGGTTTATATCAGCTTACAAAAGTTTATATTTGGCCATATATAATGTCAAAAATCTTTATAACTAAAAATTTGTTTGTATTAAAGAAAAATAGACAAAAATTGCTCATTGTTGTCAAGTTCATTGAAACCTTGCACCTTACTATGATAAAATATCTGTCACATTTATTGCATTTGAATTAAGAATGCATAATTGATTTGGATTTTAAATGACTTATTTGATATTATATGAAAGTGTTTTCTATTGTAGATTTATTTGATTCCAACCTCAAACCTCCAGAAACAAAACGTAAACTTACAGAATTTAAGATAGCTGCTGGCAGATATTTAGATAACATGTTTTTAAAGTATTAGACAGAAAGGAGGAAGAAAACATCCAGATAAAAGAATTGAAAGAAATTGAACCTCTTGATACAAATTTAATAAGTTGTGATACAAAAACAGTTGCTGAAAATACATATTGTTCCAAAAGAAGGGAAGGATTGCAATGTAAATAATAGTGTCACCAAACCAGAAATGCCATCAGTTACTGTTACAGTTACTGACTCAAAAAGGTGTTGAATATACTAATAAGAGAAATAATGGTCGTAGAAATAAAAGTGTAAATGATCAAAGAACAGATAGGATGAGTTTAAACAATAAGGGAATACAATCTTTAGAAGTGGTTTCCACTAAGGAGGGAGAAGAGAAGCAAGAAATAAGTGCAGGAGTTGAGACAAATGAGTTTCTGTCCAATCATGACAGTAATAAAACCAAGAATGGATCTGACATAATTGATCATGTTATAGAAATGTATTTCCCTAGAATAAAATCTTAAATCAGAATTTTTTAGTTATTAAATTACAATTACATGTACTTTTATCTTCCCTACTGATTTGTTTTAAGGTTCATTTAACAACACAGTGCCAAGGATAAAAACTTGCTTGCTAGATAACACTTATCCATAATGCCCCCATCTCCATCTAAAGCTTTCGTAAACGGGCGTATTTTGTGACTATGGCACCCTTGTTCACAATATTACCAAATGACATGGTTTATATACATGTATAAATGAATGTTCACAATATAACCAAATGACATGGTTTATATCAGCTTACAAAAGTTTATATTTGGCCATATATAATGTCAAAAATCTTTATAACTAAAAATTTGTTTGTATTAAAGAAAAATAGACAAAAATTGCTCATTGTTGTCAAGTTCATTGAAACCTTGCACCTTACTATGATAAAATATCTGTCACATTTATTGCATTTGAATTAAGAATGCATAATTGATTTGGATTTTAAATGACTTATTTGATATTATATGAAAGTGTTTTCTATTTTAGATTTATTTGATTCCAACCTCAAACCTCCAGAAACAAAACGTAAACTTACAGAATTTAAGATAGCTGCTGGCAGATATTTAGATAACATGTTTTTAAAGTATAGACAGAAAGGAGGAAGAAAACATCCAGATAAAAGAACGTTGAAAGAAATTGAACCTCTTGATACAAATTTAATAAGTTGTGATACAAAAACAGTTGCTGAAAATACATATTGTTCCAAAGAAGGGAAGGATTGCAATGTAAATAATAGTGTCACCAAACCAGAAATGCCATCAGTTACTGTTACAGTTACTGACTCAAAAGGTGTTGAATATACTAATAAGAGAAATAATGGTCGTAGAAATAAAAGTGTAAATGATCAAAGAACAGATAGGATGAGTTTAAACAATAAGGGAATACAATCTTTAGAAGTGGTTTCCACTAAGGAGGGAGAAGAGAAGCAAGAAATAAGTGCAGGAGTTGAGACAAATGAGTTTCTGTCCAATCATGACAGTAATAAAACCAAGAATGGATCTGACATAATTGATCATGTTATAGACAAGATCGATGAGAATATTGGAAAGGAAAACATAGACAATTCTGTTCCAAAGACAAGCCCAATAATTGTACCAGAGAAAGCTGACACAGGAAGAACTCCAACCAGATATGAAAATAGAAGAGAAAAGAGAAAACATGGTGAAAATCGAAAAGCATATTCAGGAAACAGATCAAAATTAGATGAAGATATTAATGGAAACAGTATTGAAATTCATGAAAATAACAGCAAGGAAACAATTGGGAAGAATACTGGTATAAAGAAGTGCAAAATAACTGCAAGTGATTCTAGCAACAAGAGAACAAGTTGTAGGAAAAGAGGAAGAATTGCATCAGAATTAAAATCATACAAAAACAAACAAGGAACTAAGCGTTTCAAACATTCAGAAAACATCACAAGTGATGATACATGTGTTAACACTAGCTTAAATCATTCTGAGATGAAACAATATGGTTTAAAAAGAAAATATCAGACACATTTAAACAATAGTAAGGAAGAGGAAGAGACAGATTGTGATAATCATGATGATGCAGATAAAGAGGTCAGTAGCAAATATCATTGTAAAGATAACAAGAAGGAAAATGGCAGTGACAGGAAGGTTTCAATTGTATTGAGAATTAAGGAAACGGATAAAAATAAAGATGCTGAGATCAGGGAGATCTATGATATTCCTGACAGCTATGTACTGTTAAAAAGATTGAGTTTTTTGGAGGATGCAGTCTCTGTGTAAGATTTAACTTACCACATGGGGAATTTCAAGAGTTCATTAGTTTTTTTTCCCAGATATACAGCTATGTTATGTATATTACACACTAAAGTTTGTCTGTTTGCTTGAATTGATATATTTAATTAAGATTTTTGTGGAATTGATAAGCCAATTATTGTAATATTTTGTAAAAATATCATGAACTTGTACATATTTGATATTTGTACTTTGTATAATTTCTTTTTTTATTGAAAGAACATTTTTTTGTTTGTTTTTGTTTTAACTTAAGTATGTAAAAAGTTTTAAGATAAGTATGACTTTTTAGCTCACCTGTCACAAAGTGACAGGGTGAGCTTTTGTGATTGCTTTTCGTCCGGCGTCCGGCTGTCGTCCGTCCGTCCGTCGTCCGTCCGTCGTCCGTCCGTAAACTTTTACTTTAAATGACATCTCCTCATAAACCACTAAGCCAATTTCATCCAAACTTCACAGGAATGTTCCTTTGGTGGTCACCTTTAAAGATTGTTCAAAGAATTTAATTCCATGCAGAACTCTGGTTGCCATGGCAACCGAAAGAAAAAACTTTAAATATCTTCTTTTAAAAAAACATAAGAGCTAGAGCTTAGATATTTGGCATGAAACATCTTCTAGTGAGTGTCTACCAAGTTTGTTCAAGTAAAAGCCCTGGGGTTAAAATTGGCCCCGCCCCAGGGGGTCATTGATTTTCCCTATATGCATATAGTAAAAACTTAAAAAAATCTTCTTTTAAAGAACCCAAAGAGCTAGAGCTAAGATATTATAATTTAGCATGAAACATGTTCTAATGGGTGTCTACCAAGTTTGTTCAAATAAAAGCCCTGGGGTCAAAATTGGCCCCGCCCCGGGGGGTCATTGATTTTCCCTATATGCATATAGTAAAAACTTTAAAAATCTTCTTTTAAAGAACTCAAAGAGCTATGGCTAAGATATTGAGCATCAAACATGTTCTAATAAGTGTCTACCAAGTTTGTTCAAATAAAAGCCCTGGGGTCAAAATTGGCCCTGCCCCAGGGGGTCATTGATTTTCCCTATATGCATATAGTAAAAACTTAAAAAATCTTCTTTTAAAGAACCAAAAGAGTTAGAGCGAAGATATTTAGCATGAAACATGTTCTAATAAGTGTCTACCAAGTTTGTTCAAATAAAAGCCCTGGGGTCAAAATTGGCCCCGCCCCTTGGGGTCATTGATTTTCCCTATATGCATATAGTAAAAACTTAAAAAATCTTCTTTTAAAGAACTCAAAGAGCTATGGCTAAGATATTTAGCATCAAACATGTTCTAATAGGTGTCTACCAAGTTTGTTCAAATAAAAGCCCTGGGGTCAAAATTGGCACCGCCCCGGGGGTCATTGATTTTCCTTATATGTGTATAGCAAAAACTTAAAATCTTCTTTGAAAAAACCCAAATAGCTAGAGTTTAGATATTAAGCATGAAACATCTTCTAGTAAGTGTCTACAAAGTTTGTTCAAATAAAAGCCCTGGGGTCAAAACTGGCCCGGCCCCAGGGGTGTCATTGTTTTTAACTTTATGTGTATAGTAAAAACTTTAAAAAAATCTTCTTTTAAAAAGCCCAATGAGCTAGAGCTTAGATGTTTAGTATGAAACATCTTCTTATGGGTGTCTACCAAGTTTGTGCAAATAAAAGCCCTTGGGTTAAATTGGCCCTGCAACGTTGGGGGTGGGGGTTGGGGGGCCTATATACAGGTGAGCGACCTCAGGGCCATCATGGCCCTCTTGTTTATTTTCATGCCAATATGTCTTCAGTATTTGTAAAGTTTAAGGTGCAATTTCAATATGTCATTAAGCACTGAAGGTATTTAGTTGGAACATCACACGTTTTTACAAAGACATTACACTCTTTTTAAGTAAGGATTTATACTGAATTATCCCCCTTAGTTAACTTAAAAAAATATTGATAAGATTTTTACCTGTATCTGTCAATAACATGATGTATTACACTTACAGTGATTCAGTATTTTGTACAGAATTCAATATACCACAGTCTGCAGGTATTCACTATCATTCAGGGTAATAATTATGTCACTAACCAGGCAGATAATAATAGATTATTACTGAATTATTACTTTTTATAAACTTAAGGTTTTTGTTGTGGTTTTGTTTATTATCAAAACTGTGTCAGTCATCAAGTCCAGTGACTGCTTTTGTAATAATTACTGTATTGATTCCCGTCAAATTTAAGTTTCATGACACTATTTTGGGAAAAGTAATTTGAAAAAAAAGTGTGTTACAAATTATAATTGTCAGTTCTTGTAAATGTCAAATAACAAGCAAACATGTCATTTGTAATACATGTATTTGTAAATACATGTACTTGTTATTTGTTAAATGTACACCTGAATACTAGTCCTAAAGTTCCAAGATATTTTTGTGTACAGTGTATGTTTATTATTAATTATTTGCAAAGTTTTTAGAAATTATATTTTCTCTTTTTTTCATTTAAAGTGTTAAAGATATTCAATTAAAATTTGTTCATGGTACTTTGTTTAAATTATTTGTTTTGAGATCCTTGTTTTCTAGTTTTAGCTCTCCTGAATACAAAATTGAGCTTTTATGATCACCTGGTGTGTCCATATTCAGTTTCTTTATTCTTGTATTAATTTTTGACAAAGACCACCTCTGAATAAGGATAACCCTGCAAGTAATGGCCAATTTTTAGCTCACCTGACCATGAAGTGGTCAAGGTGAGGTATTAGTGATGGGGCTATGTCCGTCGTGCGTCGTTCGTCGTCAACAATTGGGTTGTTAAAAGTCTAGCAGTCACAGTTTTGACTGGATCATTTTCAAACTTTGTCAGAATGTTTGTCTCAATGAAATACAGATCAAGTTTGAATATGGGTCATATCCGGTCAAAAACTAGGTCACAGGAGCTAAAAAAAGAAAAAGCTTGTTAACACTTTAGTGGCTGCAGTTTTGATCCAAATATTCTGGAAATTTGTTAGGAAGGTTGTTTTGATGATTCGAAGATGGGTCATCTCCGGTCAAAAACTAGGTCACAGGAGCTAAAAATAGAAAAAGCTTGTTTACACTCTAGTGGCTGCAGTTTTGATCCAAATATTCTGGAAATTTGTCAGGAAGGTTGTTTTGATGATTTCTAGGTCAAGTTTGAAGATGGGTCATCTCTGGTCAAAAAC